ACCTAAACTCTTGACCACACTTTTGCTAAAAGGACCGGGTCAACACACATTGTATCTGTGTAACTGCAGCTATCTAATAATTATTTATGCTAAGGAAGACCTCAAAGGATCTTAGGCAGTGAAAGTGTGAAATGAGAACTCAAAGATTTAGTAGAAAGAAAATGTGATAAATTGAATAATTGATAATTATTATATGAATATGGATATGATTTTATTGTGTGATTGATTAATGTTAATTCCTTACTTGTATTGTTTGACTTAAATATAAATTCATGTTTGGTAATGAGGAGAGAGACTCATCTTTACAAAAATTTTCAGTAAATCAAGATGACAGCGTCACAAGAGAGGATTATATTAATAGATAGTTTAGTACAATGTAAGTTAAATTATATATTTAACGAGTATCAAAGAACATGTTATTTTAAGTTGGTTGTACATATTGATACATACCATGTAATATTATTATGTTGAAAATAAAATTATATTATAATGTACCTTTAGATTTCTCTATAAACAATAAGATCCACCATACTCTACTATATATATTTATAAAGGTACTCCGGCAGCTGTGACCTATTTATGCATATATTATTATAATAATATTCTTAAGAGACCAATCCAGGTCATCTTTAAATGGGTCCGAATGTGGAAGTTGCTGCAGACTCCAGAGATCTCTATCTCGGATCAAATGAAGATCTTAATTCTGAAGACTTCACAGAGATAGAAAGATGACATGAGGATGACTAATATTATTTTCAATCTTTTGGTTGATAAACTGTTCATTAAGACATTATATTTTGTATATGGTAAATGATGTAGATGAGTTCTAATGTATTTTGAAGTGATATTTTGTAAATATTAAACTTTTGTGACTTAATGAGAGTAATATACATTAATATTATTTTAAATTTTCACTTAAATTTATTTAATTCCCATTGCTTTATTATTTAAATTTTTATAAGTATGAGTAAATTGAATGAAGATTTATATTTTCACATTTTCTATTTTGTGAGTAAACAAACTTAATTTAATTTTTCCTTTCCAATTCTAAAATTATTTTTAATTACTGTATTAAATAAATAAAAATGTTACATAAAAAACAAATGTATCTGATTTTTTTTTGTGTGGTTGATTATATAACAATAAGATATTAATTGATGAATTTTTTTATTATTAAAAAAGTTAACAATATTAAAAGTCCTTGTAACATTTCTTTCATTAATGAATGTCACACCATTTATAGGTAATTTATATTTTAAATTTTAGATAAATTTAATTAAATAAATAGCTAAAATTTATGTAAAATTAATATATAATTTACATAAATCAAAATAGTATATAAATCGTAATGACATTTAAATGTTTAATACCCAAAAATAAATTTTTTTAGCATAATTATTCTAAACTATAGCTTCTAAAACCGTTAAAAAAATTATAAGTGATTAAAATATTTAGATAGCAATATGTAGATTTGACAAACTCAAGAACTGTTTAATTTTTAGAAAAAACTAAATTTTTTCATGAGCTTTAATGCTAAGAAAAATAAAATTTAAAAATTAAATAAAGTTTTAAAGTTTAGATAAGTTAAAAAGTTGACTATGTTTATAGAAAGTGAGATGAAAAAATTGAAGAATTTTTTTTATTTTTTTATTTTTTTTAAACTATAAACTATAATTAAAAGTTAAAAAAAATTTCACATGAAAATAAAATACAATTTTTATTTTGGGCTCCTTTCAAAGTTTAAATCCTGAGCGGTCACACTTCTAAAGTAGTTTCATGACCGGGCCTGCTTTTTAACAACTTATATTTTATTTTCGTATAATTGTACCTTATGCTACAAGTTATATTACCCTCGAGAGCACGATCACCTTGTTCATGCGTAAGTCCCTAACCTTTGTAACTTATGTGTAAGATATAAATTATCCTAATATTATCTGACACATATAATATATAAAAGAGATATTTTGAATATTTCTGAAATTTATTTTATTTTATTTTATTTTGAAAAAAACTAAAATATTATTTTAATATAAAATATATTTTAAATTTTTTGTAATTTTATTAATACATACTAATTTAATAATAAAGTTAAGTTAAAATCATTTTTTAAAAAGTTATTATTTAAAATAATTTTATTATATATAATATATATATATATATATATATTATATTAAAATATGTGTGGATTACAGAAGTTACTGACTAGTGTTTATAATTGTCAAATATATTTTCTTCAATATGTATCTAGTTATTTGAATTGAAATTAATCAATCAATTAAATCATTAACTCAACATGAATTATTTTCTTTAGGTTACAATAATAATAATTTATTGATTTTATGAAATAATTTGTATGATTAAGATAACTTAATATTAAAATTTAAATTAAATATATTACATTGCATGATAAATTAAATTAAAAATAATAAAAAATTGAGAGAAGATAAAGTTAGTCTAGAGCTAACTCTGATAAGTCTAACTCCCCATTTGATAACTCGTTATAAACATTAAATTTTATTTGTTGAATCCTTAAATTAAAAGTTTCTAAGCGGAGCTAAAATAACTTGATCATCATTCATAAAAAAAAATTAAATCATTATTTTAAAATTTAATAATATAAATATTAATCATTATAAAATATAATAAAAATAAAACACATTTATATTAAAAATAATTAATGTTAATATATATATATATATGATTAAAATAAAGTGTATTAATAATTATAACATAATTATTGAAAACTCATTAATAATCATTTTTAATTAAATATATTTTACCATATTTTAACAAAAACATTTAATATTCAAAATTTAGTACTTTTTAAGTTGAACTTGCATATTCTCTGTGGCTCAAAATAATAATTGTTTAATCATTATTTGATAGTTAACTTTTGGAGAGAAAATGAATATTTAATTTATTTGATGGTAACTCTTATTTAAAAATTTTTAAATTTGAGAAAAAGTTCATAAAAACTTTTCAAAAGTTCTATAAACTCATATTATATACTCCAAAATAGTCAACTTTTTTTTTAACTCTCTTTATCTCTACCGTTTTCATCCTTTCCCCTCACATCCTTCTCTTTCATTTTTTTTTTCTAAAATTTCAAACAAAATCTTTTTATAAAAGGTAAAAAAGAAATTAATATTCTTTTTATGTAAAATGTACTTAATCTTATCATTTTTATAATAAATAAATAAATAATTAGTAAAACGAAAAAATAGTTACATACCATAAATTTATAATATATTTTAAAAACATCTAATTATAATAAATAGTATAACTAGTGAATTATACATTACATGAATAAATTCACTCACTTATATAGACAAGATAACGGCGATTACTTTACTATAACTCAAATATCAAGATAAAAGAATTGTCATGCACTAAAATTTATCAACTACTAGTTATACGGCAATGAAAATTGAAAAAAAGCAACAAATTAAATTTAGTGACATTTCATGTTGTAATAGTTTAAACTAGTATGTCCCTCGTCCTACTTTATCATGTTGTTTAAGGAGTTCGTTAGGGATATATGAAAAAAAAAGGAGATAATAATAATAAATACATTGTATTTATGCTAATTTATCATTTTATGTTTAAATTTTTATTAGATTAAAATATATTATTTAAATTAAAAAAATTTACTTTTTGTCTATAGTGATCTTTATTTGGTCGTCTATAGAAAAAAAAAATTGGTCATCCCTTCCTTATTCTTTCTTTCCTCCCAAAATCTCCTTTTAAAACAATTCCTAAAATGTGTTGGTGAAGTTAAAATATAACATCTATTCTACACAACCCTTAACCTTTTTCTAATGTCAACCAAAGTATGCAACACAACCTATCATCTACAATCCTCTTGAGCATCCAAACTTGCGACCAGGAAACTCCATTGAAAATGACAAATAAAAAATGAGCAACTAATGACTTTCGTCTTATTTTGACCAAATTAAAAATGATATAAACTCACACTCTGTGGACTCTGTGGCTTTGCACCTGGACAAGAAGATTGCTTAGATCCCTTTCTCCCATGCACCGTGATATTTAATTTTAACATATAATCTATGCAAGTCATCGAAAAGCTTTATGTTTATTGTAAACAGACCAGAGACATCCCACTTCATTAAATATACATACCTAATGAGTTTCTGAATCTACTAATCTTATTTTGTCAATATCTATTATTTTCATTCCTTACCAAATTCATCCGAAACAATTATTCTTAATTAGTTTCATGAAAATATCAAATGAAAATGTATATCGGACTAGAGTCTACTCATTCCAGCCCTTTTCCTACACCATATCAAGAATTCTTTTTATAAACCTACAAAATACAAAATTGGGAATATAAAATGAAAAATGTTCACATCCATTTTCAGCTAGCATTTCTATATTTAAATAATATTTCTATATTAATAATACCTAATAATTAACTATCAATAACTATATTTTATTTTTTGAACAAAAAAAAAAAAAGTCTTAACCATACTATGTTGTTAAAAATGCTATATCGTAGGATCAATAATATTTGTTCCTTTTTTATATATTTGTTTTCATGGTATTCTCTTTGCTAATTAATTATCCTAACCATACGTTCTGGCTTTATTGTTTGGACCAAACGAACAACAAACCAATTTTAATTTTATAAATATTACAATATGAATGCTAATTGGCGGCTTGCTGAAATGGTTATACACTTGAAGAATACGAAATTGAAAAGAGACTAAAAGGTATATAAGGAATAACATTGAGTCACTTCTCAAACAAAAGGACTTTGATTTAACAACTTTAAAGCACAACACAATAAATTACGGTAGGAAGGAGGAACACGAGCTAGGGTTCCATAATTCCATCCATGCATGAGAACAACAACAACAATTATATTTATTATCTATGGACGTTTATTTATTAGTAATATCATTGGCATTATGCATGCATCAATGGTAGACACGTCCTTGAATTCAAAACAAACGAACACACACACAAACACGGTGTTCTTAATTGCAACTGCTGTTGGAGAACTCTCGTCCACAGGTGTTGACGATTAGTTGCAAGAAAAGGTTGATAGTTATTTCGTTCAAGAGTTTGATTCGGGCGCAAATACACGACTGGAGTTCAAGACCAAGAAGATCCTCAATGAGGTTGCAACATTGATCAGTTGATGAAGTCCCGATAAGTCCTCCACCCAAAAGATCGATGCAAGCATCCAGCGTGGGACAATCGGTTGGTGGCGGTGGGACGGAGACAGGAGCAGGAGCAGGTGGAGGTGGAGGTGGAGGTGGAGGGGTAGGGTTAGGGGTTGGAGTAGGAGTAGGAGTTGGGGTTGGGGTTGGAGTAGGAGTAGGAGTTGGGGTTGGGGAAGGAGAAGGAGAAGGAGAAGGGGAAGGAGAAGGAGAAGATGAAGGGGAAGGTGAAGGGGAAGGAGAAGGTGAAGGTGAAGGAGAAGATGAAGGGGAAGGTGAAGGTGAAGGAGAAGGTGAAGGTGAAGGAGAAGGGGAAGGAGTAGTAGGGGTGCGGGAACTAACCATGGAAAAGAAAAGGATGTTAAGGGAGAGGAGAAGGGCAATGGATGTTTCAGTTTTGGAACCCATTTTCTTTTTAATGCTTAATTTCTTAATAACTGCTCTTCTTGTGTTTCATGCATGAAGTTTTGCCTCAGTATTTATAGGCCAAGGATTTGTGGTATCTCTCTATTTTTCTTATGTTTACTTTTTGTGCCGAATGGGTTCTTAAATTAAATTAATGAAGGTGAATCTTTAGGCACGTATATGCTGCTATAGTGTATATATACATAAAGTCCAAATGAGACCATATCGCTTTAAATATCTACTTGTGAATTTGTATTTAATTTTGAATATTTTAGTATCAACGATTATAATTATTATGTTGAATTTAAGTTAACATATTTTTTAACATGCATAATATATTTCATACTTAGCATTACAAAATAATGCAAACAGGGCAATTATAATTTTTAGGTCATACCTGTGTTCTTTACTCCATGCAACAGTTTTGGGTTGAATATTTTATATGATACAACTATTTCTCCCAGCAATATTTTTTATATTTACAAAACTAAAACCTGATTTTAAAAGAGTCAAACATATAACATACGATGAACTAATTCTTTCTGCAGCACCATGCATAAATCTTTCTGGGATATTGCTTAATTTCCTGATTTCATAAATGAATGAAGGACAAACATTGTGCATTCGATTTGTGTTTACTAATCAGTTCCTTGGCCACTGCACCGGTGAAATAAAATGAAGTAATTAAACTACGTGGTTTTTAATTAATGAGTTTTATAAATTAATAATAAATATCTTACATATTAAATAAGATTTAATTAAAATGATAATTTCTTAAAACTAAAATTTATAATTTTAGATAATCAAAAGTTAAATTAAAAAATCAAACATTTAGTGCAGAAAAAAGCCACTTGTCGTAATGAGGAAAAAATAGCTTCTAAGAATTTTTCTTTTTAATAATGAGTCATGTTTAATATATAAAATAAATTTAACTAATATTTTATTATTTATTTATAATAGCACAAAATTATTTTATTATTTATGTTAAAATTTAAATGTATGATTTATTAACTTTTTATAATTTTATTATATCTTGAATATATAAGTACAAATAATTTTTGACTTAGTAATTTTATTAATTCATCAATAATAATGTAAAACTAACATACATAAAAATAAAAAGTATAATAAAATATTATTGAGTCATTGGTAATTATTGAAAGATTTTTTTTTCATAAAAATATGTGTAAAATTTATATAAACAACGTTGCTTGCAATTGGAGATTTTTTATGATGAAAAGAAATTGTGGAAATGAGTAATATTGAAAAGAAATGTATACATCCTAAAAATTTTCACTCTTCAATATCAATGACAAATGTAAACCTAACTTATTGCACATTTTAGTGTTTACTCATTCCCATTGCTCAATGTTCATTACCTAAATTAATTGCTCGATTATCCATTTCCATTTTGATTGCTCATTTCTTTTTCTTTGTCCCACTGCCCACTTGAGTGTCTACCCATTCCTATTGCCCAATGCTCATTACCATTTTAATTGCCCGATTATAATTTCTCATTTTGATTGCCCAATTGTCATTTCTCATTTTGGTTGTCCAATATTTATGCTATGCTCATTCTTACTTCCTATTTGTCCTACCCACTCATATTCAACTCTTTACTCTATTTTTTTTTTTTTCTACTGTTATACCTTTTTTTTCTCATACCTAAATCTTCTACCTCCCTCTCCTTCCACTCCACCACCATATCACTTCTTTGTATACCTATCCATTCTCTAGCATCTCTCCTCTCTCTTTTATGAGAAATATACAAAAATAATTTCTAAATTTGTTTAAGTAAATTTTGTATAATTTTTTTAATTATTTTTTGTATTTTTATTTAAACAAATTAAATGTTAAATTCTTATTGTAACGGGAGAGGATCCAATGTTAGACATATCGTTATTGACTCAAAACATTAATCACTCCATCAATATGAACATAAAACCTCACGCCATTGTAACATTCGTGAGTCCATGAGACAACAATGTGGGGGCTAACCGTGGAGCAAAAGAGCAGTGAACGCAACAATATTCTTCGAACCCATTTCACAATTATATATATTCAGAAAGATCCTTAATTGTTTTCTTTGTTGCTTAATTCATCCACTGCTCTTGCTTTTGGTGAATTAACTTAGCCACTAGCCAGGGTATTTATAGGCCAAGGATTTCTCGCCCTCTTTTTTTGCATTTTTCCTGTTTTATTCAGTTTATGCTTATTTTTGTTGTGCATTGAATTTAATTAATGGAAGGTGAAAAGTCTTTAGCCAGTTTCATTATTAGAGTGTTAAAAAGATTGATATTGTATATAGTTATTTTTTATTGATTAAATTTCTTAAGTTGTGAATTGATAGTCTTTTGACAGTTTTATTATTTAAATATTACAAATTTGATATTGTATGTCATACTATTATTTATTTATGACGTTTAAATTTAGAACATTTGAAAAAAAAAAGTGGTAGGCAGAACACAACTATATATGTTCAGAGACGTAATTATATTGAACTACAAATATAATTTGGTTGTTTTAATATAATCTATAGTTATAGCTTATATAGATGTACTGAATTTAGTTTTAACTAAAGCTATGTATAGGCTGAAAATGGATTATAATTATAGCTAGATATATATATATATATATATATATATATATATTTATTTATCAGTGATATGAAATTATAATATAAAAAAATTAACAATTTTTTTAGGAGAATATAATCTAATTTTTATTAAAATATAATATGTGCTAATTATTTGGGTAAAGAAACAATAGTTTGGCACTGCACAGTGATAAGGACAACACAACTGCCTGAATGGTTTCAGTTTCAATCGCCATTAATCCCATGGAGATCGACATTGCTTAATTTCTGAATTTTATAATAATTAAGGCAAAAGACTGTGTTGGATTCGCGTTCATTGGCTTCCGTTGTTCATGTTTTAGATAGTTTAAATAAAATGGAAGTGTAGCTCTATAGTTTATTCATAATATGTAGCGTTATTCATGTTAAATTTAAGTTCATATACTCAGTTGAAGTGGATTTAAAATAACTGATGTAAAGAAAAGACAAATCCATAATACATTACACTTATATTATAATTTTATTAATTATTGTGCAAGGTTAAGCAAGTTTCGTGAAGGAACGAGGAATCCTACATAGCTATCATATACCTTCGCTAGTTAATGCTTAATTGCTCTAAGACTTTTACGTTAATCACACTTAAAACTATTAGTAGTTAACCTTACATTGATGAAAATTGTCCTGCTTTTTACGTAGCTAGGGGGACCAAACAGATAAGGCCTAAATATTTTTATAAGTCTTTAATGCACTTTTCTGTTCACTACTGTTACTCACTTTAAACCATTTCCTCTGATCAAATTAGATTAGTCACTATTTCATTTTTTACTTACAGCTAGGAATAGATTTAAGAGGCGATAATGGATTTAATTAGGAAGTCCCTTACTTTTAAAAAATATAAACAGTATTTAATTTGTATAAATTAATATATAATTTAAATAAAAAATTGAGATCTCAAGCTTTAATCTTTTGTTAGAACTTGTAGATGAAGTTTTTATTAAGATGTTACAAAAAAGATAAATGAGTGTGGAGAGCATATTCTTCAAATTGTTATTTAGTGCAATATGCGTATTTATGATTATTTGAAATTTTTGGTGGTCTTAATAGTGTAAATATGCATATGCCATATGCCTTGCAAAGACTATGGAAAGGAAAAGTCCCTCTTAAGTGTATGATATTTTCTTGGTAATTATTGTTGAATGCACTTCATTGTAAAGGTTTGCTGATTGATTGTGGTGTTCAAATTGATTATATAACTTATTACTTTTGTCATGATTTAGAAGAACTTTCAACTCATTTATTTTTAACGTGCTCAATTTTATCTCAAATCTTATACTTTATTGCGTTTTAACTTAGATTTTCACTAGTTTAATCTTCAGATTTATCGACTCACTTATTTTTTTGGGTTAATGTTGGTTGTAGTAAAATAGAATGAATATGTTTATTAATTATTTGAGTAAGTACAATGTAATTTTTGTGGTTTCATAGAAATAAAATAATGTTCTCCAATAGTATTTTGGATGAGAGATAAATCTTAAATTCTTTTATTCTGAGATCCTGAAAATAACTATCCCTTGTTAGTAAAGGAAAAACTATTTTTTAACTGATTAGTATCTGAACCCATAAAATTGTATCAATCTTAACTTTATATAAGTATATTTCTATTTTTTATTTTTTTAGGTAAGTATTAATTTTTTTTTTGGTATATATCAGTTTTAAGTTTTCCTTAAACTCTGATAATATATATTTTACTTATATATATAAAAAAACCTACTATATATATATATATATATATATATATATATATATTACATTATTCATATATTTATCTATCTATGCTAATTATTAGAATATAAATTTTGATTTCAATTTCCTCACATTTTTGTTTCAAATTTTGAATATAATTTCTTTAAAAACAAATAAAATAATAAAATATAATTGTAAAGCAATCAAATCCTAGTTTATTTGTGTACTTTAAAGGATAAATTAGAGTAAGATTTATTAATTGAAATACCCAAGGTTAAATATAATTATAATTTAAAAGCATATAAAATAAATTATTTTTTAAAATTATTTAAAAGTATATAATTATATAAAATAAATAAATACTTGACCCTTTAAATAATCTTTTACTGTAGCCATACGTCTAGCATAAATATATACCAGAATACCACTAGTGTTTTCATCCTTCATAAATCTATTTACTTCATCTTTTCATTAATATCCGATTCATTTCCTGGATCAATTTCTATATTATAAATATGAGTCAATTATTTGGGAAGTGAATTAGTAGTGAAGTTATTCTCCTTTATAATTTATCATTTATAATTAAAATTAATATGTAAATTATACTTTTTTTCTCAAATTATTTTTCTTTTTATCTATATCTTTCTTAATTTTATTCTGAATTTTATACATTGGAATTGTTGCTTAATTTTTCTTTATTATTCATATATAAAATTTTATATTTTCTATCAATATTTTTTTTTTGCATTTATAAAGGTTATCTCAATTTTTTTCTATTTTTTATTTAAAATTTGCTTTTATATTGATTGTCACAAATAATTCAATAGTTTTTTCACACTATACAATAAAAATATTATTTTAAAATAAATCATATAATAAAATTATTTAAATTAAAAATAAAAAAGTAAAACTCATTTTTTATAATTTTTAATAAATTTTTATTAATAATTAAAAATATTAAAAATTACATTGCTGACATTCCTCATGGGTGAAAGCAAATGTGATGCTTTAATTTCATATAATAACTTAATAAATTAAAAATATTAATAACATAAACTGTTGTAATTTTAATTAAAATATTTTTTTTATCATATGCCCTTAACACACATTGAAAAAAACCAAAAAATGACAATTCTTTTGGAAATAAGAATCACATAATTTTATTGGTAGGACGTGTTTTAGACATGCAGTCAAAGAAGGTGATGAGTAATTAAGATGGCAAGCTATGCCCCATATATATAAAGAGAAAACAACCCATATATATAGAGAGATACGAAATATGAGAGACAACGTGAAGAAATTAAGGGCACTGGAAGAAACCATTGTTGTATTTTCCACAGTTGTTGAGAATGAGGCTCAGGGAAAGTGGGACATTAAGGTTAATGCCAAGGACGTTGGCTTTGAGGGCAGTGCAAAGGCAAGTTGCGGCTTCAAGATTAGCCAGACCCTTAATGAGTTCGCAGCAAGGGTGAGTTGGTGGTGACCCCAATTTAACCTTAGCCAAGTTCAACACTTCGGCACATACCCCTAACTTAAGGGCATCCAAAGGACAAGTACCCTTTTGAGATGGTTCTGTTGGGACTGGCACCACTGGGATGTAGTTGGAGCTCACCATAGTCAAGCAAAGTAGATTGAGACACATGAGTAGAGCAACATAAGCCCATGCAACAGTGCCCTTATAAGCCATTATTTCACTAAAGTAGTATCTATATGCTTAGTTTGTGAATGGTGGCTTTATAGCTAAATGATTATATTTGAGCTATGAAAGTTGGAGAGTGTAAAGGGATTTTATAGGTAAAGTGTTTTTGTGGTTTTTGGTGTCTCTGTTAATCTTTAAAAACATAAATCTTGGTTGGTTTAATCCTTAAGTAATTAGTCTTTATAAATATTGTTTTTTAATTTCTATAAAAAATTATTCAATTTTAATTTTAAAAATATAAAAGAAATGTATTATTTTAGTCTCTAGCAAGAGACTAAAATTAAATATTTTTTTATTAAATATAAAAACTAAATTTGAATAAAATTTGTACAAAGACTAAAAAAATTGATATTTTTAAGAACTGACTATTTTATTAAATTTTTTAGAAATTAAATTAACTGCAAGTATGATTTTTGACTAATTAAATATATTACTTGAGTTTAAACTACTATAGTTAGGAAAGCCCGTGAACTCACCCCGCAAGCTGGCACGGTGGCAAGGCAACACAAGGGATCATATGATAGTTGACTGAATTTTTGTTATAAAAAATAATCACTGTAGCATCAAATGTGTATAGTTGGTTTTCCTCTTTAATTTCTAAATAATGAGATAAAATTGACATAAAGATTGAATATTAATATTAATATTCCCAGGATTTTAATTATTATAATAACTTTGTCAAATTAGTAACAAGCAATTTGACATCCCAAACAATTTGAAATCATCAATTGTGATATTAATTCATCTCCTTGTTTGTGCACAGATTAATTGAATTTTAAATAGCATTTTCGCCTATTATTAACACGATGATTAGATATTACGTAACTAATATAACTATATATTGTCATATATAGACAGATTACATGAACATATTGAAATGCTTTTTGCTCCGTTTGTTAGACAAAATGCATACAATCATAGAAAAGATATTAATATATATCACAATGATTAAATGATAGGTAACTGCTATTACTGTTGTTCATCTAATGGACAATTTATATAACACATCGAAATGTCTTTTTATGTGATTGTTCAATTTTCACTCCACCAAACCATAAAATCGTATTCACTAATCTTTCATATAAAGATTCGAACAGTTGTCACAACAAATTAAGAATTAGAGTGTTATGTCACATAGATTTGTCATATTATAACTCGTGAATATTAGTTTACATATTTCAACAATGGAGGTTTCTTGTTTTCTTTTCCAATCAATAATTTATAGTTCTTCGTACACGATTTTATTGGTTAATACCATCAGAAAAGATAATTTCCTAAACATCCAATTTCTACATGTCTTAATTAATTTAAATATCAGTAAATCGTATTTTTATAATCTTATAATTTTACTTATGTACAAGACAAAATATGATTTTCCATCATAAGTTAAAACAGTAACCTTTTTAAAACAAGAATTTAAACCTTCTTCAATTATTAAATATTAAAATGTGGTCATATAACATATTTTATCACATATAATTAATAAATTTTATAATCATGTACGACGAGTTTTTATTCAATAAAAGTAATGTTTTTTTTTTTTTAATATGATCATGTCTCATTACTCAACTATATTCATAAAAGAATGCTAAGATATTGCTGGTACATACCTCAATGGTATTAGTTAAAAAATAATAATTACACTTTACTAAATATTATTAATCATTTAAAAACAAGTATTAAATGATTTAATGTCAAGTGGCCTCAAATTTAATCCGAAAGTGAACTAAGTTTTAATTTTTTTGCAAAAATTTTCTAATTGACTTTTCCAAAATGGCGATGTCATAATTTTTAGAACAAATTGAATGAAAAAACAACTGGAATGGTGCAAGAGTTTTACAATCAACTTAAAATCGCTAGCTATAAAAAAAATTGTTAAGTGTTAGAAGAATTTTAATCCCATTAAATCATCAGCCTTTTATTTTTTTGGTAAAAAGTTTCAACTTTAAATTTTAGGCCAAATTAATTGTAAATTAATTCTGAACTTTTTTTTTACCTGACTCGTTTAAACTTTTTCTTGATTGAGTTTGAATTCACTTGATCTATTTAAGTGCTTTTTTTGCTCGGTCCGACAAAGCTCAAATTGGGCTCATGTGATATAGTTTGAATAACTCATTTTACCATCTTTAAGTGTTAGGTAATAGCATTTGTTAGGATAATCGTTGTAAAAAGAAGATAAATTATTAGTATAAATTGTATAGATTTATACTAACAAATAATATATCATACTAACTTTTGATGTATTAATAGTATATAATAAATATTTTTTACTAATAAAAGTATATTTTGCTATAATATGTCATATTGTTAATGTAAACTCATAAAGTCTATTAATAGTTAAATTTTTTGTCAGAAAAAACAATGCTAATCAAAGGTTAATCTAATATTAATTTATTAATAATTGATATTTTTTTAGTGACCAAACATCGATGAATCAATTGCAAAAGTAATCAAATAAAATAGTTTAGGAACAGAGAGATATAAACTCTACTTATCTTTGCTCAACTATTATTCATCTATAATCTATGTTTACTTCGATTCCAAGCAAATTTAAAAAATAAAAAATAAAAAAATCGTTCTTTTAGAAAGACCAATACAATATCTATTTAATTTTTAGGATACCACGTCTGAAAAAAACTCCTCTCAAGGGGGTGTCTTACCCTTTACAATGTGAACGATGTCTCCTATCCCTTAAACAAGACACAAAAAAAATCTGTTTTTTTTTTTTTTTTTTACAAATTAATATTTTGTAGATAACAAAAGATGTGTATGATAATTAGGTTAATTGATCAATTATTCTCTAAAAACAATTTTTAAGCCAAATATTATCTGATTGCTTATGTTTAAGAGACTAATTAATTAGAATTTGGAATTTTTATTTTGATGAAAACAATTATCTATGCATGAGGTCAAATGTTTTATATTTTAATTAAATATTGAACCCATTATACCATAACGTTATTATCTTTACAAAATTGGATCTTAGGCCTTAAGACTATATGAAACTTGTTGAATTAATTTGACTTGGAACATCTATCATTATGTAAGTTCACTTGTTCATGTGTTTATTATTGTCAAAATCATGAAACATTTATTTACAAATACATAATTTTGTATTTTTAACTAGTAAAGACTTACTTATTTAACCAATAGTCAGTACACTGATCAATCAAAAGGTTGATCGAAAGCAATCATTGATCCATCTATCGATTTTCAATATTTAACTCTTTTAATCTCATTACACTTGAAACTTGAAGACAATCGATCACGCATCAAACTTAAAATCAATTCATTTTGCTGAGAATATCATTTTGTGCCAATATTCAATTTAGTTCTTTCCTTAAACAATCAGTTTAAATGTTAAAATTGGACTAGGGGCTCATTTTAGCATTTAAAGTTATAAGCATTAAATACTCAAGTTCTCAATTTTACAACACTCTCATGTTAAAGGATTGAAACAGATAATAATTTAAAGAATTAAGGATGGAACAAAAACATTATAAGGTTAAAAATCAAAATAATTGGTGCTTATAATTTCAAAGATTGAAGTAAGATTCATTTATTAAATTTGACAATTAATTAGTTAAACTTTGAGATGTTTGCTAAAAGTAAAGCTAAGAAAAGAAAAGAAAAGAAAAGAAAATTCAACAGAGTATAGTTAACTAATTTCTAGTATAAGAACAAGTGGAATGTAATGTTGACACCCTATAACCTCATGGTGTAAAAGCTGTTTATTTTATGTGATTAAGGGTATCCTTCCCCCAACTGACAGTCAAAGATTACTACTTCTTTTGAAATGGAGATGATCAACCTAAGTTTTACCTTTACAGTAAAGTTTTTCCATACATATATATAACTAGAAATAGAACCATTGTCAATATGCTTAAAAACACAATTATTTATTAATTAACTCACAGGTCTTATCAGTCACTGGTATTAAATCTGTGAAAAGTAAATTATTTTTATTTTTAGTTTTAGTATGACATTTAGGTAAAGAAACATATTTTGCAACAAGAGTTTATCCCATTAGAATTTATAACACCTTATATTTATGAACTTCACCTTAAAAATTTTAAAAAACCGTTAGAAATAACATATATAAAAAAAAATAAAAAATCGTAAACCACTTTCATACAAGTTTAGGCTAACACCTGTGTAAGTATTTGTTTGATAAGACGAGCCTAATTAAGTTCCAAAAGAACTGCTCCCTGAAACACAAATTACTTTTTATATAAAATTGTTTTTACTTCTATCACAAGAATGAAGTTCTCTTATTCTTTTTAATTAGAATTGCTGAAGAGGTAGGAATTTAACATGAACTATCTTTAATCCACATCACCTCAATTGTGTTATACCGCCCCAACAAAAAAAGCTCAACCCAATGAACTTAATATTTAAATGCAGAGTTACAGGATGGTATATTGTCCACTAAAGTTCATCATCAGTGAGGAAATTCAGAAGAATGATGACTGAATAAATAGGGAAGTGCAGGAAATTTTACACAAGCTATATTTATGACTCTTAAGTTTCACTCTACTCCTTCTCCTCAATCTTGGGAACATCATTGGTATTGCTCAGGGCATTTCCAAGATTGAGAAGCCCATTTCTATACAGAATGTCCAACTCATCAAAGTAAGGACAAGTTTTACTATTTTGACGCCTTTTCTTGCCACTCCCTATCGTCCTTCTGTAGTACTTGTTGATGTTCTCCCACTTCTCCTTACACTTCTTTGCAGAGCGGTTGTAACCCATGCCATGCATTGCTTCACGTATCTCCTCCCATATTGACCCTTTTGATCCCATGACACGAAACTTGTGTTCCAATGAAGTTCTCACAGTTATGAGTGCTTGTACTTCAACATCTGGCCATCTGTTGCTACTTGCATCACTGTTTAAATCTTTTCCAACATTCACCTGAACCTCATCCTCTTCTCTTTTGCTGCATGCTTCTACATGTTCTGGGATTTGAATTTCATGGCCCAAGAGGTTCTGAATGAAGGATATGAGGGCTAAATTGCGAGTCTTTTCTTGGGCTCTAGCTTCTTCATCTTTTCTAATTCTTTCCATCTCCTCATGCTTCCAAGCTTCTTCTCTCTTTATTCTTTCCCTTTCCTTGTTTTCTATCATTTCCACTAACTGCTTGTGCATCTGCTCTTGCTTCTCCATCACCTTCGTCACCAAATCCTTCACGAAATCTTCAAGCTTTCTCACTGTCTTTCTCCTTCTCTTTCTAGACCCAAGTTCTTTAGTACTTGCTGATGAATCATCATCTTCATCCTCACCCTCAAAAGAGGAGCTGAAATAAGGAAGAACAAATCAAAAGAACAGCTCAAATTCATGTTGAAATTGTCATGATGGACTTTCCCCTCATTGCCAATTGTCTCATCGAACATTCCATGTGTTACAAACACGAGTGTGTCTAAATTCACTCTTAGGCATCTGTTACCACTCATATTTAAGTAAATTTCGTCTATAATACCTTTTCCTCTCTCTAATAGTAGGGATATTTTACACAAAATTCTCGTGTAGGAGTGGCAACAAACACATGAAAGTAGCAATAAACACTGCATAAAAAACACTTGCGCAAATAAAACATAACTTTTGACCAAACTATAAATAAAACACCGTACGATTCTATTTTTAAACCAACAAAATACCACAAAACAAAGCATTTTTGAATCAGAAAAGGATGCTACAATAGAATACAACACAAAGTAGTGAGCAGTTGTGGGCTCTCTCTCATTCTCTCTCTAAATCCAATCATAATGAGCATCAAATGGACAACAATTGCCCCGCACCTCCACCTCTGCTTGACACAGATTCGCGCTTAACGCTTAATCGCATGCACCCATAAAAAAACCACACACTCTGTCATCACCACAATCCACAAATCACAATCATTTCCAATTAAATTAAACAAAAAAGAGAGATATAACTTTAATGGTTGTTTTGCCTTCATCCCGCAAAGTTAAGATAAATACATTAAGATAAAAGATAAAGTATAAAAAATCAAATCCAATTAAAAAAGACAGAAATAAACGAATTTTATATTAATTAATTTATGAATAACGAAAAGTTGACATGAAAGGGAGCGATGGAGTGAAACTGACCCGGATGGAAGCGGGGCATGACCCGACCCGGGAGGGATGGGATCTTGCCTTCGGGTGGGTAGAGAAGGGTGGGCATTGAGAGGGGAGGGGATGGACCTGATTGGGCGGAGCTTCTGGGGGTTGTGGCGGTGAGAGAGGAGGTCGGTGGTGTAAAGGAGGTCGCCGGAATCGGGAAAAGGAGTGACGTGGTCGGGGACGGGGAAGTGGTCGGCGGCGAAGAGGTCCATAAGATGGTAAAAAAAAATTGCGGCGCCAAGGAAGGGTTTTGGGAAGAGGTGAAAATAGGGTGGAATCAGTGGTTACTGGTTGGTAATGGTAAGTAAAATCACTACTGCGTTAAACCTGGGTAAATTACAACCACTTTCTTCTCTCTTCTGATTAGTATTATTATTATTATGTACCCAAAATGTGCGTGTGTGTCTATATATATATATATTATATCGACAAAATGCTAAGTTTTAGTTTTCTTAAACTACAAGATTTATGTGTTATGTATTAATGTTTATATGTGCTGCTAATAAACTAAGGTTGAATTGAACTAAATCTTCTTTTAAGCATTAATATTAGTCTCCACATTCAATGCTCTATACATGTTTATTATAGAATAATACAATTAAGGTTCATGTTTAGAGTTAAGCTTTTAAGAGAAAAGAAATAAAGGATAATTTTTTTATTTGTAATTAACATATTCAATTTTATAACTTTTTAAAATTATAAAATAATCTATATTTATTTTTATAAATATTATATAATTCTTTAAATTTAAAAATAATTTTTTTTAAGTCTAACTCCAAACATACTAGGAGTCAAACACTTTATACAATTATGTTCTTGTATTATAAAATCTATTTTATTGTTAATGTACTATTTTATAAATATCGATTTATGCATAATGCATTAGAGTATCATTATAAGTACATTATTTTGTGTCACTTTTAACCATTTACTCACCCTATAAAGTAGTAATTCTTTTTGAAATTACATTAAGCTCAATTTTATTAGCTCACTAAAACATCATATAAGTATAATTTAAAAAGTTTAGATCCTTTATTTTTCACCTTATCAAATATTCTTTAAACAAAAAAAAATCAACATCAATGGGGAATAATATAGATAAAAATAAATATAATTTAGAGTTAATAATTTACTCATATATATAAATAATTTACATAAAATTATTCGTTCGTTGTTTGACTATCTAGTACAAAAAGCCAAGTTGTTGTAATTTTCTCAGCAATACTTAATGAAAATAGAAAATAAAAATTTAATAAAAGAGAAAAACAAAACAAAACAAAAACAGGAGCCTAAATTGAAATACCGATGTTGCCTTTTGCTGGCACATAATGACGAGGCTATCCCCATGCTGCCGTGTCCCCTGTCTCACCACTTACCCTATCACACACCCAACACAAATGACAATCTCATTCATTCAATTCTCTAACTTTCAACGTCAAATTTTGATTGTAATTTCAGTTCCTAACGCACTCGCAGGTCGATTACTTGGTCAGGTAACTAAAAATGAAAAATAAATTAAAAAGAAAAAGTAAGTAAAACAGAGACACAAATGGTGCTACGATAACGTAGGTATTAAGCTCGTGGTTTGGATTCACATTTCACACTCACCCGAATTAACAAAATGCTGAGATCGCTGCACAAAGCTATCACTCCTCTTCTCCGCAACAAGGAATTCCCATTATCTTGCAAGAGCCCAACGCTTCATATCCACAGCGAGAACAATTAGAAGAGGTAGGTGCTGAACTGAAACCAAACTATTTTCAATACTGAACCTCGTTTCCCTGTTGGATAGACAGTGTCCCAGTTTCAAATTCTGTGTCTTTTTCTTTTCGGGTATCGTTTATGACTGAAAAAATTCAGCCTTTTTCTATTGGTTGCACGTGCATGTTTGGTTTTCATTAAATTTTGGAGACAAGTCATTTTTTTTATTATATCCTGGTCCTGAATTGAATATTAAATAAGATAATCCTTACACACGCAAACATTGATGCTTTTGATTTGGGTTTGCATTGCTGGGTAGACTTCACCGGGCTTTTCATTGGATAATTTTTAGCCTTTAGGGGTACTCCTTCATCATGAGGAGTACAATTCATCGTAGCACAATTAACTCTACAATTCTGTAGTGAACAAAAGGTTGTCTCATTTGTCTGTGTTTCTAAGATTGTTCCCTGTTAGTGAGTAGTTGTAACTTCCCCTTGGAAGTTATACAAATAGAGAATTATTTTAGAATCCAGTTTCTTTTTTTGTCGGCCAAAATTCGCCGGTTCAAAGGTCATTGTTGATTGGTTTTTAAAAATAGTGGAGATAACTGAAAACTCAAGAAAATAAAATGGAGTGAACTAATTCACTCTATAAAAAATAAATTCACCCTTTTTCGCTGCATAATAGTTCTGAAGTCTTGTAATATTCATGCAATGATGCATCCATATGGTACCATAAAAGTTTGGTTCTTCTTCTTTCCTAATTAGTTGGGAAAAGTAGGCTTTGAGAACTGATAGTCTTTGCTTACATTTGATAGCTGATGCTATTCCCATTTTATAAGAAGTGTTTAATAGTTCTGTTCTGATTTATTTAGAAATACTAAATATAGTCTGGTCTTTTTTATAGACTAGAGTCTAACATTACCTTTTCTCATGTTTTCCTTTATAGTCAAGATTGGAGCCACAACCCCCGTTCATCATGTTCAATCCATGTCAACTTCAACCATTGTATCACTAACTGACACAGAAATGTCTGCACAAGACCAAGTTCAACAGGTTAAACTACTAACATCAACCAATGATGCTTATGGTGGTGTTATTATCGAACTGGATCAGCCTATGAATTCTACAACATTTGTCTCGATCCTTAGAGCTTCAATTTCACATTGGAAGCAGCTGGTAATCTTTCATATTAGTTGCTTATTGTGATTAAAATCATCCTATTTGATTTCATTCATTGATGGAAGCATACTGGAAATATGATAAATCAAATGTAGGGCTGTTCCATTAAAATCTATGCATGCTTAGGGAAATGGATCCTGTCATGTCAAATTTTCACATGACCTTATCATTTGCAAAAATTCTTTATCTATCGTCATAGACATTCACAAAGTTTGATGAGGCCCCACCTATGTACCGTATGTGAAAAGGGGGAGATATACACACACAAAATTTTCACATAGATCTAATCCTGCATAATTAGATAGGTATTATATTCACTTCTTGCCATAGCTCTTGGAGAGCAATAAAACAAACACAATAACTATGTTCTGGGTAATTATAACATGTATAGATATTGGGATTTGACAGTGTCTTCGCTTTGTTTTCTTGTCATGTAGTTAACATCTTTGGTTTATCAGTTTGATTGATACATAATGGTGTAATTTTAGATCAGACCTAAGGCTCATTCATGTGAAGTTTATGCATTTAGTTAGGTGTTTTTTGTGCTTCATGTACAGTTGCCAAAGGACAAATAATGTGAGCACACAAATCATCGCCGTCTTTTTGTTTTCCTTGTGTTGTTTGGTAATAAAATTTCTCCTTCATCAATGTATTTTAACACATATGAAGTTTTATTCTTAAGTAGCTGTAGTTTCTTCTTTTGACATTGACCTGTCCTTCAGTATATATGTCGAACGTATATTCTCATTTAGCTTTAGTAATGTGAAAATTTTACTCAATAAAGAATGTCATTATAGTAGCTGGCTGTCATAATCTTAGTTTAGCAACTATGATCTATTGGAGAAATTTTCATTTTGAATTGCATAAGTTTTGTGATTTAATAAATTTGTTTCCTCTCTATTTTGCTTTGTAAAAGCGATCATGTTTGAGAAGAATCTGGACCGTCTGAAATTAAAAAAAATAAAAATAAAATATGCTAATGAGCTTGTCATTTATAAGCAACAAAACTGGGGTATTTTTATCCTTACTACATGTACTGGGAATCTAGAATCTCTCACTGTCCTTTCTTATTTGAGTTAATGGATCAACATTGTCTTACAGGGAAAGAAGGGCGTTTGGATAAAATTACCTATTCATCTAGTCAGTCTTGTTGAAGCTTTAGTTAAGGTGATTAACTTTATTGCTTACCATAATGAGAACAGTTATGTTTGAGAACTTTGGTTGATGAAAATTGAGTTACATTAATGTCACCATGTGTCTATTCTATGTATTAACTATGATTTCCATGATACTTATACGCAGGAGGGTTTTTGGTACCATCATGCAGAACCAAAATATTTAATGCTTGTTTATTGGATTCCTGAAAGTCCAAGTACAATTCCTGCAAATGCCACTCACAGGGTGGGCATTGGTTCATTTGTCATCAATGAAAACCAAGAGGTTTTTCCCCACTATCAATCACATTTAGTGCGCTTCATAATCAAGCTTATGCTAGATTGGAAGGACTTCCTCTTGTTTGAGACTGTACCTTTGACAAATACGGTTATTCCAGTCATGTATCTTGATCAAATGATAACATCGTAGATTAGGATGAAAAAGAACCTAACATGTGTTGCATCTCATTCCTGAGAGGAACTAGTATATTTGGATCATTTAGAAAAACAAAAGGGAAAAAGCACCTTGCTTCTCATTTATTCATAGAAAAGAAAAAGTGATGATGGGCCATATCTTTGTTGTTTATTTGATTTCCTCTCTTCATTTCCTCATCCATTGATCCCATGATATTAATTTCTGTCTGGTTCATTATCTGAAGCTTCATTGGAAAAAGCGCAACATGTCTGTCTCTAATAAAACTTCTTAAGAATTTGCCCCTCTATGGCAGTTAATATCTCATTTTTTAGTTATTCATTGATCTTAGGTCCTAGTTGTTCAAGAAAATAGTGGGCAATTTCAGGGAACTGGAGTCTGGAAATTCCCTACTGGAGTTGTTGATCAGGTAAATGTGTTGGCTATGATAACTTTTCCATTACAGAATAAGAATCTACACTACTGTGTATATAATACACTCATTCCCTTTACAGGGAGAAGATATTTGTGTGGCAGCGGTAAGAGAGGTCAAAGAAGAAACAGGAGTAAGCAATATTGTTGCTGTACCATTTAACTGTGGGCTAGTCCTGAAATTAGCTGTTTGATCAGATTTCAATAAAGGTGGTATTTGTTCTGAGCCTAATTATTCTGGCTTCTCTAAATTTTCAGGTTGACTCGGAATTTTTGGAAGTATTAGCATTCAGGTAGCATGTTTATGTGAATATATGTCAATTCATATACTTGATGGGAAGTTGCAATGATTGAATATGTAGTCTTCAAATTGGAGATAGAAGATTCAAATCTCATTGATATTGTATTTAGGGAATAGGGATTAATGGAAGGACGTTGGCCCAATCAACATCTTGTAGTCCAAAATCCTACAGGGGATGAGGGAATTCTTAACCAACTACAGGGTTCACTTTAGATCTTCTTGTGTCAAACGACAGTATTGAAGCTTGTGTATGTTGACATGTACATTTTTAGCACTATTGTTGTCTATGGGAGAGTACATGCTTGAAATATTTATACATTGCCAATTCTTTTGTTACTTGAATTAGGAACTTTCTCTTCCTTTTGAAGTTTCTTGGATTGTTGTGAGTTTATATTTTATGACTGAACACTCTTTTCTTCTTTCATCTGAATATCTGATAACAGACAAAGTCATAATTCATTCTTTGAGAAGTCAGATTTATTCTTCGTGTGCATGTTGCGGCCCCTTTCTTCTGACATCCAAATACAGAGCTTTGAGATAGAGGATGCACAGGTATGTAAATTAAAATTGAAGGTTAAGTATTAATTATTGTTTGTTTTCCATGTGTACTTTAAAATGTTCAATACAAAAGGACCATCAAAATATCTTCATTTTTCTTACTCCTTCCATTGCTAAGTTATCATTTAACATCTTCCCCTTCACATTAAAGCTTTGTTTTACAAAATTTAGTTGCTTTAGTCCATCCTAGTCTGGCAATAAATTGTACTTTTAAAAAGTATCCCGAGGAAATGTAAAATCATTATGCCAAAGGCAGACATCAATTCTTCATATTATTCTTTTGCTGCAGTGGATGCCATTTGAGGAATATGCAGCTCAGCCATTTGTACAAACGAGTGAGCTTTTGAAGTGCATAAATGATGCATGTTTGGCAAAGATTGATGGAAAATCTTCTGGATTTTCTCCTGTATCAACATCATCAAACTTCTCTGACCAGAAGAGTTTTTTGTACTTAAAAGCTGAGGCCTTGAAGAGGTCCAATTCTTCGTAAGCATCATAAAAGGTTACACAACTAGAAAGGATATTCAATTACTTTATATTATTTGATTCATTATGTGAACAATGGTGTCTTCATCAGGTAAGTTAGTGTTTTACCATTAGTAGGCTTTGTCATTTGAAAGCAGTTTTAGTGATAATCAAATTTAGTTTCTGTAAGGATGATTACAGAAACTTTGGACGTTCAGCAGACGATCATTTTTGTGTTAATACATGATCATTTAAATAAAAAGGTCTTGTAAACTAGTGCCTTGAGGACACTGATTATAGAATCAATAAATTTTTATTAAAAATTATATTAAAATAGTAATTTTTTAACAAAATATTTATGTTTTACTCCTTAATTAGTACTTTCGGAACACTTCTTAGCATTTTCTTAATAAGTTGGAATTTATTGCATAAGCACAATACAGAGCCACAAAGAGAACCTTGGGACTGTACCTATGATGATGCTACTATGTAAGTTATTTGGAGTCATGCATACATCATAAAAGAAATTGCATGGATATTGACATCATCCACGATTTTGGCAGTGGCTTGTTAGTGCTGGTTGTCATGCGCGCACATTTGGTGCAGTGCACAAGATTATTGATGAGTTTTACAGTGCTGAGTGGAGTGCACCAATCACCTCCCAATTTTGCTGCTCCTCGCAAATGCTATTATGATATGAGTTCTTTACAAAGTCACTTTTTTTATTCTTGTCGTTTTTTAGTGCCCTCAGTTTTACATAACAAATTGTTGTACCAAAAAGTTGCACTGCTTCCAGCAGCAATCGTCCAAAATCACTTTATACAAACGCATTTTGGAGAAGTTTTAGGATAAAAATCACCTGGCAAGTTAGACATACTTAGGAGTTAAATATAATTGTTTATCACGATTTAAAACTGATCTTATTCTGTATTTTAAACGATGGCAATTACATTTCTTCCTTAAAAAGTGAAGTCAGATTAAATATAATTTTAGAAAAACTCTTAAAACTAGAAATACTTTTCTAATGAACGAAAACTCAAAAATAGAGTTTATAGAAATTTATAGGAGAAGCTTTTACTTTTACAAGAATGGTCACCAAATACTACTTTAATATAATTCACTACCACAAATTTACAGTTTATCTTTCATTCCTTTGGTTAAGATGAATAGATGAAATTAATCAAGTACTAATTAAATAATTTGTAAATAGTTCAATTCATTAGTACATTCCTAAGACAACAAAATCGATTGAAGATGTGTCCACTGTTAATAGTTACACAATAAAAAATTAATTTTTTTCCTTCTTTTTGTTTCTTAAAGTATAAAGATAACTGCATAAAAATAACTAAAGGTGTGTTTAGCTTAGATTGGTGTTAAATTCACTCAAACATGAATCTATTTTTCAATTTGCAAGTTATAATTTTCATATTAAAACGTAATTTAACATAATTTTAATTAGTTTTTAAACACTAAATCCCTAATCTTATACTAATCCTACTAAAATTGACTCCACAAAGATAACTAACCTTTATCTTATACCCAACCCTACTTAAAATGTATCCTTTATGGCATAATTAACAACATTGATACCCTAGTCGTGCCACAGGTAAATTGTCTCTCTTTTTCTTTTCTCAATGTACTTCTTTCTTTTGAAGCAAGGCACATGACATGCGTAGTTTTTTTTTTCCTAAAGGGAAAGCTACTTCATGGAAAAAGATAAACTACGAAGGAATAATAAATACTAAAAGACTACTAAAAATTTGCTTCAGGCACCGAACTTCAGATGTGAGAGGCACTTTTACCAAGTCACTTTCTTTTAATTTATTTGCTTTGATATGTTAGGGGTTATATGTTAGAGCTTCGATATTTTCTTCTCTTTTCTTAGTTCTGATATTTTACCAAGTCACGTTTCCACTTTCTAAAGTTTGAATACAAAAAGGAGAACAGTTTATGATTCACATAGACCCACACATGGACAGTAAATAGCACAAGTGAAGATATATTCTTCACCCCTTCACCTATATTCTATTAATTTTCAAAACCAATCTTCCACTATCTTGACTAAATAACTAAATAACAACAATCAATCATCTATCGAGATTAGACTCCAATCAAGACTTTTGTGTGGCCCTGCCTTCACATTGAGCTGAAGCGTCAATAGACAACAAAGTCTTGGCCTTCTTCAAAAAGAAGAAAACCAATTCACAACCCCTCGTATCATTCTAAGGTTTTTGCCTTTATTTCTACCAAAGTACTGTTAATTTACGCAAGAATCTAGCCTAAGGGTACGGCCAATGGCCAAAACCTTTCGGGACCATATATTAATAATTCATTCCCCTTGACCAAAGACAACAACTCAATAATGTGAATATGAAATGGGTCAATGCTTTTTTATGGCTAAATGGTTTGTGTTTGGATAATTGACATCAAGAATATGCACATAGTAGAGGCAACAAAGCATAGTTAGTTTATAGCACCACGATCGGAAACAAAGGCCAAACTTTGAATGACACGAACCTACATGTTCGTATACTCAGAATCAATACTTTATCCTACACAAATCTCCGTTTTGCTTCAAAGATTATGAGACTTTGGTTCACTTAAATTTGTAACACATTCAGATAATAGCTTAAAAAACGAGCTTACCAATTTAAAGAAGACATTCGTGCAAAATAATCACTTGAATCAAACAAGGCAGTAGAAATTCGAACGAATAAAAATCCACTCTTAGAAAGACATTATATTTTCGTGCGCATTGTGATTTTTCATTCTTTAAAATAACACGAAGAGTTTTGTATTACCATTACGCGATTAGTATCTGCATTTAAAGTTGTATATTCATTTAAGGGATCAGTATACTAAATTCAATGAACAACTATACAGGAATTAGTAGCGACAATAAGCATTGCATGAAAACCTTTCTATGACAAATAAATAAAACTCTTTTTAAATTTTAGTTTCGTTAATATTAACCTATAGGATCAACATTCAGCATTTAAAAATCATAAATCTTTATTAAAAGAACGAAGTATTTATTGTATATAAAATATAAGATTACAATAAATAAGTTTATTAAAACTGATGTTATATCAGCAGAATGTTTTTTTTATTAGGATTTAGAGTTTAAGTTTTAGAGTTTACTTTACTCATCTCTCAAATCAATTGAAATGATTTTTTTTTTCAAAATGATTTTTCTATCTTATACACGTAGTGCAAAATTAAGAGACATTGATTGCATCTGTTTGAAATGACTTTTTATGTTTTTAATACAATAAATATTTTTATAAAAATGAAGAGTTGTGCATATTGTTGTTGATATGAAAATTATAACGCTTACCATTTTCATTAACTCAAAAAAAAAAGCCAGCATCCATGAATCAGTAGACCATTCAAGTTTAGAGTGACGAAAGCTCTGCCTCCTCCATCCGTTGAAACTTTTTTTTTTTTATATAAAAATAATAAGTATATTATATAGTTAATAATTAAATTTTAATTTTTAAAGCATAAAAATTACTTATTTTATTTTATTTTTCAAATGAGATATTTTTTTATATAAATAAAAAGCAAATATTGTATTAATGTGCTTAAGAAATTAATAATTTTTATAGTACTTTATAAATAAAAAAAGACATTTTATATTCTCTCATGTGTAGAAGAATAATTATTATTACTAATTTTATATTAATAAGTAATAAAATTAATAATTTATTTATAAAATATATAAATATGCTTTAATTTTTAAAATATTAAAAAAATTATAATTATTAATTTAAAAAATATATACAATGTTGTCTCAACTTACATGTAGGTAACTTATAAATCACCTAAGAAATTTAATCATCTACTAACTGTATCAAATTTTGTTGATTGCATTTATACTAATCCCAGTTGCCAAATACGGAAAGTATATTACTGTAACATAGATGCATCATATTGAACTGCTAAAATTAGAAATCACAAGACAAAAATTATATATAAAATTTATATGTCATGAAGAAGCATATTTTCAAAGTAAAAAGAAAACATTTTCCTCCTTTTTCTTATATACTTTGTTTTTGTTTTAAAAATTGTAAACCAAAAAACCACCATACTAGAACCAGCCAAAAAAACAAAACCATAGCCCTACCCTTCCTTCATATAAAGAGAAGAATACGTACAAAATTTGTGTGTATCCCAAATCACCCTCCATAATATCTACATGTCTATATATCCCAACAACGAAATTTCAAGCAAATTCTAAAATCAAACATGCATGAATATATAAATTAACATATATGATAAACCTTGGAAAACAGATGGCATAAATTAACCTGCTATCTAGTTCTTGCAGAAGAAGGAGATCCAGTCCCAGATCCACCATACACGTGTCCTTGATGCGGATGCTGATGCTGATGCTGATGCTGATGCTGATGCTGATGCGGATGCTGATGCCCCATCATCATCATCATAGGAGATGGCACCACACTCCCATGGGCATGAGCATGAGCATGACCATAACCCTCACCAACATTATTCCCATCTCTTTGATCCCCTGGTGGCCTTCCCATCATAGCAGTTTTCTCCCCTTCCATCTCTCTGTACTTGTGCAGATAAATCTTTAGAGGCTCCACATACTCTTCAAATCCTAACGTGGTCATGGCCCACAACAAATCATCACCGTTGATCGTCTTTCTCTTCTCTTTCTGGCACTTATCCGATGCTTCCCCTGTGATGAAGCTTATGAACTCTGATACACACTCTTGCACCGTTTCCTTCGCTTCCTTTGAGATCTTCGCGTTCGCCGGTAACGCTTTCTTCATGATCCTACTCACGTTCGCTATTGGAAGAAACCTATCTTGCTCTCTACACCCAGAAAACTCACTGTTTCCACTTGCGTTACCCGTTTGACCTCCTGACTCGTTGTCAGACTCAGCCATAGCTTCACCACTATATAAGAGAAATGTTACCAACCAAACGCACCCTTATATATGTATATAAAAATAAATAATTATACTATATATATGGGATTAAGCATTAATATATAGTACTATTTCACTAGCTAGCTAGGTAGTGGGAAAAAGTCCATGATGTGTACTATATAATGATTAAGACTGGATTGTGGGTTTCCTTAGATTCATCTAGACGACCGGTGATAGACGTGAGTGATGAACAAGGTAACAGTGAATGATTGGGATTGAATTGTGAGCAAGTTAGGGTTTGAAAGCGGGTCAGAATAAACATGGAAGGTTGGAAAATGGCGGGTTGGAGTGGGAGAAGTGGGTGAGTGGAGTTTGGGTGTTGATTTGTGGGTTGGTTTGGAGAATTGGATTAATTAATTAAGATGGTTTAAGTGGTTTGGAGTTTAATAATTAATGTTTTAATTATTATGGCCTTGTTTTCTGATACGTGGATGATTTTTGGCCGTTCGATTATACGAGTTAAGTTATTAATTGACGCGTATGCTTCATGTTTAGCGTTGGATTGAGGTTTAGAATCAAACATCCACGTTGACGTTGAATAGAGCCCAAAAGAGACAACACCTAAGCTGTCTCTGTAGTATGGCTCAGCTGAGGGGGAAAGAGAAGAATAAATCATTTTATGAAGAATATAATATTGTCACAACCCTCTTGTGAGGGTCATGACGACAAGGCCATCAAAATTAAAAATGTGTGTAAATTTAGGGAATCATCACCCATTTCTATTAAAAATAGTGGTGCAATTGGATATTTTAACAAGTACATATAGTGTATATTTCAGAATTGATTACAAGTGAGAAAAACACCATCACTTTACACCTTTTATGTTAAGAATATATAGCATTCTATCAATCTATTCTTATCCTTAAAATTATTTAATTTGATTCTTTAAAAAAGTTTATTTTTTATACGTCCCATTTTATCTTCTATATTATTCAGGATAATAAATGATTATGAAAAAGAATCAGTGACTAGATAGTTTTTATTATGTGACATAAGTTTAATTCCGACAGTATATTATGACGCATTGGAAATTTTAGAAAAAATATTTAAAAATATTTTGAGCAATAGAAAAAAAAAAGCTTTTAAAACAAGAAAACAGTTATACCATTATAATATTTACATATATTAATTTCGGAAAGAAAGAAAGTCTTTGAAAACTATTTTTAAAAATTATTTAAGAATCTTTTAAAAGAAAAATAATTTTTCATAATTATAGAAATATTTAGTTTTATTCTCATTAATAATAATAATAATATGCATAGTAAAATATTTGATTTGAATAGAATGTAGCAATAAATTATGAAAAATACTTTCATTGGAGATTTTCCAAAGTCAATCAGCACACATGGCCAAACTAAAGAAATTCTACTCCCTTCAAAAAAGTTAAAGTTTTATCATTTCCATGGCTAATGTTGATCATTTAATCATTGACATTTTTTGAAATAAAGTTAAGCAAAATTTATAATTACAAACATACCAATAAAGAATTAAGGCCCTTTAATTGGTTTGGTTCTTAGTTTTAAGTTTAAAAGATTAAAAAAACTGGTTTTTATAAATAAATTTAAATTTTGTAATTTTTAATTTTTAAATTTAAACACCAAATTTTATATTTTAATAAATTTTTATTTTCAATTTAAGCTTGCTTGTTGATTAAGTAATGATTATAGATTTATATTATAAAAATCATAGTAACTCATTATAGTAGCAAGCATAGTTATTTTAACCATTAGGTCAGTATTAACAATAGTGGAAACATAGATTATGATAGTCATGACAATAACAATGGCAATAACTCAATTAAAGATGTTTATTAGTTAAGTTGAGCCTATTTTTATCATTTTTTGATATGTGAATCGGTTGATTTGAATTGGGTAATCAAATACTTAAAAAAAATGTAACATATAAAACTAAAAAATATCATATTAAATTAAAAAATATCATATTAAATTAAAAAATATCAATATTTATATAAAAATACACATCAAATTATTAAAATATGAATATTATAAAACATTTTTACATATAATTAAGTTGGATGAAGTTCATTAGATTGCAAAAAAGGAAAAATCCAATACCTAATCCGAAAAATTATGAGCCTATAACTTCAAAACTCAATTATATCCAATTAACATAGCCAATCCATTAATTTTAGTTTAGAAATTATTCAAGTTGAGTGAATTTACTTACTTCATGAACACCCTGAACTACAAAGACAATAATAACAATTAATTAGTATGATAAAGGTAATGCTGAAAGCTACCATGACGAATGATGATGAGGACATGACCATGAGCAAGGGCAAGGATCCTCTTGAAGGACTTGGAGGACCTATGACAAGGGCTAGAGCAAGGAGAGCAAAAGAAGCTCTTCAACAAGTGTTGTCCATATTAATTGAATACAAGCCCAAGTTTCAAGGAGAAAAGACCAAGGTTGTGAATTGCATCATGGTCCAAATGGAGGAGAACTAAGGCGCCACTTTGCTTCAGTTTTTAAGTTTTTAGTTTGTTTTAAATAATGGCCCAATCCTTTGTAAAGTTGGCTGACCAAATTATGTTTTGTGGTTAATCAACTAATGGGCTTTGGTTTGGTTTTATTTCAAGTTGTAATAAGGGCCCAATTGGCAACTTAGGCATCAGCCTTTGGAAGACCAAGAGGCGCATAGCTAGTGGCTGTTGGGTGACTTTTTGGTTGCCACAATTTCAGTTACAATCAGCCTTTGGAAGACCAAGAGGCGCATAGTGGCTGTTGGGTGACTTTTTGGTTGCCACAATTTCAGTTACAATCAGTCATCAAGTAGTTTCATTTTCCGTTATGGAACCTTTGTAATTCTGATGGTAAAGCTTCTATATAAGCTGAACCATTCTTATCAATAAGACAAGTTAAGTTTGATTCAGAAATATTAGAGATTATCTCTTTTATCTTAGTGAGAGTGATTCTCCTAAGTTCTTGAGTGATTCAAGAACACCTTGGCTGTATCAAAGGGCTTTCACATCCCTTTGTGTGTTGCCTTCCTTGGAAAGAGTGATTCTTTCCTTCCCCCATTCAATTCTTCACCAAAGTTCCAAAAAAAACTCAAATCTACCCAGAATTATTTCGTTATCATAACTCTCGTTCTACTCAGCCAAATTGAATGATTCTTGAGCCTAAATTGCATTTCAGAATGAGAACTTTCACCTCGTTTTGGAATCACCTCAATTGGAGTTCTATAACTCGAGATACCGTCATTTCTAAAATTCTGTCCAACCACCACCAAACCAGCGTTTTTTCTTCCTTTTTCACTCATTTTTAACACCATGGACCAACACCTAATTTGCCCAGAAATTCATCACTAAATTTTCAAATTTTTCTACAAGGTTCTAACCCTAAAGATCCTAAGTCAGCCCTTGTGCAAATGGGGTTCATATCAAATGACTTGGGAATGTGATAACTCAAGTGATAGTGGCGATAATAATAATAAAAGTGATAGTAACATTGATAACAATTATGCATATTTTAGAAAATTAATATGAGATTTTAATGATTTATTTGATAATTAAATTTTTGAAAAAATTAAATTATAGAAAAATTAAAAAAATATGAATTCAGATATATTTTAAACAAACATGCTCTATTTTGAAATTAAAAAAAAAAAAAAAAGAGCTTACGGCTATCTTGCAACATGCCATAATGTAACAAATATAAAACAATAATAATAATACAATGAAATTTGAAGAAATAAAAATTTTAAAAGAAAAGATTTACTGATATGAAATGAAATAAATAATATATTAATAGTATTAAATATTATTATTAGTTTCTTAATTAATATTATAACAAAAAAGTAGTATTAGTATGGGCTTAGGGCAACGAGTCATTCAATGTCGAAACGATACCAATAATTTAGGGTATGAGCAGTGTAATGTGTTTACAGCACATGCTAGGGATTGTGAATATTGATTCACCATTAGAATAACATACTTTGTTTGAAGGGTGCATATAAAAACATGAATAAACAATAGATCTGTGAATTTAAATTAATAAAAAATACCTCTGGGATGATGAATATTCATTAGTGCCCCAAGTGAGTGTCATGAATCAACCAAATGATGTGTAAAAGAAAATCTTTTCTAACTCTGAGAGAATGAAAATAAGAATTATATTTACATTTACATTTATTGATAATGAGGTTTGAGTTTCGTCAGCGTTACGAAAGTGTGTGTGAATGTATGAGACAAATCGATGAGCAGTGTTGAGTAATTATGAGAGTCATGACAAAATGATTATTGGAGGAACCATCCATACCACCCAACTTGTGCCACCTGGCACTCATCATCCACTCTGGGGTCCACTCTTTCAATTTTTAAGGTCAAGTCACAGGTGCTTTGCTTATCATTCATTCACACCCATTACTCCTCGATTAGACATCTCTTTTATAATCACTTTTAAGCTAATTGCCTCTCTACCTTCTATACAAACACATTAATCTAAATTTCTAAATATTTCTCATTATTAATTATTTCAACTTTTAACAAATCTTATTATATATCCTTTAGTTAATTAGTTAAGAGTATATTTTATGTACCATAGTGATCTAAAAATCCTATAATATTACTATTAATAATTTTTCAAATTTTATTAAATTTATATATGTAACAAAATGTTAGTTTCTATATTTATAGCTCCACATTATTTTGTAACATAATAAATACTTTACTTAATTAAGACATAAATTATTCTTTTAATATAAAATTTACTATAATAGTGCACAACAAAGACTACTCATATTAAGTTAAGTTATCTATTATTGCACATTCACTAAACAAATTTATTGATAACAAAACTTCAATTGCAATCAAATTTTTCTTAAAAATGAATAATATCATAGAAAAATGATTATTTGTGTTATCACAACATCACAAAAACAAACAAGCTATTAATCATATTTCTGCTAAATTTGATAAAATTAATATAATAATATTTTACGAAATAATAACGAAAAGAAGAGTTTTAATTTTTCTTATGTATATGTACAGATTAATATTTGGACTAATTAGACGTGTAATTTTTTTGCCGTGTAAATTGACATTCAAAATGTTTTGAGAATCGTGAAATAAAATCTTCTATTTTATACATATAGGCTCAAAATCTTAACTATGCCATGTTTGCTACATCTTCGTTTCCCACGCGGAAAGATAAACTCAAATAATATTCTTTATATTTTATCAAGTTATTCGTAGTGATTAATGGTAAATTAAGTTGTTTTTTAAAAAAAGTTATTAAGTTATCAAACATTAAAAGTTATTCATATTAATTCAAATAATTTCAATTACGTTCGCATTGATCATCTATGAGCTAAGTAGGTTTGAAATTATTAGAAAGTGACATTCTCAATTGGAGTCAAACTTTCGTAATTAACATGTACTAGTTTGAGAATGAGGGATTTGGATTCTTTAAGAATTAAGTATATAATATAATATTTAGTTCAATTAGAATCATTTTCACTTTAACGTTTGACTGCATCTGGAGAAATTAATCTCTCGCTATCAGACGAGAGAATTCTCAAAAAGAAAAAATATTGATAAAAAATATTCCATATAAACTATTTATTTAAAACATGAGAATAAATCTTATAACTTAAATGCTTTGTACACACTTTTATATCATTAGCTAGCCTTGTCAATTTCATCTTTCATAAAATTAATTTTTCAATAGCCCGTCAAATTAATTAAAAAACAAGCTTTTATACATTAATGTGTCTTTTTAATAGGACTACATATCACGAAATTAGATAAATAAATAGAAACTAGCATAATTAATAAATATATAATAGATAGTGAAATCAAAGTAGAGAGCCCAGTTTCTATTTAATTGATAGTAGCAACAGTCAATGTATTATGTAATAAACCAATGGGAAGAATTGCCTCCAAAAGCATGAGTAGGTCCGTCCCTACAATCGATGGATTTACTCACCAACCTTCTTCTTTCACTGTGACAAAAGACTATTTCGCTTCTCCTTGAAATTTCTAAAATTTCAGTGAGACATTATTTATGGATGGAAGCCAAATTCAATTGTTGAGTTCACCATCTCACCTTATTTTCCACAAATTCACACGTTAGATTGCCAAACTAAATAGACCATATCATACGTTATGGGAATCGTTGGATGAGTTTTAATTTGTCCACTGGGAAGAGTACAGGAAAGCAGACAAATGATTTTACTACAACAATGAAAAATAATCATACTTTTATATTTTTGATATAATAAACGATTTTTTTTAATAAAATCATATTACTTTAAATTATTTAAAATCAGTCTGAAGGACTGTTGTTAAACATTTTATAATCAGGTATGCTACAAGTCTAGAGAAGAAATTTGCTGTGTCCCTCCTGAATTAAAGTCTAGCGGCAAAAATCAAAGACTAGAAGGTTATGCTGTTATGTGAAAAATGTGTGAGACGTGTCCGTGCTTAAAGCTTTGTAAACACTTTGTCTTCATGCTTTTAAATCGATAATATATATTTTTTCTAATTGTCCAATAGAAAAATAAAATACGTAGACGATAAGAGTAGGGTACCAACTTTATACACTTCTTTTGTTGCTTGAATTTTTTGAGCTTGACACTTGAATTCCCTACCTGCCCTCTCATCAGTTATTACTAGTAAGAAAAAATAACTGATGGTTGTGCTTGTTTAAGCGAAAATGAGAAATCAAGTCTCCAATTTACATCATTTTTGGTCCCGTCACCCCTGGTTTTCTACCTGTCTAATGAAATAGCTAGTGTTTAGTTGATTTAAGTTGGTTTATCATAGTTTGTCAAAAGTCTTCATTAGGATATCGTACATGCTCGCGGGTAAACTATATTATAATATTAACGTCCACGCATATATATATATTTGATTAAGTAACAGCATGGACTAAAATCAAATTTTACCCTACTCAGAAACAATGGAATTAAATGCAAATCTGTAATTTGAGTAGCGAAGGATGGATTGCCTTGCAAGTATTTATAAAGTACCTTATTCTTGGGTTGGTTCGCTTTAACATATTCATCTCACGTAAAGCCAAAGCTTATAAACAAAACACAAGCACAAAGAAGATGAGCTACTTTCGTCATTGCCATACCCTCGTGATGCTGCTTCTCTGCTTAGTCTTTTTGCTTGCATCTCCTGCGTTTGGACAGGACAACTTGACATTCAAGTTATCTAGCAAAGATGACATGGTTCAAATGGCTGGCTATGGAGAGGAGAAGCTATCTACAGTCCTTGTGACAGGCTCAGTTTATTGTGAAGCTAGTTTCCATGGTCGAGCGGACCATTCTCAGGAATGGCCAATACGAGGTATATGAATAGTTTTGAACTAATACTCTAGCTCGTTCCTTTTAAATATGCTATATTCATAAACTAACAACCATACCACTAATCATAAGCTGGCCTGTTTTATTGAGTAAATCAAACTAAGAAGTAGAATGCAAACTCAATTAGCTAAGCTAGCCAAAGCATCTGTTGCCAAATTAAGACAGACATTAGTGTTTCAAAACCGAAGATTTACAGCTGTTTGGTGCTCAATTGTTTAATTTGGTGAAAAAGGTGGCTCTCACGTTTTGGGAAAAATTCTAATTTGGAAAAGAAAAACATTGTTTCAAACTTACTGACATTATCGATTGTACAATGACAAGGAAAGATATGGAAAGAAAATACAACGAAAATGGTTCCAAATCTCCGGCCAAATTATACGTCAATTATGTAATTATACATATATATAATAACAAAAAAAGATAGAAACAACCAATTTTATGTTTTGCGACGATTATAATTGAATTTGCACTTTCTAATTATTCTATTATTTAGTGATTGTTGATTCAAAAGGAATGCAGAAGCCCGTATCTACAAAATCGATCCCTAGATATATGCTGCGAACATATAATATTAATTACCACACCTAAAACTAATATGATATTTTTTGTATACTTTACACCCCTCTTTTTCTTTCTTTTCTTTTCTTTTCTTTCCATCATATCTATCAGTTTATCTCTCTTATTTTCTTATTGCTCTCTTTCTGCCCACAGGTGTATTCACACCTCCGAGGTGTGAATCCATCTTTATCAAATACTAAAAATGGTTCATAAACATAATCAACCTGTAAAACACATGCACTCATAACATTTAAGTTGACAACCAAGGAAGGTCCCCAGCATAGCAGCTGAGGTATAATAGCTTCCACCAAGACTCTAGTTACACTATTAAAAAAGCAAGCAAAAGCTGAATATCTGATTGCAGTTCTTGAAACATGACACCAGTTGCAGCAATGTTTTCGTCTTGAATTTCCAAAATTCATGAAATTTCCTTTGCTTACAAATTTGATTAATTTCAATATTCATACAGGAGTTTTGGCTTCTGTCAACTGCAAAAGTCATGCTACCAAAAGAAAAAGAAAAAGTAAATCAATGGTAGCAAGAGGAGTTACTGATGAGTTTGGAGATTTCATCATCGAACTCCCTTCCCACCTTCATGCTATTTCCAACTTGGAAAACATATGCAGAGTGAAAATTCTTCGAATTCCCAAAGGATCACCATGCTGGCCAGCGCATGTCAAAAGACACAAGGGACTCAAGTTGCTGTTCTCTGGGAATGGCATCCGCACTTACAATGCTGGAAACATAAGGTTCCCGCATTCAATGTCTGAGGCAACAAGGGAGCGGGGAATAAGAGATTATTATACACCACATACATAGGCCATAGGATTTCATAATTACTTTTATAAAGAGAATTGTGGCTAATTTGGATGGTTCTTTTAGTCACAGCATTGAGTTGTATGGGTCTTAAACATTTCCCTACAAAAAATACAGAACTATGAACAGTCTGTAAAAGATGTAGGTGAAACTGCGGGAGTGAGTGACACAGATGTGTTCTGTATAAATACCGCTAGAATTTGGTCATCTAGAAAGCTAAGGTTGATCCCAGAAGCGTTCAATGACTATTATCATACAACTGAGATGTTAATGAATGTATTTAAGAATTTGGGCTTGATCAATTTTATATTCTAGAAACCAAAACATTGCCTCATACAAAATTCACCACAGAATGATTCCACCAATAATTACCTGAATGAAGCAAACAATAGATCACCTTACATGCGTATTTGCAGCTAAGCTGATTAAACAGAGATCCGTGAAGCACAGTCACATAAACTTGGATGCCAGATACTAAAAGTAACATCTAGAATTCAGGACTTTTGCACATCTTTCTGATCAGTTTCAGAGGCTAGGTATTTTGCAACATCAGCACAACAAGTAAGCTTATCTGCCTTCTCATCAGGGATGTCAACTGAAAATTCTTCTTCAAGGGCCATAATCAGTTCCACCCGATCCAAGCTATCAAGGTTCAAGTCTTTTTGAAAATCAGCTGTGTCAGTAACCTACAAAATGGTCAATTAGAATAGAATTGTAGAACAATGTTATCCCTCAACACAAAGAAAATTCAGCAATATTTTGAACTCTTCCATATATTACTAGTAAAAACAGAGACATGGATTGTAAATGTAAATCTCATAGTGACCATTAATTTAATACCTTTGAGGCATCGATTTTATCGTACTTCTTGGCCAGTGCAATTACTTGGTCCAGTATTAGATCAGAACTGGCAGCTTTTGAAGAGCACCAGCATCTCAATTGTGCATGCACACTCTCATCCCCAGCCAACAACCATCTTTCGGTTGACCTCCTCAAATTCACACGAGTCAAGATAGATTTCTTAATGCTTTGCATGTTCAAGTCTGCAAATGATCCAAGCACTATTTCAAAGTTATCCAAGTTGGGTTAGTTTCAGAACACAGAAGAGGGGTTATGGAAGAGTGAAACTGTGAAAGTGAGGATAATAAAGGATTTTTCCTCCTTTCTCTCATTCAAAACAGTTTGTCAATTCTTCCTCACAGTTAAAAATTAAAATAGTTAGTTGAAGCTAAGAAATCACTAAGGTACATACCAGTATAAGCAATAAACATTGCATAAAACAAAATCGTATGGCCCATAAAAATCAATAAAAAAAGAAATATATGGTAAAAAAATTTTTCACAGAAAAACAACTAACCGATCGAAAATAAATAAATAAATAAATAAACCTAAGCCACGGTCTAGCGAGCAATAAGGATCCTAGCTAGACATAAGTTAAAACTAGAAAGGTCTCAACTTTCAGATGCCAACAACACCACTAGTAAGGTCTCTTGTCAAACTAGAAATCACTCATTAGTGAGAACCAATTCAAGATTACACAAAGAAAGGTGCTTGTCCTTATTTCCTTGGCATCAGGAACTGTATTACATTCCATCAAGATCAAGGTAGATATGAAACTCCTTCATCATTACAAAAGTAAGGACAAGGTAATTGTAACGAGCGTGTCACGGTTACGTCAACACGTTTCCATTTAAGTGTTGTCTTGAAAGAGAGAGATTAAAAACAATTAAACACATACATCTGAAATGTGATATCATGTTTCCATAAAAGAAACTTGGATTGGCTAAACCTACTTGTAGCAATGATCAAATAGCAACAAATAAAATGGAAAGGAGGAGTGGTGGAGTGCAATCAAGGTTCAAAGAGGGAGAGACAGAAGTGGGCACTCACGAGATTTGGCGCAGTGACTGGGATTTGGTCAGATATGCCGACAAATGAACCGGTCGGGTAGGTGTTTGATATATTGCCTCAGAGAGAGTCAGAACTCAATGGGGGTAAGTGGTGAGGCACTCCTTTTCTCTACTTCACTATCATGCTCCTGTAATGTAGCATCTAGGTTTTATTTAAATTTACCCGAAAAAATGAAAGTAGCGAATATTTTTAAAATAATAAAAATTAAAGTATATTGTACGATTATTTTTTTAATTTAGTAGATTTTATATTTTTTTAAAAAATAGGTTATAAAAATTCAAAATAAAAATTAAAAATTACAAAAAATATTAAATATAAAAAGATAATAACTTGAAGAAAAAAAACTTCATTTAATATAACTGTTAAAAACATTCGCGTTTCAAATAAAGACTTCGTGTTTAATATATAGACGTAGATTTATATATTTTGGTTTAGCATAAACATAATCAAATTGGAATATTTACTTAATGTTTGTTTGAAAATACTTAACAGATCATCTGAAAAACTTTTTGAGCCTAATAGATCAACTTTTTTTCACAGTCAAAATAGACTTATCTATTTAAGTAAATATAAACAAATGTAGAATTGCAAGTACTACTACTAATATTATTATTGTTGTTGTTTAAAAATTTAAGTTTGTAAACTAACTTATAGGTTTAGATCTTTTAGAAGTAATTTTTGTATTTATTTAAAATATTTTTTTTATAAATTAAGTTATTAAGTTAGGTTAAACTTAAGAAAAATACAAATCGACATTTAAAAATTGATTTATATAAAGTAAAAAAGTTTGACTTGAGCCTTAACTCTAAGAATTATCTATATAAAGTAAAAAAATAAAATAAAATCTTTTTATCAATTTTTTTAACTATGAAAAAAACCATTTATTAATATGTACGATGATTATTTATATTAAAACAAATTAAAATATATTTTACTTATCTCTAAAAAATGAATAATGTAATTTTTTAAAAGTATAAAATTTTGAACTTTTTTTAGAAGACAATCTCTCTAAATTTAATAAAATAGACATAATATACTTACCACCTTAATTTAGAAACACTTAAGTGAGTTAGCTTATAAAAATTTATTTTTGTAAAACTTAAAATATGAAAATGAATTTTGACTTATTAGTCTACATAACTTATATAAGTTAAACAAGTTGAATTTTAGATTTTCATGTTAACTTGTATTAAAAAATAACATTAATTTTTTAACAAAATATCAAACCTTATCATACTGAATAAAGTTAATTACATAAATTGCACAGTATTATTGAACTTGATTAAATTAATATTTAATATTTAATTTTTCAATTTAAACTACAAATATTTTCTATTAAAAGTAATTATATTCAAATTGGTTCAAATTAATATATGCAGTACAATTATTTCTTTAGTATTTAATGTAATTACACTAATTAAGACTCAAATTTAAAATATGGTAAACTGAAATAATTTCTTGTTAGTTATTTTACATGTTTTATAGTTAAATCAATATTTTAAAATAAAAAAATAAAAATATATATAAGCGAGTGAACCCATTTAGCTAGAGACTTATGCAATTTTCTTAAATATATACTCATCTAAATGTTACTCAAGATCAAGCTATACAATTTAATTTTTTATAATACTCTTATTATTAATTTAATTATTGAATAACAAAAAAGACATTTTGAAAATATTCAGGCATAAGTAAAGAAGAAAATTGATGGAAGGAATGAATTATTAAGATTGAAGAAGAAGGAAAGTGGTTTAATTAAATGGGAGAAGGTAGTCGCAATCAGAAAAATAAAAAAAGGAAAAAGAGAAGGGGGCGATGATAACGGGTGCCCTTTCTCTCACGCTCACTCAGTGGTGGCGTACTGCCATGGGAAGAGAAAGAAGCACAGAACAGAACAGAACAGAACACGTTGAAACTCGGGAGTGGAAGAAACGACCTCGTTCAAGAATATGATGACGTGACCACAACCACTCTCTCCTATATAATCATCTCTTTCCCCCTCTCATTTCGTTTTACTCTCTCTCTCTCTCTCTCTCCCATTTGCTTCAGGAATCGTATTTTAATTCTAAACCCATTGCACTCTCCCCTCTTTCTCTCTCTCTCTCTATTACCAAACATGGGCAACGTCAATGCAAGAGATGATGTCAACGGTACTCCATCAGGAACTGAAGAAGAAGACGAGGAAGAAGAAGAAGAAGAAGAAGAAAGAGACACCGTCACCGATTGCATGTCTTCTCAGCAGAACCCTCGCTATCCTGCGCCTTCTAACTTGATCGCTCATTCCCCCCCTCCTAGCCCTAGAGCTACTCATTCCCCCTTCATGTTCGCCCCTCAAGTAATTCATCATTTTATCTCAAATCTCCCTTTCACTTTTTTTTTTTTTCAATATTTTCTGTCTGTGACCACACACTGCATTCGTTTTTAATTTGAATCTGTTGCCTCACAAACAACCCCTGCTGCACGCTAGTTGTTTGATGCAAGTCCATAACGTAGATTATCTTTGTTTTGCTTACCTAATGGTTTTGCAAATTGGATTATTCAATCAGCATGTGACTGGGAACCAATTTGCTTACGGTTTAGGACACTGGAGAATACTAAATGGACGTTTGAGGGTTAACGGTGTTTTTTTTTTTTTATAAATTATATTAGATGTGCGATTTGGTCTCACTTAAGCTTGGTTCTGAAATTTTGTTGTTTGGGGTTTTTGTTTCTTGGGTGTTAGCTGTTTTAAGTACTGTTTTTGTGGGTTCTCTGTTTTTCATCGGTTGTCAGTCATTTCCTTTTCTGTGTGTTTAGGTCCCAGTGGTTCCGTTACAAAGACCTGACGAGATGCATGCTCCAAGTCATTCCTGGATGCAAACTACCTCAGGATATGAGGACATGTACAGTGAACTAGGAATTCCAACGATGATTACTTGGAGTTATGATGGGAAAGAAGTAGCTGTGGAGGGATCATGGGATAATTGGAAAGCAAGGTATGGTCAATTTAGGATGCTTTTAGTTTTTTGTTGGTTTTTTGTTTTCATTTTTAGTGGATATATATTCGCTAATAATCATAAAATTGTCTCTCTTTTTTTGTTTTCCTCATTTCCTTTGCGTGTTCTTGAAAGCTGGAATTAAAGTAAAAACAAAGAATTATTAGTGAAAACATATCAACTGAAAACGAAAACAAAAAGCAAATCAAATACTCTCTAAGGTCTTCTTTATTTGTCTTAGGTTGCTATGACTGTTGCTTAGATTCTAATATTCCTTGTTCATCAGAATGCCCTTGCAGAGATCAGGGAAGGACTTCACAATAATGAAGGTACTGCCATCTGGTGTATACCAATTTAGATTTATCGTAGATGGACAGTGGAGGTGCGCACCTGACTTGCCTTGGGCTAAAGATGATGCTGGGAATGCTTACAACATTCTGGACTTACAGGTACTATTTTGTTGACATATTTATCTTGTGATCCAAATTGACAGTGATGATGATTTATGCATACTTATCTGATAATAGTTTTTCAAGTAGAAAAAAAAAAGGATGATGCTGTCAATTGCTAAGTTATTTTTAGGAATTCTAGCTTTGCAACATGATCAGGGACTTTTGCATAAAATGAAGTCTGTATGAGTAAATTCTTAAGGACCAATTATTTTCCAGCTACTTGGGATAGATTTTAATTTTCTCCTTTCAGGTGTCATTTTTTTTACCTCGAAGGTGAAACTCATTTTAAGTATAAGATACCCCTTCCCTTGCATTCAATTCTCTCCTCAGGATGTCTTTCCATTTTTTTTTTTTGTCATGCTTTTGGTCAAATTCCCTTCTGTTCTGGCAAGAACTCTGTTTCATCATGTATGATCCTGAAATCATTTGAACATCACTTTGTGGCCAAGTAGCTCTCCCCTTTGCTTTTTTAGATAATCATCCTTAGTGTGCATGCCTTTGTAAATGTTGTTACAGATCAGCTTATCCAAGTTTTTGGCTCATTTTATTGCCACAGAGCTTCATGCTTATAAAATTTTATCATGACACTCTAGTTAACGTATATTGTGATCAGTATAAACCAATTCCTGAACAGGGGATGGGAGAATGATGGTAAATTTGATTTCATTCATTCATTGCATATCTGATAGGACTAAAACTGATGTCTGTTTTGAGAGTTGTACTGCTAGAAGGAATTGACTTCTATATTGAGACTAAATATTTAATATATTATATACAGGATTATGTTCCTGAAGACATTGGAAGCATTTCTAGTTTTGAACCTCCTAAATCACCGGAATCTAGTTATAACAACTTACAACTCAGTTCTGAAGATTATGCAAAGGAGCCGCCATTGGTTCCTCCTTTCTTGCAAATGACACTTCTTAATGTTCCTTCAGCAAATATGGAAATCCAGCCTCTTATATCCAGACCTCAGCATGTAGTGCTCAATCATCTTTACATGCAGAAAGGAAAAAGCAGCCCTTCAGTGGTCGCACTTGGTACAACTCATCGATTTCTAGCCAAATACGTGACTGTGGTGCTGTACAAGTCTTTGTAGAGGTAAACATAAATGACATGGAGTGTGTAGCCTTAAGGCCTTTTATTAGTTAATATAGCATCGAGCAGTACGGTTATAAGTGAGAAATTCTAAGCTGCATAAGGATCATTACATGAAAGTCAAGATTGTGGTACATATAATGCAGTTGCTTGATGACCATTCATCATGCAATTCTGTTTCCATTCTTACATCATCGGATGATGCTATTCTCTAGGAATTTTGATTAATCCACACTAAAATAAAAGGGGAGTGAAAAAGGTAATTTCATGATATTTGTTGGCTTAACCTCTTTTACAGTTCATATCCACCATATTCTCTGTGTGTATGTGTGTGTATCACATATATGTTTGTATATAGTTGATTTATTACTGGATTTATAGTTTTAACAGTTTGGGTTAATAAAAATATAATATTCATAAAAAAAATATTGAATACTGTGTGCGCCAAGGCATACACCTAGAAGGCTAAAATATGTGGATCCCATCATACAAACAATTATTTTTCCGAAATCATCAATCTTCTGGGTTTCAGAATATGTTTTGTTGTGATTCAATTCCATGAATTATACCCTAAAAGTTATGTTCCTATTTCAAATTGCAAAAGATTCAATGAACTCCGTGGTAACTTCAATTGTACCCTTCAGATTAGATCCTTTCTCTCTCAGGCACACACCCACGCCAGCGCGCACATTGGTGTCGTAGACAAAGATATTTGAGACTGGCTTAATATAACTTGTAAAATTTCAAGCTAAAAATTCAATCGCATAAGGGTAACATTGTCATTTTGTAAAAGAGCTTCAAAGTTGTTCCCGAGTGCACTCAGATTGGTGAATGGTCCTGCCTCGTTTTAGAATAGGGGTCGCAGCATTCAGCTATAGGCACTGTTTGATCCAATGGATTGTGTAAAGTTGAATTATATTCCCATTAAAACGAATGATTAAATTTCGCAAATATAATAACGGAGTCTATGACGCCACCAAAAAAAGAAAAAAAAAAAAATCGTGTATGTCTATGTCATAGCGTTTCTGTTTCTTTGCCACCTCAAAAAAGCAGTTCACCCCAGCTTCCCAAGAATAAAGTGCTCCTGATTCGCCTTTTTAATTTTATGCATCCATTTATATGTCCCCTTCGCTATCCTAGACGTCCCATTACTTCAGAGATGGACAGATTGCATGCATCCTATTCCTTTTGGAATTAGATTCCAAGTTACTACTTTGCATGATTCCCTTTCTGCAAAACTGATAATGTTGCAACCAATATGTGGCTCTGGTTTATATTTAAAATGAATAAATATTATATCTTTCTGTGAAATCAACAATTCTCTTATTATTTTATAATCATAAAAAGTATTCAATACTTTTTTTATTCAGTATGTAGGAGGATTAGCAAAACGTTGTAAGAGAATTTAAAATTTAATTTAAAGTTGGATTTTCTGTAAGGTATTATATTTACTTTCAGTACCAGATAACTACATATCTGTTATAAGGCATTTAAGAATTTCTTTAAAAGGAAAGACTCAAATACAGATTTCGTAAAATAATTTTGTAGTATATATATATTTTCATCATATCAACCATTCTATTTTACACTTTCCTGTCTTCTCTTTTTATTTCTTTTTTTGTTGTACAAAGATTGTACACACGTAATTTCTCAATAAAGAATGGCTAAGCTAAGCAGTCGGTTAATAATTGAGCCCCACCTTACCCACAAGAAATTCGTATATAGGACAACCTTCAACCTTGGTTCCTTGTGCGGTTGGGCAAGAAGCCGAATGGCAATGGTCCAATTCAGTTCCCCACAACTTCAAATTATGACCTGCATTTTAAGTTGAATTCAACCAGTGAAATTTTATAATATTTTGCATTTTTTTTAAAAAAAAAACTGAGAAGCTAATACATTGATTGAAGGCCATAATGACTTGTGGTTTCTGTTAATTACAAGTAATACTTTCGTAAAGTTTGGCTTGAAGTGGCAGCTTCGCAGTAAATTTTATCATAACATGACTTGAGATTATCAATGTCAACAAATTATCGATACAGAAGTTGTAGGCCAAAGTTCAGGACACACATAAGTGATTCTGGCCATCCTTTGGCAAGAAAATGCGTTGAAAGGTCATAAAACACAAAGAAATAAAGCATCCAGCTCTATGGGATGGGATGCCGTGGAATGCATGAACCCTTAAAATAACCACTACGCATTTTATTCAATGCTCACCAACAACGCAGCACATAAAATTGCTTCAGTTGATCAGCTACTAAAATTCGGAGTTAATACAAATATATGATCTACATTACAGTGCAGGCATTTGGGTTCTCATCACTGAATATCTGAGGAGCATAAGCATAAGCATAGTCAACGTAGTATCTTGATGGCCAGTATTCGCTCCGCTTGATATCTGTTTTAGTATTATCATCATCACCATCCTCTCCCTTGTTTTCTTCTCCTTCTTTGTTCTCTTCTTCTTCTTTCTCTTCCTGTTTCTCCTCTTCTTTCTTCTCTTCTTCCTTGTTTTCCTTTTCTTCCTCCTTCACAATTGAAGCTTGCTTTTTTGTCCTCTTGTACACATAATCAACAAGCTTTTCTGGGTCAATCACACCTTTTACTATGACTTGATCATTTCCCAAGTTTGTTTCCACTGATTCTACTCCTGCTTATTATTATTAATAATTAATACATGTTTGCATGTCATAAATTGCTCATAAGTTCAATATAAAAGCACGTTTTATATGCCAAAATATCTTTTTATTTTATTAAAGACAAGATGTAGTTGAAGTTATACCCTACCAAAAATAAAGGTCGAAACCATGAATCGACTATATATATTATAATATTTCAGCATCACGTGGCACGAACCCCCCCGCCCCACCACACACACAATCAGCATCGAATTAGAAAATATATTTTACGCAGTTAAGGTGTATGACATGTGCTTAATTTATAATCCTTGAGATCCAATTGAAATCAACGATAAATCACAACTTTTTTTGGGGTCAAAAGGTTGCATGAAAAACCTTGAAAGCTCGTACACTTTCTCTGAAAGAACGGGATTAGCGCCACAGGTTATGATTCTTACACTATGAATACAAGAAAAATCAGTAAATTATATGCTCCTCATGAACCTAGGTTTTAATTACGTACAAAGAGAATTTAGTTTGAGTTTCGCTAAAAAAAAACCTGAATATTATTGATCTTTCCGTTAAATATGCATAAAATTTACCCAACAATAAAAAGGGAAATGATGTCTAAGAAAGTGTTATAATAATGTTGCTCTTGCATTCTAAATTTATTCGCATGTCTTTTGATTTAAGGACTCGAAGACAAGGACGTAAAAACATCTAAGTTTTGTTTAATATCGTTTTACAATATTTTTACTTTATAGAAAAGTATTGAATAAAAAAAAAAATTTAACATCTTAAAATCAAACATAAAAGCCATTGATACTTTCTTCATTTTAAAAAATGTTTCTAATCATTATGAAATTCGGTGCTAAGCTTCAAAAGAATGAGTAAGTAAAACGGAACAAGACTTATTTTAAATATATGTATGGTCAAAGATAGCGGGTGATCTAAAACGGGTTTATAGAGTGCGCACGAATAAATGAGAGAGTTCGCAGAAGCAATCAATAAGAAGAGAGAGAGCATGAATCTTTGTACCCTGAATCTTGCGGATTCGCTTCTGTATAACTTGAGCACATGCTTCACAATGCATCCGAACGTTAAGGACTACTGTTACCACAGGAGGGGGCTGACAAAACAATTGAAATGACCATGAGACATGCATCTAACATTGATTCAACAATATGTAAAAATATTAGTTTAGCCATAATTAAAGCATATAACATTCATAGTGTCGGTTTGAATACAAGAATAATGTGCAAAAGAAGCAAAGAAATAACACTATTTAAAAATAAAATAAAAAACCTTCTGTTCCTGCAATAGACTAAAAATAGGAAACACTGGTTACTGTTGATTGGTTCATGAGTTAAAGTAATTTCACCTTAATTTATTTCATCTTGATAGTTTATATAGTAGTTGTTGGTTGTGACTACCCATTTAAGTGGCTGAAATTAAAAAAGAGGCCTCTAAGTGCTCCTACTACTTTGTATTTTCATAGATTCAGATACGGCCCACATGGGTTTTTCAATTATACGCATAGTCAAGGGACCAAAAATTACATTTTCCAACTCAAAAAGCAGTTAGTTGAGGAGATGGCACCTGTTGTTTGAACCTCCCCACGTACCCACTTCACATGGTTGGTTTGTACCTTAAAATTGTGAAATGTGTGGCATGTATGGTGTTATCAGCTCCAAATTTTACAGGGTGGGGCACGGTAAAATTAGAGCGTATATAATGAGCCCGTGACTGTGACCCTGCAAGCTACATGTCAAGCTGCAAAAGGGAGTGGGGTCAACCCCTCTTAATTGTCACCACCATTGCCCTCGTTACATGTGCCTTGTGGGAGAGGGGCATCATTTTGCTGACTTTGTTTCGTTATTTTCATCCTAACGTAGTATCCATCCACCGTAGAAACAACAGGAACAAGAAACCAAAACAGGAATTAAGACTATGCAAATTAGCTCCTGTCTGAGTTTTTCACATTTTCACAGGACAATCATGTTGGTCAAAGATAGCTTACAATCCTAATTCATAGTAAGGTTGAAATAAACGTAGAGTTTGAAATTTTGAACCCAATGACACCAGGAGTTAGAAGGTTTGCTTAGGAGAATTAATGATTGGAAAAAATACTAATAACACATTATTTTGAAAACTCTTTTTATGATTAGTATATTTTCTAAAATGTTAATTTACTTGTTTTGTAAATTAGTTAATAAATGTATCAAAAAATATATTTTAAAAGTGTATGGTTAATATTTCTGTACTTCTTTACTACAAGGTTTTGTCACGCTTAATTAATCTCTGAGTATGTTGTACTAAGACAACAAAACAAAAGGAAATGTCATGTCTAATTTGGAAATTAATGGAGATAAGCCAAGGGAGAACGACTTATTACCTCCTCTTTTTTCTCCTCTGGCTGAGGTTCTTTGATTTCTTCCTTTTTCTCCTCTGGAGGTTTTGGCAAAGGTGAAATGAGCTCCACTTTCTTACCACTTTTCTTTTGTAGTCTTTCACGCACCTTTATGGGGTTTGCTGCCTTTCCTTTTACTACCACTTTGCTTGTCTTGCTATCTGCAGTCACCTCCTCCACTCCTGTCTCACAAAAATATATTAGAAGTGAAATTTTGTTAATAATTTTTTATTATTGACCTTTTCCACCCCCTGTGCCTTTATCTGGTAAACATGAATGCAATGATGAACTTTTGTCTCTTATTTGAATGGACGTGTAAAATTACCTGTAAAGGTTGAGAATAATATATATCTGACAAATTATTTCATCATGACATGTATGTTGTGAAATCCAAAATCAACATGGATAATAGATCCCTCTAACAAGGAAAGAGGGAAAAAAAGAGAGTAAAAGTACATGATGAACATGATTGTTGCATCAATGGTATATTCACCACATTCCAGCAGAAACTCCTTGAATTATCCTCTGATTGCATTCATGGATTTATATTAATTAGAATTAATGACTTAATCAGAATTAATATGGCTTAGAACATGAAATTGAAGTAAAATGACCTTCAAATCCTTTCAATGCTTTTGCAACTTTCCTTGCACAGGCTTCACAATGCATATCAACCTTGAGTACTATCTCTGGAGACTCTTCATCCTTTTTCTCTTCTTCCTTCTTTTCCTCGGTGGTTTCTTCCTTCTTTCCTTCTTCCTTGTTCTCCTTTAACAGCAAACAGAACATTAACTAAATATTAAACATACACAACAAAGATGAAATAAAATTACAAATCTCCATTTGATGTGTGACTTAAATAAAGATACCACATCATATATAGAAAAGATCATAAAATTAGTTAGGGATATGATCCCAGTCCTATTGCAGTTAGTTTCAAAGCAAAAGTTGTCAATAACAGGAAAAAGTTAAATTGATTAATAACAAAAATAGAAAAGAGTCTGTGTAGAGAACCCTTACTTCACCCATTTCTGTGGCAATGTATTGGAGCTAGCAGTTGCAAAATGATGATACTCTATGCTTTCTCTCTCTTAAATATTTGTGTGAGAGATGGAAAAGAAGAGGGCATTAAATTGACGTGGGGATTCTGAAAATCTGAGGTGGACCGTTTAATGCAGAATAGATATACGTAACACCATATGGCTGAGTCATCATCTCAAAAGCTACGTACCCTCATTTCTTTGTATTTTACTATTAGTCATAGACTTTGGAATCTCTAATTATTTTCAACCTCACTGCCTAGTGGGTGGACCGATTTAGGAGGTGGAAACTCTTGCATTTTTTTTTAAAAATTACAAAATTTAAACACAGAACGTTAATTAGTAGTTAATACGAATCAAACTATGTGATTAACAAGTTTCAACCTTCATTTTCTGTCTTAATGACCTTGACTGTATGCCCTAGCATGGATACTTCTGCTCCCTAACATTATGGCTATTCAATGAACGTTAACTATTATGAGTTTTATTTAAAGTTGTTTATGGTTTTTATGTTAATTCATTAAAGATTTTGTTAACTTAAACTTTTAAAATTAAGTTCAAATATCTAAAAATAATAGTTTTTATTATAAAAGAATATATTCATCGTATTAAAATTGATAAATATTTTTTTATAAAGTTTTATTATTATTAGTTATTTAAGTTTAATTTTAAGAACTGAAATTAATGATTTTTATTAAATAATTTAGACTAACTTTTTTTGTTGTTAATGATAATAAAAAAGTTTTAAAAATGTCAAATATATATCACTAACCTTTCCTCTGTTGTATTTATACCATGGTCCGTGCGAGTGAGTCATGCATGACACTGGAATGTGCTAGAGAAGTCCCAACACCCTCTTTGGAAGTAAAAGACAAAGTCAAGTTAATGAATTGGAATATTCAACACGTCATGCTTACATGAAAGTGTTACGCGTACTGTTATGTGATTCTACTTACAATCAAATATTATAACTTTTTAAAAATATATCATAAAATAAGTTAATTTTAATAAAAATTAGAATCAATAAATATTATCTATCTAAATTATTGCTTTAATTATACCTATCACTTTCATATGTTTCTTTAAAATAAAAATAAACACTGGCCTGTAAAAGAGAGGTATAAGAACTATCTGCAAGTAAAAGGAGAGAGAGTTCTGTTGGAGCTTGATCAAAAAGCAAAATGCGTTGGGATGGCACTTTCATATCTAATATTAAAGCATAATGTATCTTCATTTAACATTATTTATTAAAATTTATCCTCCATCTAATAATTAACTTTAGCACAATCAAATTAAAAATTTATTTAAATATGTTTGAATCTTTATAATTTACATCAATTTTAATTTGGATTGTTACACTTAAAAATTTTATTTTTGTATATATATATAGTATTAAAAAATTAAGCTTTTATCCTCATATAATATGTTAAGATACGTATATCACGGGATATAATCGTTTATACCCATGTCTCATATTAGAAGGATCAAAACTTCAATAGAAGAAAACTACAAAAATCAAAACTTGAAGTTATAGAACTATAAAGACCAAATTTTGAACTGGGACTAAAATAAAAAACAAAGTCAATTATAGGACCAAAACTATATTTAAATGAAAAAAATGTCCTTAGAACTTGTATGTCTAATTGGTCTTGGAAAGGATGGGACAGTTGATTCTTGAAACGCTAACCATGAATTTATTTACTCTGCAACATGTTTTCAACTCCTTCCCTTTGGTATGCAATTTGTTCCTGCTGGATTTGTGGAGGGATTTTTCTGCAAACATGTTTGAAGGGACAGTGTTTATTGCCTGTTAGGTTTAGAGGATTGAATTCTTAAAGGCTTTATGATGCCTGCTACCATACGTTTGATCCTTTACACCGTGTTATCATCATAACCATAAGCAATGCAGTGTAGGAAGCTAAGCATGATGTCCTGGATTGGTTTATCTATGGAGCATTGTTGAAATGGGCCAGTGTGGAAGACGTTGAAGGATTGAAATGGGCCGAGTACAAATTGTGGGCCTGATTATCTCGACTTGGATAATTTGGGAGCCGAAACAAATGCTCAACAAAACATGCAATAATATGTATGCTTTTCAGGTTTTCATTACATAACTATACATGGGATTAAATCTGAACTTGTAAGACATTGTTAACCCAATTCTGATGGAAAAAACCTGCTTTAGAGTTTGGCAACGTGAAATGCGGTCATGAGAGAGGACATTTAAATATCTGTTCTAATATTCACAAAAATAACGTTAAAAGTACTTGGTCTCTGAGGTATTATTATAGATTATAGATTGTTCCATCTTCCTCCACAATCCAATACTAGATCTCAAATGATCATGGCAACTCCAACTCAAATTGAATGCTTGCTTCTAGATGAAATGACCACCTTGTATGATGTAAATATATCCAAATCTATTTTGAATTATGATATTACATATTTGATTTCTCCCATCTAGAACTATGGTGCTACATGTTAATATTTCGCATTACAGGTCAAGCTACCACCAGCCAACTATAAAAACACTCCTCCATATTGTAATAATGCAAATATTGTCTGAGATACTGCAACAAAACTATTTGTAGTGGGAATGAGATCAGATCACAGCGATAATGAAAACATATTACTTAGTCATGTAAATGGACTTGAGGATATTTTCAAGAGTGAAATTTATCATTTTCTATTAAAATATTTATTAGGTATTTGGAAGATTAAATTAAATTAATTAGTAATAATCTCGTGATTACAAATACAGAGATACAAAGTGTTGGTTTTTCTTTTTCATGTGAATGCAATGAAAATTTTTTAATGTAAACTTATGTCCCAAAAAGTTAAGGTTAGAATATAAATAATAGGAGCAAAATATAGTACTTAACATTACTATTTAATCATAAACGACCACGACTTTAAATAATCTGTTATAAGTGACAACAATAACAATAAAAATAATTATGAAAATAGTAATAATAATGATAAGATATTAAAATTTTAGTCACAATTTTAAATTGTTTAAAATATTTTAAACAAATATATCACTCTAAATTAAAGTGAAATCACTTTAACTTTAAAAAAATGAAATACTCAAAATTAGGAAAGAAAGATGAGGTTAAACTAAGAAAAAGCAATTCAAGTTTAAAAATAAAAAGAAAAATAATATTTGAGAATAAGTTTAAACTAAAAAAAGAAATAAAATACAAATTACAATTAAAAAAATTTATAGCTAGGAGCATTGTAATTAAAATTTTTAAATTCCAATTTTATATGTCTAAATAGATACTTAGAAATATACTTTTTTTATTTTGATTTTGTTAAATTTAACTCTTAACACATAATTTTAAAAAATTTAAATTTTTAGAAAATAATATATATATATATATATATTTATTAAATATCAACATTTTATTAAAAAAAATAAAATACAAGAGTACTCTAACGTATTACAACTTTAAAGAAAATTAATAATACATGTTAAAGGACTATTAATTCAATTCACAATCAATCTTTTTAAAAACTCTATTGCAAGACACTTAGATGCATATCCTAAATATTTGGCCTAAAATTTTGATTTTTTATAAAATTTGATTTTGTATTTTCAAACTTCTTTTGATATTATGCAATATTTGGCATGAAATTACGTAAATTTTATTCTTGATAATTTACCATCTTTTACGAAAAATAATATATTTATTATATTAAAATAATAAAAATATAATAAATATTTTTAAAAATAAAAATTTATTGATAGTTGTTTAAATTTAATCTTAAAGATTGAGGTTAATTATTATTATTATTATTATTGATATTTTTTTATTCTAAAAAATAAATAATTAGAATGAGAATAAGATACAATAATAATATCTACATTAGGTAATTGTACGTTAGTGCCGTCACATTAACAAGTAGTTGGGTACTTATTATCACGTGACTATCACAATGGTTAGCAATTTAACAGAAATTTAATATAGAAGAATTTACGGTAGTAATTGTTATAATTAATGACTTAAATGAGAAAAATTATAGGTAAAGTGACTATTTACAAAATGGGTTATAGTCATTGAATTAAAAAAAAAAAAAAAGACAGAATAAATAACATCACCCATTCAATTGAGTATAACGTGGTTAATAGGTTGAAGAGAATAATATCAAAGAATTTAAATATCAAAGAATTTGATACAACCAGAGTCATTCAATAAATTATTGAGCATTAAAGATTTCTCTATACAATGTTGGTTAAATAAGATTTTAAAGATATTTGAACTCACGTCTAATCAGATACTTTCTTATGGACATACAGTGAGCAATCTATCATGGCAGGTATTTTAAGAATCATGTTTCATATTGTAATAATTTGAGAGGTTGTAACCAAAAAGCATAATGTTTCGTGTGACCTTCTAGATAGAGCTTTTTATCCACCAGAGACAAATAGAATAAATGAAAATGCATTGGCCAAAATCAAAATAAAATTAAAGACAAGTGAAACAAAAGGTGAACAAGTTAAAGAAAGGGTCCAATTATGAACACGACCCCATCTAAAAAATCACATTTCATCACGATCGGTTAAATACTATGATTGCTAAGCCTTCACTTCATCTAAGGCCCACAAATTTAGACCCCACTCAACACCCACTTCATCTTCAATCAATTAATTAGGTAGTGGTGGCATTACTCAATTGCACCATCTATACTATTTATAACATCTATGGTTTGGTCTATATTCATTACTCCCTAGTGAATGGAACATGATCTCTTCTGTACTAGAAATTTTATAAGACTCTGACATCGTAGATGTGCGGAAGGCACAAGACATGACACGTGTACGGTCGGCATGCGGTAGTGCATTATAATATTGAAAATAATAATGGGAAATATCTTGTAACACAAAATTGGCTTTAAAATTAATATATAGGGATTCATGAATGTGTGTATATAGTCAACAAGGTTGGGCGTGTCAATCAAAGACAGCGCATGTGAATAGAAGCTGTGAGCTAAATTGCTATAAGTATTAATTAACAGCATAGACACCCTCTAGTTCCGGCCAGTTTAGTCTCCACCTCCGTGTAAAGACAATCTTAGCATGAAATTCAACCCTTTTAGGATTACGTGTTGGGTTTTGATTGGTTAGCTCGTTGAACTAATGACTTCTTAAGTTTGCTTTGGTGTCCCTTTCCTCTGTGTTGTTGCTTTGATCACTCTTTTTCTACATTCTCTAACATTTTCATCTCAACTGCCTCAGATCTGATCTGTGATCCATAACCATGGCTCCTGAAAAGGTACATGGGTTTCAATTGTCATCACTCTTTTTGGTCTCCAAAACAAACATATGCATTCTCTTTTAGCAAAATGTTCAATTTTTGTGATCCTTGTTTACGAAATGAAAATGCGGTTTTCACTCTTAAGTTTGGTTCATTTGGGTAGGACTATAATTTCTGATGGGTGGTTTTGTTGACACATTGATTCAGGTGACCATCATGAAACTCAAGGTTGACCTTGAATGTAACAAATGCTACAAGAAGGTTAAGAAGCTTCTCAGCAAATATCCTCGTGAGTTCATATTTGTATTGTTTTATATATTAGAATCATGTAGTTGTGACTTGTGACATGACAATTTTGCGTGTATTTATTTGGAATTATAAAACATAAAAGAGGGTATCAAATTGAGTTAATTTTTGGGTGTTGAAATTTTGTGACAAGAGAAATTCGAGACCAGAAGTTCGCCGAGAAGGAAAACATTGTGATCATCACAGTGGTGTGTTGTAGCCCGGAGAAGATTAGGGACAAGCTTTGCTACAAAGGTGGGGGTTCCATCAAGAGCATTGAGATTGTGGAACCGCCCAAGCCCGAGAAGAAGAAGGAACCTGAAAAGCCCAAGGCTGAGCCTGAGAAAAAGAAAGAGCCGGAGAAGCCTAAAGCAGAGCCCCCTAAGAAGGATGCTGATAAGCCCAAAGCTGAGCCTGAGAAAAAGAAGGAGGCCGACAAGCCCAAGGCCGAGCCCGAAAAAAAGAAGGAGGCTGATAAGCCGAAACAGGAGGCTCCTAAAGCAGACAAGCCCAAAGACAAGCCCGCACCTGCTCCGATACCCGTGCAGCCTCAGGTTCCACCACCGATGGCTGTCCCGGTTGGGATGTGCGTTCCATGCTATGATGGTAGGCCTGTTGGGCCATGCTACGAATATGGTGGGCCCGTGCTCTATTACGACGGGTACTATGCCAGGCCCGTTTATGACAGCTACGGTGGAGGGAGACCCTATTATGTTAGCCGGTGTGATCAATATTTCAGCGATGAAAACCCAACTGGGTGCACAATTATGTGATAATTACATCCACTGCATTGCATTATTGGATCTGTAAATGGTGGCCATGCACGTTCTCTCCATGTTCAATCAACTATTTCTTTGTTTTTGTTATTTAAATTTCATCGGTGTTAGGATAGAAAAAAATGAAATGAGGAAAACAAAATAAAGGTTGTTTAGAGGGTTAAATGGTAATACAATGTTATGATGTTTCCTTTTATGTTTGATAAGTTAATAAAGTTTCTTTACACAAGCAATCTAACTTGCCCACTGGATTTGGCTTTTGAAATTGATTTTGTTGAAAGTGGTGACCTTTCTAACCACTCTCACCCACTAGTACTTTTTAGTAGGTGAGTTCATAATAAGGACTCTTGATGCCATTATTCTATAAAGTTTCTTTCTATGGCAATTTCACTCATTTTTTTTTCTGGAATACCTAAAATTTAATTCTTTTATCCGTGCGATTTGTATATATATATATATGAAAGAATGGATAGCTATAAAAAAACAATCACGTAGTCCTTATCGGTTGTTACTTTTAGAGTTCTTTTGGGTTGTATGCTTTTGCAATGAGAATTTTTTTCAGTCAGGAAACATCCAGCTAAATGACATTATCACATTTTGTCCCGTACATAAATTTGAATTAGTTTTCCCTACTCATGCTTTAGTAGTTATAGATCAATGACCTCAGAAGACAATGACAATTTGACAACCATACCCACAGTTTCGGCTTTTTCCATTTGATTAGATCCATGAACCAGCACATAATCTGAAAGAGTGCAACCAGATGCTAAACGTTAACCCGAAAATAAAATTTTTCAAGGTATTAGAATATAATTAATGATACTTCATGATGAAGTTAAAATAAACCATGACTACCAAGTGGTGATCTTGCCGACATTAATTTTAGTTTTGCCTTTTGATACGAAAACGTTGGATAAAAACAATTAGAAAAAGTGGCAGATAAGAAATTAGGAAAGGGAATTGACAATCTATATCCAGAGATAAAAGTTGCTTTCACCTGAATACTATAATGTTTAGTTTATGTCATTGATTAGTTCACAGAATTTAATGCAATTTAACTAACACTTGAATTATTCGATAGTTTTTTTTATCGTCCCTGAATAATCAACACTTTTTAGTTGTTGGACAAAAGTTCATATAATTTATTTTCTCTACACTTCACCCTTAATAAAAAAACAACTTTCATGTTGCCATTTGATATTAGACTATGCTCCAACCCCATAAAAAAGATAGCTTTTTGACAAAATGGAAAAATAATAATGAAGTTCAATTATCATAGATGTAACATCGAGTTGAAAATATAAGCTAAACGTGGAATATTATACTGAGGAAAGGCAAAGCAGAGCAATTGGCTGAGGAAAATGGGTCTTTGAATTAATCATATGATGATGATGTCATATAATCATCTACAAATTATAAATAATAAGTACAGCCAACAGAAGGAACCAAAATTCAATTATGGGGTCGTCTCAATCCTAAAGCATAATCATTTCTAAATTCGTTCGAAGTTACGATGCCACCAAAATTTGTCACCTTCTTCCGCGTCCACCACATGCTTTGGACAGAAGTGTTCAATAAAATAGCTAATATTCAAGGAAATTAGTGAACTGCTTGTTGTGCTCTGTGTTATTAACACCATGTGATCACAGCTTATCCCAAATCTTCGAATCGTGTCGGCACCGTCACGTTGTTAACATAGCAATCACTAACAGATGTGTTATATAGGTAAAGCATTAAAAAGATATGAACTTTTAAAGGTATTTTAATTGATAAACATATTTTATTAATATAAAATATAAATATATAAACATTTTAATTTTAAAATTTATCTCAATTTATTAAAGATTATTTCAATAATAATTTTATAAATATTTTATTATGTTGGTTAAAGAACTTTGAATATTAGTTTAAAAATTAAAAGGCTTTTTTTGATTGGAAGATTAATTTTAAAAAAAATCATTTAAATTGATATGAAAGTTTGGAAGACATGTTTCGTGAACTGAAGGCACGTAGTTGTATATGTGATCTAAATACATCTCGAAATTATCACATTTTAAATTAGAAATATTGGAATTTATTATATGAGGGTGGTTTATCTTTTAAATCCAAATAAAATATTTACCAAATGAATGAAAGTTACATTTGTTCTGTAAATTCCTACATCAGACATAAGTCAAATCTCGACGGTTCTAGAGCAAAGTCATGATTCTGAAACTCTAAAAATTGCTCATATGAAGTCCTGTTATTCAATAGACTTCAAATTGTCTTTGCGTACGATATACAATGCAAATATGCCACTTTTATAAACAATAATGTTAATATTAAGTAAAATATATTTCGAGAATCAGTATGGTAATGAATAACCCAAATATAAACAACTAAGATTTTTTATACCATATTGAGAAACCTGTAACTCTGCAAGTGTCTCTAAGTGTAATTGCAAGTAATTTATCAAGTTTTCTATCAAACTTGATAAAGTGAAGAAGAAAAAAATCTTAGAATAAAGCATAAACAAATGTAAAAGCATTTTGTAAATAAAGATTACCTTTGCATGTCACAAAGTATGATTTGGTTCAACTGATTCAATTCAGAAGGGTTCAATATTTCAAATTGACATGTTATTTTCAGGGATGGAAAGCTCCGAGGTCATCATAAACTGATTCAATTCAAGAGTTAACGCACTGACATCATAAGAAAACCATCCTATTTTCTTATACCTCAGCCTTAATCTTATTTTACCTTTGTTTCTGTATAGTTGCACATGAAATTCATGTAGTATGCTACTCTTATTTTATACTGCCATTGTGCTGCCAACTAAAGCCTTAATTCTCTAACGCAGCCATTATCTTCAACATCCATGTTATATGTCCATGAATGGCACGACATACTTGAAATCTTCAATACATGTAGTCTTCTACAGCAGAACCAGATTCATTGGATAGTCAATGTAACAGTTTAGGGTTGAAGGAGCAACAGGTGTTAAATGATTATCCAAAGTTAATAGCATGATATTTATACTGCATTCATGAATATGTACTATCCACTATTCCAATATATGAAACCATTTACATGCAGAAACAGTTTCACTTTCATCAAGGATGTAATGCATTCTACTATATATATATATATATATATATATATATATATATATCCATGAATTGGAGAATGAGATAAGTTAAAAGTGTTGCTAATTTAAGACATTAACCAATTCAAGAATTGCATCATGAAGCATGCATCTTAAACATCAAATAATTAGAAAGGAAAAATTGTGTATACCTTTCGAAACCATCATATTCTTGCTTTCCTGAGTGCTTTGAACAAGAATTTAGAGTAAGTTCTTTCTCTTGACTCTTTCTCAAGATATATGGGATAAATAATATTTTGAAACTTGAATTCAGTTACCATAACACATGTCCCAACTCCCAAGACATTATTTAAGAGAAAGAGGTAAGGAGATCTGCCATTTCATAAAGAGTCACAATGGTTCTACCCATCATGGATTCATGTAACCAGGTTACACTATTCAAGTGCTCTCATGTTTTCCAATAGCTATTGATCACAAAAATGGATTCCAGGACATGTCAAGTTACCATTCAACCAATTTTTAATTAAATCAATGGAAGTTCATCGCTTCAGAAAACAAATTTTCTAACACTCAATAGTTAGGGAACATCTGTACATTTCTATTAGGATTTTCCACTATATATATTCTGTCAAGAAAGATTATGTTTGAACCAAACACTCAGCAGGCAGAATGCAAATTCAAAACCAAAACTTTGCAAGCTTTTGCAGGAATGGAAATAGAATCTTGGTAAAGTAAGGAACTCCTGGATGTGAAGATTTCACATATGAACACCATCATCTAGCAAGTTAAACTACTCCACAATGGTAACTTAAAAGTATTAACATGTAATGTCAATCCCTAATGCTAGAGATGGCAGGCAGAGGATAAGGGAGTCATAATCTATACCACTCTCAAGGCACATAATATCTCCAAGGAGGAATCTTTCACTCTCTTTTACAGAAACTCTGAGAAGCACCTATCGGTGATCATCTTATGTCAAAATGTGATTCCAAGAGACAAACAAGAATGAATACCACACAGAAGAGTAAAGACCAGGCTCCCAAATGGAATGTTTAACCGATCCCGGATCGACCGAATTGGTACGAAAGTTGTAACATGGGAAAATCACAGAAAACACAACTTATCTGAATTACCTGGCGACCTACCAATTGTAGAAGTAGGATCTTTGGCAAGCAATAAGCACTTAAATAATACAATTCGAGTGTACCATCTTCTTTCTCGTAAATTGGAATTTTTCTGACTCCCATTTTCTATCCCATGTTGCATATTCTCTTCACTGCTCTACTCTCTCTTAGATTTATTTAACAAGAGAAAGGAAAAGTACTTAACTTTTTTTTTCTTTTTTTTTTGTTATTCTTTCATGTTACAGTTATATGGGAGATGTTTCTTTATCAAAAGTAAAGATCTTTTCATTATTGAAATTCATTTCAAATTATCCAACTTCCTACCACATGTAGCAAGCTACTGTGTTTTGCAGATTCAAAATTTGAGAGGAAAGGATCAAATTGGCCATGGAAAATTATTTAATGGTTCATGACATTTTTTTACCACTATTAACCGCATGAACTAGACATAAGAAGAGCTACGTACAATGAATAATTATGTTATCAAAGTGAAAACACTTACTATATAGATGCCCTAATTGCTTGCAGAGAAAATCCCACTAACACAAGATGAATAAAACCAAGTCTTGGATTCTTATGAGGTGCTGAAAACACACATGCAACTAATTCGTGCTTACAGGGGTCTTCAATAATATTTGTCGAAAACCACTTTCCCATGTAATAGCTTCCATTTTCAAAAAGGATTCTTCACTTTTAGGTGGTAAATTTGATGCTAGCAACCTTCACCAGGCCCTGTGACTAAAAATGTGATAAGAAGGAACAATTGAGGATAAAGAGAAAAAAAAAAAATTTGGACCATTTCTCGATTTGTGCGTGTCATCCTTGCGCAGGGGCCATGCTAATCTTCTCTGTATCGTTCCAATTTTATCGGATGTCCCCGAAGGGACACTCTCTGCGTGTTTCTTTTGCTATATATTGTGTCATGCTTTGATAATACTGTTCGATGTGGGGCTTCTTCTGACAACAAATGCTGGGTACAATGTAGAGTAGGTGCTGCCCAAGCCCAACTGAAAGGAAGATACCTCGCATTCATTTTTCGCTTAAGTTCTTCTTAACTTTTTCAATCGTTTGCACTTTGCAAAGTACAAGAGACACTCTTTTGACGGAATTCGAATGTCTACCCCTCATTTCCAAAAGGCATAGGTTAGTGTCCTAAATCAAACGGTGGTTATCTCTCATGATTTTTTCACGATTTATTTTAATATTAAAATAAGTATTTTTATGTGGGTAGGATTACTGCAGTAAAAATTTTAAGTGAAGAGGATCTACTTGTTGCTGTTGGACATGTACAAGTTAAGGATTAAATTAACCATATTTTTTTTTAATTTGAGTATTTTTGCATATTATAAAAAAATTTATAAAATATAATGTAATTTAATGTATTAATAATGTTATTAATGCTATAGTTTTTAATAAAATTTTATTATTTATTTTGTATTGCACGGGTTAAAAATAATTAAATTACTTGTAAGCTTCTAAGTGCCCATGCATGGCTACAACAACATAAACATTATTCTGGAAATATTATATTTTATTTTTCATTTAGCCAAAATTGAGATGAATGTACATTCTTTTTCAAGGTTAAACGTGCCCAAAACAATATTAACATACATTTTTATTTAATAAACGTAGTAAAATAGGACAAAGCATAAACATAACATAAAATACTAGTCACCTAAAGCTGAAGTCCTGTCTCCGAGGCTCACATAATTACTGGATGTGGCAGTCAGAGCTATGATCAAATGATAGCTAGATTTCAAAGGGATTTAAACTTCTGCTCTCTCCTGCTGAATTGTGAGATCTTTTATTTAAACGGTAATTAATGGTCAAAAAGAATATTCAACTTGTTTGAATAAAAACTGACTCCAAAGAAAATTACTCGATTGTTTAATGTCATTTCTAAAATTAGGAGTATGTTAAAAACTTTTCAAGTTAGATATATTCTTAAAGAGGGGAATAAATATGCTGATTTGCTTGCTAAAATAGAATTAAATTTCTCTGAAGGGTCTTCCTTTTGAATCCTTTTTTTGAGTCTATATTAGTTGGAGTCTGTTCTTCTAGCTTTTCTATGTAGTCCTGTTTTTGTTCTGGACTTTTTTAGCCCCTTTAATAGAAAAAAAGAAGAAGAAAAAAGCATAAACATAACATGAATTAAATTTCATGTTAAAAGAAAAAAAACACTTTCTTAGACGATACGGTACACAACGTTGCATCAACTCCAGGTACCTCGGAACTATGTCTGCGTCCCAATGGCATAACATTATCGCTACAAATCTCAGTATCTGAAGAGCGAAGGAAAATGGCTTCAAATATTTGCTCCTCTCACCCTGCGCTTTTCCACGATCGTCAATATGTTTCAAACCCAATCTCTTCTTCGTCGTCTTCTTTGCTTAATTTCAAAGTTCTTAACGTTACTTCCTCCCACAAACGCCACGTGCTTCAATGCAAAACCTTTCTCCACCCCAACACTCACGCGTCACAGCAAGAAGCAGATTCTCATGACCCAGATGCAAATTCTTCACCTTTATCAAAAGACTGCATTTGGGTCAATCCCAATAGCCCCAGAGCCAAACACCTCAGAAGAAAATCATCCACTGCCAGGTACATTTCTCTTACCAGACTCACCGAGTCATTGAACTCGTGCAATCCCAGTGAGCAACACGTGTCCACAATTTTGAAGGGTCTAGGAGACAAGGTTTCAGAACGAGACGCTATGTTTATTCTCGATAAGATGGTGAATTCCGAAACTGCACCCTTTGTTCTTAGACACTTTCAGAATAAGATTAAACCCTTCAGAGGCAAAGAGGTGATTCTTTACAATGTGACACTTAAGGTGTTTAGAAAGTCTAGGGATTTTGGAGGAGCAGAGAAGCTGTTTGATGAAATGCTTCAAAGAGGGGTCAAACCTGATAACATTACGTTTTCAACTATGATTAACTGTGCTAGGATGTCTGCTTTGCCCAATAAGGCTGTGGAGTGGTTTGAGAAGATGCCAAGCTTTGGTTGTGAACCTGATGACATCACATGTTCAGCTATGGTTTACGCATATGCGCGAACTAATAACGTTGATATGGCTTTGAGCTTATATGATCGTGCAAAAGCTAAGAAATGGCGCCTCGATGCGGCTACATTCTCAGCATTGATTAAGATGTATGGCATGTTAGGAAAGTATGACGAGTGCTTGAAAATCTACCAAGAAATGAAGGTTCTTGGCGCGAAGCCTACAGTGGCGACTTATAACACTCTTTTGGGTGGCATGTTCAGAGCTAAGAGGCCTCGGCAGGTGAAGACTATATATGAAGAGATGAGAAGTAATGGAGTTTCAGCAGATTTTATAACATATGCATATCTTTTGCGAGTCTATGCGAAAGCACAATTTAGCGAAGATGCTCTCGGTGTTTATAAGGAAATCAAGGGGAATGGAATGGATATGAGCGCAGATCTTTATAACATGCTCTTAGCTATGTGTGCTGATGTTGGTTGCATTGATGAAGCTGTTGAAATTTTTGAAGACATGAAGAGTTCTGGCAAATGCCAGCCTGACAGCTGGACTTTTTCATCCTTAATTACCCTATATTCGTGCAATGGAAAGGTTTCGGAAGCAGAAGGAATGTTGAATGAAATGATCCAATCTGGATTTCAGCCTACTATTTTCGTTCTGACATCACTTGTTCAGTGCTATGGAAAAGCCAAGCGAACTGATGATGTTGTGAAGATATTTAAGCAACTCTTTGATTTGGGTATTGTTCCAGATATTCGCTTCTGTTGTTGTCTTCTGAATGTTATGACTCAAACGCCAAAAGAAGAGCTGGGTAAGCTAACAAATTGCATTGACAAGGCTAATACAAAACTTGGATCTGTGGTAAGAAATTTGGTACAAGAGCAGGAGGGTGATGAAGATTTTAGAAAAGAAGCATCAGAACTTTTAAATTCAATTGATGCTGATGTAAAGAAACCCTTATGCAATTGTCTAATTGATCTTTGTGTCAACCTGAATGTGCCTGATAGAGCAGGTGACCTTCTGGACCTAGGACTTACGCTTGAGATATATACAAATATACAATCCAAATCTCAAGCTCAGTGGTGTTTGCATCTAAAGGAACTCTCAGTTGGAGCTGCTATGACTGCTTTACATGTTTGGATAAATGACTTGTCTAAGGCATTGGAATCTGGGGAGGACCTTCCACCACTACTTGGAATTAATACTGGGCAGGGAAAACACAAGTATTCAGACAAAGGTTTAGCTAGTGTACTTGAATCACATTTGAAGAAACTCAATGCTCCATTCCCTGAGGCTACAGATAAGGCTGGCTGGTTTTTGGTTACAAAGGTAGCTGCCCAATCGTGGCTGGAGTCCAGAGGTTCAACCAAATCGGTTGCTGATTTGAACTCTATGGTTGAGGGTGTTCCAACAATGGTCCTTCAGCATCGATAGTGTTGTTTTATGAACCATGTGCCATGTTAATTTAATGCTTTTTCCTATTAATTTTTACCAGTATATTTAAGCTATTAATTAACATTTATCATAAAATAAATAAGTTAAATTATATTTTTTTTAACAAAACAAGTCTAAGCCCTAAGTTGAACTCATTTAAATAAATAAATAAAATAAAATAATATATTTTTTTACAAGTCAAATTTATGCCTCAAGTGTTCCACTTGACTCAATTCATTTCTACTCTGACAATGTATAATAAGTTTTGCTATTTTCATTTTTCATAATGGAATGAAAATTTGATATTTAACTCCAATCCTATTTGAGGATCAAAGAATTCGTCCTGTCATCGCTCTAAGCTCCTTTTTTTTTTTGTATAATGTCATATTTTATTAAATAAATTAGATATAAACAGATTTTACTCAAATAACACGTAAAAAATATTAAAACTTCAGAAAAATAAAAAAGAAGAAGTTAATAATCAATTAAGCATTTTAAAAGGGTTAGTTTTATAATCTAAGTATTATTGTTGAGATTAATTTGGAGTAAATGAGAGACCTTTATGGTGTGTTTGAATGTCACAAAAATACAAAGAAAAAATAATAATTTTAAGATAAAAAAAAGGCAGTGAAGTTCACAACAAACTTTTCCCTCTTACACTTTGTTTGATGTATCATCATATAGATTCTTTAAATATTTTATGGTTAAAATAATTCTTTATGACATTAAGTTATTATTAAATCAGTCTCTTATAAGTGTTTTACACAGTATTTTAATCTTTTGAAAACAAAATATAGTAACGTACTGACATTTTTTATAATTTTGAAAGACAAGGAATTTACTCTCTTATCTTCTAATATAAAATTAGTGGAGTCCAGTTTTTGCCAAATATTTAAACTTAAACTATGTATAATTTAGAAAATACTTTGAATTTTTTAAAATTACATTCACATTATTTATGTTTTATTTTTTATATTTTTTCTCACATTATTTTTTTCATACAACTGAGAAAGGCAAGCAATATTATGTTATTATATGAATTAAAAATATGTATATTCTATTAAATTTTTAAAAAATGTGTATAATTTGCTTGTTTTTGTTTTTTATCATATTATTTTTTTTCCTTATCGGTATCAACTTTCAGGAACAGTAACACGGAGAGGGGAAATGGCTAAGGTTTACCCTCTCTGCTCTTCTTCTTCTTCCTTCCATTATCGCAAACCCACCATCACCACTTCTCATTCCAAAACCCTTCTCTGCGCCTCACGCTTCTTCTTCCAAGCTAGCAATGCTCTACAAGACGAAAAACTCGACGAGCCTCATGCAAAGTCTTCATCTTCCTCCAAAACTTCCATCTGGGTCAACCCCAAAAGCCCCAGAGCCAAACAACTTCTCAACAATTCCCATGAAGCTAGGTCTTCTCTTGCCAAACTCGCCAACTCTTTGGACTCGTGCAGTCCCACTGAGGTACACGTTTCTGAAATTTTGAAGCCTTTAGGGGACAATGTTTCAGAGCGTGATGCTGTGTTTATTCTCGATTCCATGGTGAATCCCCACACTGCACTCGTTGCTGTTAAGTACTTGCAGCGAAAGGTTCTACCCGCTGAACATGTTGTTCTTTACAACGTTACCCTCAAGCTGTTTAGGGAGATTAAGGATTTTGAAGGAGTAGAGAAGCTGTTTAATGAAATGCTTCAGAGAGGGGTTAAGCCTAATCTCATTACATTTTCAACTATAATTAGCTGTGCTTCCATGTGTTCTTTGCCACATAAGGCTGTGGAGTGGTTTGAGAAAATGCCCTCCTTTGGGGTTGAACAGGATGGCAATGTATCCTCGTATATGATACCTATTTATGCACGTACTGGTAATGCTGATGTGGCTTTGAATCTGTATGATCGTGCAAAAGCTGAGAAATGGCGCCTTCATACAGTGGCATTCTCTGCATTGATTAAGATGTATGGGATGTTGGAGAATTTTGATGGATGCTTGAATGTTTACAATGATATGAAGGTTCTTGGTGTGAAGCCTAACATGGTAACTTATAAAACTCTGTTGTATGCCATGGGGAGAGCTAAGAGGGCCTTGGAGGCCAAGGCTATATATGAGGAGATGATAACTAGTGGATTTTCACCAAATTGGCCTACATATGCAGCTCTTTTACAAGCCTATTGTAAAGCACGTTTTCATGAAGATGCTCTGAGAGTTTACAAGGAAATGAAGGAAAAGGGAATGGACGTAGATGTAGTTCTTTATAACTTGCTTTTTGACATGTGTGCGGATGTTGGCTGTGTGGATGATGCTGTTGAGATTTTTGAAGACATGAAAAGTTCTGGGACTTGCCCGCCAGACAGTTTTACGTATTCATGCTTGATCAACATGTACAGTTCTCATGTCAGACTCACTGAGTCTTTGGACTCGAGTAATTCGTGGGAGAAACGGGTCTCCACAATTTTGATGGGTCTTGGGGATGAGGTTTCACAACAAGATGCTATATTTATTCTCAACAGGATGGTGAATCGCAATGCTGCATCCTTTGTTCTTAGATACTTCCTGAACAAGATTGATCCCACTAGAGACAAAGAGGTGGCTCTATACAATGTGACCCTGAAGGTGTTTAGGAAGTATAAGGATTTTGAAGGAGCAGAGAAGTTATTTGGTGAAATGCTTCAACGAGGGGTCAAACCTGATAATATTACATTTTCAACTATGATCAACTGTGCTTGTATCTCTGGTTTGCCTGATAAGGCTGTTGAGTGGTATGAAAAGATGCCTGGCTTTGGGTGTGAACCAGATGGTAAGACATGCTCGACTATGATATATGCTTATGCACGTACTAATAATGTTGATATGGCTTTGAACCTATATGATCGTGCAAAAGCTGAGAAATGGAGCCTTGATGCAGTAACATTCTCAACATTGATTAAGATGTATGGCTTGTCAGGAAACTACGATCAATGCTTGAATATCTACCAAGAAATGAACGTTCTTGGTGTGAAGCCCAATGTGGTGACATATAACAATCTGTTGGGTGCCATTTTGAGAGCTAAGAAACACCGACAGGCCAAGACTATATACAATGAGATGAAAAATAATGGAGTTTCACCAGATTTTATAACCTATGCATCTCTTTTGGAAGTCTATGTTAGAGCAGATTGTAGTGAAGATGCCCTCCATGTTTATAAAGAAATGAAGGGGAACGGAGTGGATATGACTGCAGATCTTTATAACAAGCTTTTAGCTATGTGTGCTGATGTTGGCTGCATAGATGAAGCTGTTGAAATTTTTGAAGACATGAAAAGCTCAGGGACATGCCGGCCTGACAGTTGGACATTTTCAACCTTGATTACGATATATTCCCGCAGTGGAAAAGTTTCAGAGGCGGAAGGAATGTTGAATGAAATGATCCAATCTGGATTGCAGCCTACTATTTTTGTTCTGACATCGCTTGTCAATTGCTATGGAAAAGCAAAGCGAATTGATGATGTTGTGAAGATATTTAATCAACTCCTGGGTTTGGGCATTGTTCCAAATGACCACTTCTGTTGTTGTCTTCTGAATGTTATGGCTCAAACGCCAAAAGAAGAGCTTGGTAAGCTAAAAGATTGCGTTGAGAAGGCTAATTCAAAACTTGGGTCCGTGATAAGATATTTGGTGAGAGAGCAGGAGGGTGAAGGAGATTTTAGAAAGGAAGCATCAGAACTTTTAAATTCTATTGATGCTGAAGTAAAAAAGCCTTTATGCAATTGTCTAATTGATCTTTGTGTCAACCTGAAAGTGCTGGACAAAGCTCGTGACCTTCTGGATCAAGGACTGATGCTTGAGATATATACAAATATACAATCCAGATCACAAACTCAGTGGTCTTTGCATCTGAAGGAACTGTCAGTAGGAGCTGCTGTGACTGCATTAGATGTTTGGATAAATGACTTGTCTAAGGCATTGGAGTCTGGGGAGGACCTTCCTCCAATACTTGGAATTAACACTGGGCAAGGAAAACACAAGTATTCAGACAAAGGTTTAGCTAGTGTACTTGAATCACATTTGAAGGAACTTAATGCTCCATTCCCCGAGGCTCCAGATAAGGCTGGCTGGTTTTTGGTTGCAAAAGAAGTAGCTAAATCGTGGCTGGAATCTAGGGGTTCAAGTGAATCCATTGCTGATTTGAAGTCTTTGACTTTGGATGTTTCAAATTCGGCTCTTCAATATCAATAGTGCTGTTCTTCAGTATCAATAGTATTGTTTATGTACCATGTTAATTTTATGCATTTTTCTATTGCTTTTGTGGAAATTTTGTATTCATAGATTATGTATATGAAGATAACAATGCTGGAAACTTTTCCCATATCCATACCTTGTGCCACGTTAATAAGTTTGACAAAGTGGATGTATTTTTATGGCATTCAGCATTTATTAAAGTTGAACATGTATATTGATAAACAACTTTAAAAAAAATGAAAGAGATCAAGTGGTTACTAGCTGCATATGCACGACTAGAAAAACATCAAGTAACTGAAGATCTTGCAAAAACAGAATCTGCATTTAAAACGGAGAGTATCCCACACTTCGTAACCCAATTCTTTCACTTGGTTTTCATTGGTATAACAGATAAGAATAGTAAATAAGGAACTTCACATAAAAGGAGGCAATGAGAGTAGTGAAAGAACATCATTCTTGTTATTTTTTAAATATCTTATCTAGGATAAACTCTTCTTCACTGATACATTCAATAAAAAAAAGAAAAGAATTATTTCATTTCATAAGAAAAAAGCAATATATATGTCAATGATATAAATTTACGTAAGTATCTAACTAATTCACATATTAACTTCCTTTGTTATTTAAATGGAAGAGAATAAATAATAATAAACATAAAGGGGTCATGATCAAATGATATCAAACAGAATTGAACAAAATCTTTGTTGATTAAAATTTTAAAGCACAAATAATTTTAAAATAAAAATAATGTTTTAATAATTTTAATGGTTGAATAAGAAAATAGAGAGAAACTTATTTCGATATTAAGTGTCAAACTTAACAAAATGACATATTTAATAATTTTCATTAAAAGTAAAATTTGTTAATTTAACCATTCAATAGAATATTCAATTTTTTTTTAATTTTATATAATTTAAATACTAATTAATATTTTATTACTTAAATATATTTTAACAAATAATACATTTTTAAAATATAAATAATTACTATTTAATTTAATATCTATAAATATTTCTATTACATAAAATTGTGTATAAATTATTTTTCTAACGATGTTACATGAATAATTTATCTATGATAGAAAAAGTGAAGTAGTCATACTTGGCAAAAGAAAAAATGAATTTTGTTAACTTTGATTATTGGGATTGAATTTTAGCATTTAAATCAGTAATTTTTTATTATAAAATATATTTATTACCTTAAAGTCATAAAAATATAATAAATATATTTTATTAATAAAATCTTATTACTTTTAAAACTCAGCTCTTACAAATGAAGTTAACATTTTTTAAAAATTATTTTCTTTATAAAAAGGACTAATAACACAATTTTTAACACATTCATAATTATTGACTAATTTTTTAGAAAAACATAAAAATAGGAATGATAATCAATAAATTAAAAATATAAATATTAAATTAAAGTAAAATTTACATATTTTTATAATTTGTAATAAATTTTATCCAATTAAAATAAAGAGTAAACTCCTAAGTTTCAAGCTACTTACTAAGATGAAATAAAATCATCTTTAAAGAATAGAAATTTTGAAATGGAAAGAAAGAAAAAATTAAAGAGAGAGAAAGAGAGAGGGAGAAAAGGGTAAACGAGGTTATAATGTTTTTGGGTTAGAGGCAAAGAGCAACAAACTCAAAACCTTTCAATAAGGTCACCGCGGTGTAGCGGTCGAACAGTGGAGACTTAGCGACAAAATATTTTTAAAAAAATGTCTTTATGAGAAAGAAGTTAAAGCTAAGAAGAGTGAGAATGGTGAAGAAGTTATGGAAGAAAATGTTTTTTTAGTCACAAAAATGTTTCTCAAGGCTACGTAGCTAAATGGAAAAGAAGATGATGTTAAATACAATGGTAGTTTCTCTTAATAATAATATTAAAGAAAAACAAAAATAAATAAATAATAAATGTTAATTTTTTAATAAATTTTATAAATTAAAATAAATATAATATATATATATATATATATATATATAAATTTTTATGTAAATTTAACTTAAATCTAAGTTTCAATAAAATAATAAATCATGTATATCTTCTGTTATTATCATATAAGACATATTTTTATCACGCATTTGATTATGTATATCTTCTATTATTATATCTTATATCTTAATTTTAAGGACTGAACCAAAGAGAAAATAATAATAACTATCAAAGACATTTAAATCGACTAAAATTAACTATATCTCAAACTAAATTTAAGAGTTTACTGAAATAACGAGTGTTAAAGAATTAGTTGCCATTGTCTCTCACTTGGCCGTAGGCAGCCATGTCAATCTGAATCTGGCAGATTTAGGAAAATGGCTCAGTCTTATCCTCTCCCTTCTTCCTCATCTCCTTCTTCTTCTTCTCTCTCCCACTGTGGCATACCCATTGCTTCATTCTCCTTCGCTGATTCCTCACTCAATCTCAAACTTCCCTATTTTCCTTCATCCCTTAACCTCTCTCTTATATCCCCTCATTCCAAGACCCTTCCCCACGCCTTTAAAAACTTCAATTCTCTCTCAGATGCAGAATTTGACGACCCTCATGCAAAGTCTTCGTCTTTCTCCAAAACTTCCAACCGTTTCAACCGCAGAAGCCCCAGACCTAAACACCTTCGCTACAATTCCGATGAAGCTAAGTCTCCGCTCCCCAAACTTGCCAAGTCTTTGGACTCGTGCAACCCCACTGAGGAAAACGTTTCTGAAATCTTGAAGCCTTTAGGGGACAACATTTCAGGCCGCAATGCTGTGGTTATCCTCAATGCCATGGTGAACCCCTATACCGCACTCCTCGCTGTTAAGTACTTGCAGCAAAAGGTTCAACCCGAAACGCATGTTATTCTTTACAACGTTACCCTCAAGCTGTTTAGGGACGCTAGGGATTATGCAGGCGCAGAGAAGCTGTTTGATGAAATGCTTCGGAGAAGGGTTAAGCCTGATGTCATTACCTTTTCAACTATAATCAGTTGTGCTTCCGTGTGTTCTTTGCCACATAAGGCTGTGAAGTGGTTTGAGAAGATGCGCCAATTTGGGTGTGAACCGGATAGCTTTGTGTTATCATCTATGATATTTGCTTATGCACGCACTGGTAATGCTGACAAGGCCATGAAACTGTATGATCGTGCAAAAGCAGAGAAGTGGCGTCTTGATACAGCAGTGTTCTCAGCATTGATTAAGATGCATGGGATGTCAGGTAATTATGATGGATGCTTGAATGTTTACAATGATATGAAGGTTTTTGGCATCAAGCCTAACATGTTAACTTATAACACTCTGTTGTATGCCATGGGGAGAGCTAAGAGAGCTTGGAATTCTAAGACTATATATGAGGATATGCTAAATGATGGATTTACACCAAATTGGCAAATTTATTCTGCTCTCTTACAAGCCTATTGTAGAGCACGGTTTCGTGGAGATGCGCTGGGTGTTTACAAGGAAATGAGGCAAAAGGGAATGGATGTGGATTTATTTCTTTATAACCTGCTTTTTGACATGTGTGCTGATGTTGGCTGTGTGGATGAAGCTGTTGAAATGTTTGTAGACATGAAAAGTTCTGGAACTTGCCAGCCGGATCATTTTACATATGCATCCTTGATCAACATGTACGCCTGCTTTGGGAAAATTTCGGAGGCAGAAGCGTTGTTGAATGAAATGATGGAATCTGGATTTCAGCCTAATATTATAATTCTGACATCACTTGTCCATTGTTATGGAAAAGCCAAGCGAGCAGATGGTGTTGTGAAGACATTCAATCAACTCTTGGATTTGGGCATCAGTCCTGATGATCGCTTCTGTCATTTTCTTCTGTATGCAATGACCCAAATACCAGAAGAAGAACTTGGTAAGATAACAGTTTGCATTGAGAAGGCTAATCCAAAGCTTGGGTCTGTGATAAGGTATCTGACGGAAAAGCGGGAGGATGCTGAAGGTTTTAGAAAGGAAGCAACAAAGCTTTTTAATTCACTTGTTGATGATGTAAAGAGGTCAACGTGCAATTGTCTAATTGATCTGTGTCTCAAATTGGGTGTGCCGGACAGAGCACGTGACCTTCTGGACCTGGGGCTGACTCTTGAGATATATCCAAATTTACAATCTAGGTCTCAATCTAATTGGTCTTTGCATCTGAGGAGACTCTCGGTTGGTGCTTCTCTAACTGCCTTACATGTTTGGATAAATGACTTGTCTAAGGCTTTGGAATCAGGGGAGGACCTTCCACTACTACTTGGGATTAATACTGGGCAAGGGAAAGACAAAGTTGTGCCTACTGCATTGGAAACTTATCTGAAAGAACTTAAGGCTCCATTCCGTAAGGCTGCTGATAAAGCTGGCTGGTTTTTAACTACTAGGGAGCCAGCCGTGTCATGGCTGCAGTCTTGGGGTTCAACTGAAATGGATACTGCTTTGAGCTCCAAGGTTATAGGTGTTTCACTTTCAACAGAGTCTCTTCCCTATTGATTTTGTTGTTTTATTTTTAGGGAGTCTTGTGCTATGTTAACTTTATGCATTATATTTTTCCTTTGGAGAAAATTATGGTATAAGTAGATTCAGAAATTAATGTTTTATTTTGGATGTCCTAATTTGTGAATGAAAGGTTCATCGATACTAGTATCCTGTGTAGTGGCTAAATGGAGTTGCAGCTGTTCAGTAAATGATGCAAGTTTCTTCCAGATTATATTATGTTCACGTCCCCAAGATTCTTTTATTGTTGTGTTGCAAATTTCGTGGGTCGTTCTCTGTAGAGGTTACTACACCAACTGGGAAAATTGGTTCAATGATTATGTTGGGCAAAATGCAAGAATGTTCTAGTATTCATCCTTGATCAACGTTTACTGTTCTCATGTCAGACTCACTGAGTCTTTGGACTTGAGTAGTCCGTAAGAGCAACATGTTTCCACAATTTTGATGGCTTTAGGGGATAAGGTTTCAGAACAAGATGCTATGTTTATTCTCAATAGGACGGTGAACCCCAACACTGCATTCTTTGTTCTTAGTTACTTCCCAAACCAGATTAACCCCATCAGAGACAAAGAGGTGGTTCTTTACCATGTGACCCTGAAGGTTTTGAGGAAGTGTAAGGATTTTGAAGGAGCAGAGAAGTTTTTGATGAAAGCTTCAGCGCAGGGGTCAAAACTGATAACATTACATTTTCAACCATGATCGACTGTGCTTGTATGTCTGGTTTACCTGATATGGCTGTTGAGTGGTTTGAAAAGATGCCTGGCTTTGTCACTGCATGCTCCACTATGATATATGCTTATGCACGTACTAATAATGTTGATATGGCTCTGAACCTATATTTTTCGTGCAAAAGCTGAGAAATGGTACCTCTATATAGTAACATTGTCAGCATTGATTCAGATTTACGGCATGTCGGGAAACACCAATACATAACAATCTGATAGGTTGCCATTTTGAGAGCTAAGAAGCACCGACAGGCCAAGCCTATATATGAAGAGATGAAAAGTAATAGAATTTCACCGGATTTTATAGCTTATGCATCTCTTTTGGCAGTCCTGTTAGAGAGCATGAGGGTAATGGAGATTTTAGAAAGTAAGCATCAGAACTTATAAATTCAATTGATGCTGAAGTGAAAAAGCCTTTATGCAATTGTCTAATTGATCTGTGTCAACCCGAAAGTGATCTGGACCAAGGATTGATGCTTGAGATATATACAAATATACAATCCAAATCACAAATTCGGTGGTCTTTGCATCTGAAGGAACTCTCAGTTGGAGCTGCTACGATTGCATTACATGTTTGGATAAATGACTTGTCTAAGGCATTGGAATCTGGGAGGAGCTTCCACCAATACTTGGAATTAACACTGCGGAGGGAAAATACAAGTATTCTGACAAAGGTTTAGCTATGTACTTGAATCACATTTGAAGGAACTCAATGCTCCATTCCTTGAGGTTTCATAAATTTCATAATGCAGTGCAGTCTTGCCGTGTGTCACATAAACAAATTGGGGTGGATATGTTTTTGCGGCGTCCAGCATTATTGAAGTTGTATATTGATGAACAACTTTAAAAATATGAAATAAAATAAAATGAAAGATATTAAGTGGCTACTGGAAGCATATGCTACCGGTCTACCATGAACAAGTGAAGGAACCAAAAGCTCTTGAATTTCCCACTTTATATGCAAAAAAGCCAAGGAGGCCCATAAGCAAGAAAAAATCATTGAGGGAATAGAAATAGAAACTGCATGAAAACGGAAGAGAGGATATCCACTTGATGGGTTCGGTCAGTGTCGGGGCCAAAACAATTCGATCCGAAGAAAACAAAATATGTTTATATTCTGAACAGCTTTCCTCCATAATGATCGTCGAGTTGACCAGGTGATGGGTCTAACAAGTCGGGTTTAGCGGTTTGGTTAAAACGGGTCACAATCCCAAACCAAAATGAACACAGTTATTTGTTGAGACTCAACAAGAGCTATGATGTGAGAATGAGCATGGTTCTGCCTCTACATGTCCTACCAAAAAAACACCTTTTGCACTCATTTTCTTGAATGTTTTTGCCCTCGATAGTCACCTCCTATATTTGTCGTGTTCTTTCTCATGGTTCTATTGACCATCGGTGGTTTGCTTGCACGACAGCACAACATCCATGGGACTTCTTTGGTGGGGATGATGCAGTAGACGCCCGAGGGATGGATAAAAACTAAGAAACATGTAGAGGAGCAGATGATGCTGTGATAGAGGCTAAATCAAATAGAGCAGGTTTGCAGGTGCACTTACACACAACCAAAATGACTTACACTTGAAATATAAAGTGAAAACCCGTTTTTAACTAACTTTTCATCAGAACAAAATCGATAATCACCTGACTTGCAAATGATGCATGTTTGCATGCTTCGAATATTGCAGGTTCGGTCAGAGACTAGTATGCTGCTCACCCCTTACGCAAATTGGGTTTCCTCAAGTTCTTAATGTATTTGGAAACGAGGGAAGCATGCTATTATCTCTTTCACTCGATTTTCATTCGTATAACAGACACGAAGAATCATAAAAACTTCACATGACAAAAAATTGAAAGGAGGCAGTTAGTAGTGGAAAAACATCATTCATATCTTATCTTTGATATATATATATATATATATATAACAAACTCTTCTTCACTCATATATTCAACAAAAATATAAGTAGTTTTTATTTCATTTCATAATAAAACACAGTAAATATGTCAATGAGATATAATATGCGTAAGTATCTAATCAAATCCACAAAATTATTTTCTTTGATTTGTAAAAGGAAGAGGATAAATAATGATAAACTCAAAAGGGGCATGATCAAAGGACGCCACGTTTAAAAATAAACATATTTAACAACTTTCTTTTTTATAAAAAATGAATTTTATTTTTTCATTATTTAATTTAAAGTTTCTATAAAGTAGAATAAGTTTATAATATTTTATACAATTTAAATACTAATTAATGTTTTATCACTCAAATATATTTAAAGAATAATATATTATATAAAATATAAATAAATAACTACGATTTAATTTCATATGTATAGAAATTAAATTTATAAAATTTTATATAAACTATTTGCCAAATAATATTACAAGAATAATTGATGGAAAAAGTGAAGTAAATGGAGAAAAAAAAGTGAAGTAATCATGGTTGGCGAAAAAAAAAAAACCATTATTTTCTCTCCGAAAGCCATATCGATTTATGGAGGATAATTGACCGTTGCAGTGACTGAGATAGGAAAAATGGCTCAGTCTTACCCTCTGTGTTCTTCCTCTTCTCCTGCTGCTGCTACTGCTGCTGCCTGCAAACCCATAACTTCAATCTCCTTCTCTTATTCCTCAGTCAATCTCAAACTTCCCTACTTTCCTTCTTCCCTTCACCTCTCACTTATCGCCTCTCATTCCAAAACCCTTCTCCACGCCTTTCAAGACATTAATTCTCTTTCTCTCTCAGACGCAGAACTCGACGACCCTAATGCAAAGTCTTCGTCTTTCTCCAAAACTTCCAACCGGGTTAACCGCAAAAGCTCCAAATCCAAACACCTTCTCGACAATTCCGATGAAGCCAAGACTCCTCTCGCCAAACTTGCCAAGTCTTTGGACTCGTGCAACCCTACTGAGGAACAGATCTCTGAAATCTTGAAGTCTTTAGGGGACAATGTTTCAGGGCGCGATGCTGTGGTTATGCTCAATTGCATGGTGAATCCCTATACCGCACTCCTCGCTGCTAAGTACTTGCAGCCAAAGATTCAACCCGATTCACATGCTGTTCTTTACAACGTTACCCTCAAGCTGTTTAGGGACGCTAGGGATTATGCAGGCGCAGAGAAGGTGTTTGATGAAATGGTTAAGAGAGGGGTTAAGCCTGATGCCATTACCTTTTCAACTATAATTAATTGTGCTTCCATGTGTCGTTTGCCACATAAGGCTGTGGAATTGTTTGAGAAGATGCCCCACTTTGGTTGTGAACCGAATCGCATTGTTTTATCACCTATGATATTTGCTTATGCACGCACTGGTAATGCTGATATGGCTTTGAAATTCTATGATCGTGCAAAAGCAGAGAAGTGGCGTCTTGATACGGCGGTTTTCTCAGCATTGATTAAGATGCATGGGATGTCTGGTAATTATGATGGATGCTTGGAAGTTTACAATGATATGAAGGTTTGTGGGGCCAAGCCTAACATGTTAACTTATAACAGTCTGTTGTATGCCTTGGGGAAAACTAGGAGAGCTTGGGATTCTAAGGCTATATATGAGGATATGCTAAATGATGGATTTACACCAAATTGGCAAATTTATTCTTCTCTCTTACAAGCCTACTGTAGAGCACGGTTTTGTGAAGACGCGCTGAGTGTTTATAAGGAAATGAGGGAAAAGGGAATGGATTTGGATGTATATCTTTATAACCAGCTTTTTGAGATGTGTGCTTATGTTGGCTGTGTGGATGAAGCTGTTGAAATTTTTGAAGACATGAAAAGTTGTGGGACTTGCCAGCCTGATCATTTTTCGTATGCATTCTTGATCAACATGTACGCCGGCTTTGGGAAATTTTCGGAGATAGAAGCCTTGTTTAATGAAATGATGGAATCTGGATTTCAGCCTAATATTATAGTTTTTACATCACTTGTCAATTGTTATGGAAAAGCCAAGCAAGCTGATGGTGTTGTCAAGACATTCAATCAACTCTTGGATTTGGGCATTAGTCCTGATGACCGCTTCTGTGATTGCCTTCTGAATGTAACCACCCGAATGCCAAAAGAACAACTTGGTAAGCTAACAGGTTGCATTGATAAGGCTAATCCTAAGCTTGGGTCTGTGGTAAGATTTCTAACGGAAAAGCGAGAGGATGCTGGAGATTTTAGAAAGGAAGCAACAAAACTTTTTAATTCAATTGGTGATGATGTAAAGAGGTCAACATGCAATTGTCTAATTGATCTGTGTGTCAACTTGGCTCTGCCAGGGAGAGCACATGACCTGCTGGACCTGGGGCTGACTCTTGAGATATATCCAAATTTACAATCTAGGTCTCAATCTAATTGGTCATTGCATCTGAGGAAACTCTCAGTTGGAGCTTCTCTAGCTGCTTTTCATGTTTGGATAAATGACTTGTCTAAGGCTTTGGAATCAGGGGAGGAGCTTCCACCACTACTTGGGATTAGAACTGGGCTAGGGAAAGACAGAGTTGTGGCTACTGCATTGGAACCATATCTGAAGGAACTTAAGGCTCCATTCCGTAAGGCTGCTGATAAAGCTGGCTGGTTTTTAACTACTAGGGAGCCAGCCGTGTCATGGCTGCAGTCTTGGGGTTCAACTGAAATGGATACTGCTTTGAGCTCCAAGGTTATAGGTGTTTCACGAGAGTCTCTTCCCCACTAATTTTGTTGTGTTACTTTCAGGGAACCTTATGCCATGTAACTTTATGCATTATATTTTCCCTTTGGAAAAAATTATGGTATAAATTCAGAAGTTAATGTTTTATTTTGAATGTCTTAATTTTTTAATGAAGGCTCATTGATGCTAGTATCTAGTGTAGTGGCTGCATTGAGTTGTAGCTGTTCAGTGATCTTGGAAAGATGTAAATTTGTTCCAGATTATATAATGTGCACGGCCCCAAAATTCCTTTATGTTGTGTCGCAAACCATTTGGGTCGTTCTCTGTTAGAGGTTACTACACCAAGTGGGAAAATTGGTTCAATGATTATATAGTGCTCAGTGCATGAATGTTCTAGTATACTCTCCATGAATGCTGTAAAGCATACATGTGGTGGAGATCCTTATGCTCAAATCAAGGACCGCAAATTTAACGTGGCGGAGATCTACAAAGTGAGGAGGACAACCTAGCAATCAACATTACTGAGTTTTCGATTTCGGAGAGTTAGTTACAAGAAACATAAACGGCTTGGTTTTACGCTATGAATAGAAAGTCATTCCATTTCAACCGTTTCGATTTCCTAGAGCACGGTAAACAACTGAAAAGAAGCATGTGAATTATATGCCTTCTCTTCTCTTGTTTTTCAAAGTGCTTGAAACAGAAAAAGAAAAGAAAAGAAGACAGACACGGTTGAGGTTGACCTATATTGAATATGTGATCGGACTTTATTAAGTGAGATTGACTTTGACTTTGAGTTTATGGTTTGAATTTTTGTTATTATTATTATTATATGGAAAAAGGTTGGTAAAACGAAGAAAGAAGAAAGAAAGGGCTTTTGACTTTTGTTAAGAACAATATTTTAGAGGTGATGTGCTTGGAACATGAGTGCCTGCTCCAGTCACACCCCATTTGACTTTTTCTGGCCAAATGAAACTTCTGCATATTTTTATTTTAAAAGGAGTCAAACTTTTTACAAAAGGTATGTGATCAGTGATTCAGTGGTGGTTTGCACGTTAATATTATATCCAACTCAAGTTGACCCAACCCTCTCTATATAATGGGAAGTCTTTGTTTGTTTGATCATATGCACAATGGGAAACTGTATGGCTTGCCACTCTCAACCGAAACAAAGCAGAGTCCTCTAATCGAAGCAAGGAAAATAGAGGTTGATGCCTCAGTGCCACTTGAAAAGATGAACTCTGCTTCAGGTAAACGTTACATATTGGTGCGTAGGAAGCTGCAGCAAGGGGAGTTTTACCAGCTTGCACCATTCATGACGCAATCTGGTAGGACAACTGACAACAGAAAGATAAAGGCAGGGAATGTGAAGATTGTGGTGACTGCAGAACAATTGGAATTGCTGTTAAGTGGATCAAAGAAGTTCCATACCAAAAGTAGAGTTTCCTGTATCAGGGGAAGTTCTGGGTTGAGAAGGTGCCGAAAATGGATGCCTTCTTTACCAACTATTCAAGAGGTGCAGAACTATTAAATGGTGGGATGGGTACAATTTAAGCATTCCTATTCTCAGTTGTGCAACTAGTTTTATTTGTAGTTTTTTTGCAAATTTTCCTGAAAGATGTCAGGTTGTATTTGCTCAGGAAATTAGGATGTTTACCTGCTCAATTTTTTAAGTGTAACAGCAGGGGGAAGAAAAGAAAAAGGAAAAGCTTCTCAATATACATCCTCTTTTGTTATCTTCAGGTTTAAGAGTTCTTCATTCATGCTGTAGTAGTAGTTAATGCTGACTGCTGTTTATGTTCTTGAATGAACAAAGAGAATGAGATTTTTGTCAATTTCTGTTGTTTGAGTGCTGTTAGGGGTACCAATTTACCACAGGGCAGAGAAGTTTTCCTTCTCAGATTGGTTTTGTCTTTCATTCTCAGTTTCTAAACTTTCTCCGTTTTAATCACAGCACTGTTCTCTATTAAAACACAGTGAACTTCAGTTCTATCATACTTCTGGTAGAATTTATCCTTGCTATTTTTAGATTGAAAGATAGTATGGAATGCTCAGTTGTGTATAGATATATTCTTTAAAGACTTGTAGTGATCCATGATTGTTGTGGGCTGATATCCTTAAATGCCCAATTATAAGTGAACTTATTGCCATACTCATGGCATTAAGCAGTTTTATACATGAATGAAATACATTTGTTCATAATGCAGACATGTAACCCAATTGTTTTTCGCGTGTTCATCACATTTCATCTCTCTGCTGATACATTTGACAAACTTGGCTAGTATGTAATACTCACAACACAATCACGGAACACAAAGGAAAATCATTTAAATAAGTATAGTATATGTACAGAGTCAGATCCCAGACTCCCTTACCCCAGCAGAACTTTATTTCAACACACTACCTCACTAATTTTTTGTATTTACAAATAAGAATCGCAAGACATCATTGATTAATAAATCGCCTTCAATTGTCCCTCAATAAAGAATCAGTAATCTTTCACCAACCTGCAGTAAATTTATAAAAATGTTAAGATCTGGAATTAGACAAACTTGACAATCAACAGTAACGAGTATCAGTTATTCACAAGAAAAGTTACAGAACCTTCTAGAGGGGTTTGAGCTTCTGTTTTTCCTGTTATCATCTGATTTTGTTGATGCAGCTTCCTTCTCTCTAGCAGCTGCTTCTCTTTTCATTTTCTTCCACTCCACTTCCATAGCTTTTGTCAGTGCATCAACTTTCTTCGTGAGCATCTGAAAAGCATGTATCGTATCTTTAGGTCTAAAGTGATAAATGGGAGGGGTGGGATTGGGGGCATAACTGGTACTAGTACCTTTATTTCTTCATCTTTTGTGTGCAAGCTACTGTCTTTAATTTCACAGAACTTCCTCAAATTGATCACCTCTTTTTGAAGTCTGTCATATAGAAAACCTGAAACCACATCATTGCTGCCTAAATCATTACGGCTATTGTTTTTGGAGTCTTCATCAACACTGACTTTAATTTCTCCTGCTTCTCTTTCATCATTACATTTATTTGAATTCATGCCTGTATTCATCTGCGTCTCATTTTCTTTTTCACCACTATCAGCAACTTTATTTCTTGATGCCCATATACCTTTCTTCAACACATTTTCGGCAGAACCATGCTTCTTTTTTACAATGCTGTCCTGTTTTAGGTTCCCAGCAACACTGTCTATGTTGCTTTTTATATTTGGCTTTTGAAAAAAAGAGCTTCCAACAGTTGATGCCCTTGGTTGTGATGAGGATCTGTTTCTCAGTCCACCATTGTTTGTTAGGAAACTTAAGATGTTAGATTTTTCTGCTTTTGCAGACCCAGCATTTGAATTGATTGGGTTACTTGAGAAATTCTTTAAGCCTTCTTCTAGTGTTTTTAACCTCAGCTTCAGTTTATCCTGAGAAAAACACAAGATAACATTTGCTATGGCTAAAAAAAATTATTACAATTTTACTTGGAAGGAAGACAAATAAGTTTACCTTCAGTTGTGACTCTGCCTTCGCTGTTCTCTCTGATATAGCTAGCTTTTCTTTCAACCGTTGCATCTCTGCCTACTTATGCATGGACACACTTGATCATAAATTTTTCTTGCTCATAATCAAATTCCCAAAATTTAGGATAAAAATTCCTTTTGAGTTGCCTTCTTCAGCATTTTAAAGTATAATTAGGACTTGAAATTAGCTTTTCTTTATTGGACTTTGGACCTTTTATTTATTGCCGTATATATTGGTCTTGGATTCATAAAAGGAAAAGCTATGTTATTAACGGAAAGAGTAGTATTTTTGGATTGAGGAGGCAGGATCATATGAGCTCCAAAGAAGATTTTCATACCTGCATGATCTTTCTCTCTTCCAGCCATTGCCTGACAGGCATGACCTTGTCATTCTCATCCTTCCACTCATTAGCCACAATAGTTGCAATTCTATTGGCTGAAACTTTTACCCTTGCTAGCTCCCTCTCCAGTGTCCTCTTCTCCTCCTGAAATTTTGTGCTAAATTATGTTACTAAATAGATCAACCACAAAGCAGAAAGTGAAGATATCCAAAATTATGTTCAAAATGTCAGTGGCCATAAGATATGCCTACTTGCAATTCTGAAATCTGTCGTTGATAATCGCGAATGGCATTAGCATTGGCTCCACTAGATAAGATGACCTCCTCAAGTTCATGGATGGTTTGGCTTAGTTTCTCAACTTCCAAAATCTTTTGGCGATGCGTTTTCTCTAAGATTTTGTTCTCCTCCTGTTCATGAAAGTTGTAAATTGGCTGAACTACTTACAACAGTTCATTGTAGAAACTAAATGTGAAAATGGAAACATAAAAAATATGCCTGGCATATCTCAATCTGTCTCTTCAAGTCAAAGTTTTCATTCTGAACTTCCTCAACTATCAAAGCTCTCTCTAGTGCACTTCTTAGAATCCTCTCCGCTTCAAGCAACGCTGACTCTTTGGATTTTGTGAGCCGTTCCAAAGCTTTCTTATCTTCCTGCAGTGCTGCAATCTGAAGACAGAATGAATGTTAGTATTGTCACCATGCACAATTTGTAAAGGCATCTTCATTGGGCCTTGCATTGTTATTACCTCATTCCTATAAATCTTAATCTCAGCCTCAAGAGGAGAAATGACACTCTCAAGAGGAACAAAATCATCTTCCTTTTGATCTGTGTGTACCCTTCTAAGAGCTGCTTCTGCAGCATATTGTGCAGCCAATGCATCTTTCTTTTCTTCTGTTAGTTTCTTGATTTCTAGGTTCTGCATGTGAACAGATTTCGAAGTGTGCATTGTAGAATTTAGCATTGTTTAACATGGTTCTAGTTTCCAAGATAAACTAGTACAAGTTTGGGGTACCTTGTGTTTAAGATGATCCTCAGCAAGTTGAAGTCTCTCCTCTAGCTTATTGACTTCATTTCTCAGCTGGAATTGGAGAAAGATAATTATATTATATAGTCACTGAGAAATTTATATATCTTGTTATTTATGAACTGATGTGTAGTGTAACTGAATCAGTACTATACTAAGGAGAGTGTAATAACTGCATCTAAAAAACAATATTTGATTTTAATCTATTAACACTGTAAAAAAATTAAACTAAATATCAATGGATCAAATTTTACTCTTAAAAGAAATACCTCTTCTATTGCCTTATCCTTCTTAGCTTCGGTTGACTTTAAGGCTTTGATTTCACTCTGGCAACTCGCCAGTCCCTTAACCTTTTCTGCAATGTGAATAGTATTTAGTCATAATTTCATATATGAAACATTGATTTAAAAATAATACGAAAGCACATTCATTATGGTGTGAAGGAAAAGAAAACTAAATTATATTTTTCATGTTGTTATGTGAGGGAAATACACATGAATAAATTCCTATATAAATAATAATAAATCTTATTGCATGCAATGAATGTATTAGATACTTTAGGCAATCAATGAAACATAAAGCGTATCAATGTTGTAATATCAGGTTTCAAACTGTGATAACAAAATCCAAGAGGGGAGAATATACCTTGTAAGCTTAAATCTTTTTAGATATAAGCTTGTTTGATTGCCCTCTATATTTTAAATTCTCCCCTCCCCACTGTCACTCACTTATTAGCCAAGATGTGTAAAAAATAATTAACAAAATAAGCTACCAATTTTCTTTTCTTTTACACATTAATCATAATGATAAACAACCAAACTTTATTCCACTGTACGTGATTCATGTAGCCACCTCAGCTAGAGGAATAATACTTTATTATTATTATAATTATTATTATTTGTTGTATTAATCATAATAATAAACCTATATCTTTTTTATATTTGTAAACCCTACCAATGTTGAGTAATCTCCTTTCTTTTATATATTTTAGCTTAAAAAATATTAAGTTAGGGAATAGTTGACTCAACATTATTCACAACTTTATAATAAAAAACTCTATAATAAAACAGAAAAAATTCAATTTCTTTAAAATAATTTTATGTCAACTTTTTTTCTCTTAATATTATTATTTTTTGTTTAAACCGTAAATATCTTTTACTGAAAGTAATCTTGTACAAGTCAAGTAGGATTATTATAGGAAGTTAAATTTTTTCTTTAAGTATTTAATATAATTATATTTACAGGGATTCAAATATAAGAATACACGTTAAGTTAAAATAATTCTCTGTCAATTGATCTACGTACTTTTTAGTTCTCTCTCATTATTTGCCTCGATTAAATTTCACATTTTCTTTTTAATAAGAATTGTTTCTTTTATAAAAAAATGTTTCCACAGGGGTCATCGCCTTTTTATAAAATGAAGACATGCGACACTATTAAAGTTTGCTAAAGATTGTCTTAGTCAATTAGAACCTTCCGTTAAGGCGTGTTTACTCTAGCAAAATATTTTTTTTTCATTTATGTTTTTTAATAATTAAAAAATACCATACTATTTTGACCTTATTCTCATTTTAAAGGATTTGTACAAAAAATAATTTTGTAACTTTATTTTCATCAATCTGGTATGATGTTTTAAAAATAGAAAATCAAGTAAAAATATTGTATCTTCTTTATAATTATTGATAAAAATAGAAAATCAACGCACAATACTTGTACTCAAACTTAAGGTTCCCTTAATTTTTAAGATATTAAATACATCTATATTGTATTACCCAAAAGTTCAAGTCTCTGTTTGTTTTGGTTGAAATTCTTATTTTAGTGTGTGTTTGTTTTCACATTATATTTCACCAAATTTATGTCTATTTCAACATTCTCAAGAGCAACTTTCTAGTTTTGAACGCGCAATTGCTACCTGTGAATGCGTATCTGGCGAGGCTATTAACTGTAACTCCCTCAACGTAAAAGTCACATTTTCTTTTGTGTTGAGTAAATTCTCATTTATATATATCCATTGTCAAAACAATTTTTTTAACTTTACATTATATTTGACAGTATCAAATAAGAAAAACGATGTCCTTTAAGTAATTATACATCAAAATAATCTTTATTAAAACCATCTAATGTTAAAAATTAAGTTTATCTAAAACAAAAAAAAACAAACATTATTAACATGTTTAAATTCACGTTTAAATAGAAAAAATTATATTTACTTCAACATTATTAACTATATCAACATAACTTTTACGTTTAATTCATGTTTTCAGATTTTTTGAAGTGTTTATAAACTCTCGAGTGTTTAGGACGGGTTGCTTACAGAACATATTCATGTTAAACTGAATGCAATAACATAGCTTTAAATTAACGTGAAAGTGGAACGGGGAATGGAACACGCACTAAGATGCAATTGAGTGAATCCCATGGTTGACTCACATGCAGGAATGAAAAGCCAAGTGAAAAGGAAAATGGTGAAGCAGAGAAAAGAATATAACAAAGATAAGAACCTGAGAGTTGATTTTGCAAACGATGAATCTCCAACATCACAGGGTCTGGTTGGATAAGTGGAAGCTCTTCTCCACCATATAGCTCCTCACAGCTCACCATTTTGTTCTTTCCAGTGTTGGCAAATGCTCACACAAATAGGCTTAGTTCAACAACAAATGGGGTCTTGTTCAATGGGTATATATAGTATTTTTCCTTTGGTTTCCAATTTATTGGTGCTGACAAGTGCACTGCTAAGGGTGAGTCCTAAAACACCAACTACAAAAGATGGCTCTAAAAGGGTAATATAATAATAAAAATGAGAGGTATATGGCAGAAAATAAGAAAGTCCATTTGTATAAGGAATTGACCGCAAAGAGAGGAATGAGCTTCCCCTGCAGTGAAGCAAACTTAACAAATGAAACACATAACAGGTCAGCTAAGCCGGCTACTAGTTTAGCTTATTAGCTCCTAAATTCTACCTTTGATAGTAAAAAATCAGTATAAAAAATTAATAAAATTCTTCTTATAATTTTAAAAATAATTTATCTTTTTAAATTTTATAAAAATTAAATGAGAAGCTTTAAAAAAATTGAAAAACATAAATAATTTTTTACTTATAAAAGAATTTTATTTATTTTTGAAATTCATTTTTTTATATATATAAATTTCTCTATAAGTATATTTAAATTGAGCCTTAATGAATCAATTAATTCCTTAATCTCCCTGACCCTCCTCTCAGTAGACAATGTCAATTATGTATTTGATTAAACTTAAAAGCAAGGTTTGTTAAGTTACTTTTGACTTTGTTTGCTTTGTTTTATTTTTGTTGGGGTACATTGGAAGGGAAAAAGAGCATTACAGAAAATTGCCAATTGAGCCTAGTTACTGTCGGCTTCTAAAACAACCATCTTTTTACTAACCTAAACAACAAAAATCAGCTTCAATCATATTGCAGAATAGCAAAATAGTTCATTAGTTGGTTGCAGTTTTTCCTTTGGATATTTGTTTTTCTGCTGACAAATTTTGCTTCAGTCTCAAATCTCAATTATTAGTGTTAAGAGTATGAGGTATTAAGGGTCCTCACAAATAATACCAAAAAACACAATATAGTTTGCAGCATGTAAAGTAGGCATAATTAGAACATATTATCGAGCTTTTGAGTATTGGGTTCTTTTACATGACCTTAAAATCAACGTGACTCAGGTAGGTGTCGTATGACTATCTTTTTAGTTCTTTACTTGCTATGGAAAAAATCTCCATAAAGGGTACAAATTTATTTTATTTGGGTAAAGTGAGTAATTCATTACAAATTTAACTCTCCTAACTCCTTGTCATATTCATTCTTTATCAGTGAAAGGATGTGTTTCTTTGGCAGACTCACAAATTCATTTGAAATTCAACTCTCCTAACTTGTCATATTCTATCTGTGTCAATGGAAGGATATCAATTTGGACTATTGTATTGCTTAAGCGCTAAAAACGTTCTGAGATCATTTTTATTTTACTTCATGAAAGTGCACTTAGAAAAGACTGCGACTATAACAAAATAAATGAGGTGTCAGGACTCAGATTTTGAAAGCGACCAACTAATTAAAGTGGCTTCAAAGAACAAATAAATTTTGATCAATATTCAGAGAAGTAGTCATCTTAGCTTAAAAGTATAATAATTAAATAAAGTAAAAAAAAGAAAAATTTACGGTTTCTACACACAAAGCTAAAGGGTTTTGATCAATATTCAGAGAAGTAGTCATCTTTTGTTTAGATGGTGACAACAAACTGAGGGCTTTACCAACAACCAATTTTCACTTTAAAATTAAATGAAGGGAACCACATACAAAACATGATAAATACTATTCAAAAGGGTTTTTTATTAAATATAATTGAATTCAATGATTTCTCAATTGAATTAATCAGTTACTAGCAATGGGTGGATTGTGATGTGATGAAAGAGGGATGTTATGCTTCTAGTGGTTCCCTTAGTGGCATATATTTTATGTTGGATTGAGTTGGTATGTTTACATTTTATAAAATGCCTCTAACCAAAAACCAAAAAGGACTTGAAAATTATATTATATTATATTATATTATATATATATATATATATATTGTTAACAATAATATGTACATGGTGCCTTAGGCTAGAATCTTCTGCCAGGTGTTGTTCAAAGGAAAGATTGGATGGAAGCGTATAGCATAATTAAAAAATAATTTATACAAAACTCATACATATTCATATTTGACCATATCTAGTTAGGTTGAATCCAAATAAAACCTAAAAATTTTGTATGATTTAATTTATTAATTTTAATGATTTATAGATGTATTTTCACTCACAGATGTCGATTCATGTGTACAACATATGTTGAACTTCGTAGCGACTTATTATTATAAACAAGGTCTCTTAAGTCAAAATGAACACTTATATATAATATTAATACTAATTATTTGAACATAATTGAGTTGGGATTCTTTTAGGATAATACTTAATAGCAGCCTCTACGCATAATGGTAGTTGTAGAAAGGGATGTTTTTATCTTTATCTATCAATTGTAATGTGAAAGCATGAAAAACAAAGAAGGGAAGAAAAATGTACCCAATTGCCCTTTAGTACTAATCCTTGACGCCAATTATTATTAAGATCCTTGTACATTTTGCAAAGTGAAAAATAAAATAAATACTACTTTAATATTTTTCTAATCAAAGTTGACCTAAAGAAGTGTTATTTGCATAAATTTTTTATATAATTATATGAATAATGAGAATAATTTTAATATGTCCGTAATTAACTTGAATGATATACACATCCATTTGTGAATTATGTTAGTTATTTAATTTGCCGATATGATTTTTTTATTTTTACATTAAGAAGAATGTTATTAACAAACTTTAAAATACTCTAACTATTAATTAAAATTTATTAAAAATTATAAAACTATGTAAATTTTACTATTTTTATTATTAAATTAATATTTTTTTTCATTCTTTTATAATTTTTAATAAATTTATATCAATAATCAGAAGAGCAGAAGTTAAGTCTTTTTACTAACTGCTTAAAGTATACAAATATCCATGTTTTCTTCTATGTCTTTTTAATTGAAAAAATAGCATCTTAGTTAGCAATTAAGAAAGAAAATGTGCAATATTTTGTAAAAATTAAAAGCAACAAACAAATGATTTCAATCTAGAAACTGCCCGCAATGAAATATGAAAAAAATTCATTAACAATTGGGCTGTTGCTGATTTTACAGGTTTGAAAAAATTGAGCCCATTCTAATTCTATAAAGTATCCATTGTTGTCCATTTCAGCGTGACGCAACGAATAATGATATTAAATCCAAGTTTACTGAATGGTCTTAAAGAGCATGAGTGGAACTCAAGCAAATCCTTGGTGGGCTTCTGGTTCCTAAATAACAAAAATCTAAGTCCGAACCATAACCAATGCTTAAGGGCCCACATGTGTATGAGATTAGTGCTTAATGTTAGAAGGAAAATTAAATTTTGACTTGTGTTTTATCATTTATTGACTTTATCTATTGTCGTTATCTCTTTCATAACATTGAAGAATACATCCTACCTCAAGCTGAGTCACAAATTTGAAATTTAATCTCCTTTATGAGACTGAAGGTTACCCCTTACCTCAAAGTGAGAGATGCATATCTATTGAATCAAAAGTCATTAACATAGATTTTATTTTGTTCAAGAATGATTAACTTATAATTTTTTATTTGCAAAAATCAAAATTTTTAAATAACTACACAAATACCATTACATTGCATTAGAAATTTGATTCTCACCCTTCTTAAAAAAAGAAGGCATAGAGATTTGAATTTAATTGAAATTGATTTTAGAGCTCTACTTACTAGAGTTTGCATTTTCCTTTAATTTCAGTTCTGCCAGCAAATTGTGCTATAATATTTGTTACGGTGAAAAATAATTTTCTCTTAACTTTTTTTCACTAAATGATGATTAAGGCCTGGACTTCCCACGTGATTGTTTTGGGGGGATGATGACAGTGTGTGGTTTAAAGATACCTTAAATCCAAAGGAAGAACAGAACTTAGCTCAAATGAATCTCAATTGTTCATTGATTAATTTGATGAGTTCATGATACACATCACTATAAAGAAGAACAAGATCGAAGATATGCCTTTCCTGAAGGGTAGGTTAATCTTCAATCCAAATTTCTAATTAAAAAGCATCCACTTCCAAAAAAGACACCGCAAACCGACCAATCAGGAATTTGACAAAGAATCTATACCAAAAACATTCCATCAACTTATTTTAATGACTAATATGCCCTTCACAAATTGGTCCTGAAAACAATTATTGAATGGCTTATCCTTCCCCTTTCCTGGCCGTCCATGAGAACCTTTGGAGTCACTACTCTAATGCAAATGGATTTGATGTTACGATAATGCCATCTTCCTTATCTCATTTGAAAGTTAGATTTGTGGTGGGATTCATCTATTGTGGTCATGGCAAGGGACATTTTTATTAGGTAGATTACAGAGAGAATTTATGCATACCAATTTTACAGCACTGTATAGATTTTTATTTATTTACTACCTATATAAGTCCTGAAAAAGCTAGAGAGAATGAATGTGTTGACAAAAACAGTCCAATACCACCCCACCCGAGATTTCTGTCTAACTTTTACTGTTTTTAAATTTCTTAATTTGTTGTTCAACCAATAACATGTAAGCAGGTTGCTACATAGTGATTTTGTATCAAGAGTTTTCATACTATATAGCAAAACTATTTCTGTTGCTACATAGTGATTTTGTATCAAGAATTTTCGTACTATATAGCAAAACTATTTCTAATTCCACTTTGTCCACCTATTAGTGGAAGGAGAGTTTGGGAAACACAGGTGCCTTTTAGCAAAACAGTGGCAGATGGGCCAAGCAAGCTTTGAAAATCATTGAGACCATCATTTCCAACACAGAATCTCTTCAGATATATAATACTTGCCAACACTAAACTCGTTAAAGAAATAAAAATACTCTCTCCCCCTCCATCAACCTTTCTCTCTTCAACCCTTTTTCCCATTCTTCCTCCTCCTCCTATCTCTCTCATTGTAGTGAAAGAAAGTGCTATACAGAGCCATGGATGTATCAGAAAAGCTTCAACAATATAGATACCACATAACCATAGCAATAGTTGTTTCACTCTCATTTTCCTTGCTGTTATATGCAGCTCCTCGGTTTCTGACCATTCTGGCCTATTTTTGGCCTTTGTTTGCTTCCACTACTGTCTTCTTGGTTGCAATAATAGCCTTCGGAGGAGTTTCAAAACTCTCAACTGAAGAACATGGTGAAAAGGCTGGTGAAGGACTCTTGGATTATGTAGCAGGAAGGGCAGAACTTACTCAGGAGGCTCAAAACTTCTAAGGGAATGAAGGGTGTTTGAATTTCAGGCTTAGTTTAGAAGGACTTAGTACCTTTGAAGTTCAAAATCCATGTTCGATGATGTCATGTTCTATGTGACCAGATTGGTGCTGAAAAGACAATTGTATCTATCCAATGTGCATAACAATTGTCATCGCAATATGAACAAAAATAAACAAGTATAATTAAACTCTGGAAATGTTGAGTATAAAATTTCTTCAGTTTAATCTCATTGTTTCATGCCTTCTTAAGTTGGCTAAACGTAATGGTTTTGGCATTAACCCTTTATTCTGTGGTAAAATCTGTCTTCATTTTTATGTACTACAGAAAATTTGCTTTCTGGACCTTCCCTTGTTATTTCAATCACCGAGCCTTGGATTTGTAATATTTTTTTCCCGATTATTTTGTCCAATTTTAAGTCACAAATTAATACAATTGAAAAGATAACATGTATTTTTTATGGGGACAAGGTTTTGCGGAAAAAAGAAACAGAATTATACAATGAGTTATGCCTTTGAAAATTGACAATTTTAATCTCCTTTTCCGAACGATAAAGTTAAGATGAGAGGATAAAAATGACCATAACTATATTCTAAAACGATTTTCCTATTCTATTCATTAGGTGCGTAGGTTAATAACTTTAATAGAAAATAAATGAATTTTGTGGTTAAAATTTTTTTGTTTTCCTAACAAAAGTTTCTGTTTTGACTTCTGCACTTGGTGTATATCATAGAAAAATCGATTCTAAAAATAAGCTTTTGGGTTTGGGTTTGGGTTTGAGTTTGAGGGGGAACTTAATAGCCTCTTGAGCAGATAGCTGCATGGAAAACTAAATTTAAGGCCTTTATAATTATAACAAAAATTGATTAATGAGCTGATCTCATGGTTTTAGTTCTTAAGATCATTTTCCACTCTGACAAAACTCTTTCTTCATTTTTTTTTCTTTTGAGAAAAAAACCTAAGAAAGCATCTAACCTTTCAAGTGGCCCTCCGCAAACACTAGCGCTTGATTTTGTTCACTTTCTTTTTTCGTTATGAAAATATTTAAGACAGCATCTACCTTATCAAGTGGCCTACACTTGGGAACAAACTGTTGAGTTATCTTTTACAATTTTGGATTTTGCTTTCATATCCATGTGTTCCAAGTAGTGTTAAGCTCATGAAAGTGTGCTTTGTACCCGATAAAATGTTATATATTATCACAGAAATACATTGATTCACTAAAAATAAACAAATCGTACAAAAAAGATTTTCCCTTCCCCCTTGATCTCCAAGTTGTTTTCTTGGGCCTTGGCCTATTTGATTATAAAAAAAATTGTTAATATTATAAGAAAATATTAGAAAAAATCTATAGTTAATCCCATGATAGGTAAACATCAATATATCTCATGTGATGGGCATCAATTGTCCAATGCAAATATGTACCACATTATCCGTGACATAACCAAGAACATGTGCATTGCCACCAAGCATGTGGGGTGGGCAAAGGATTGCTTACTTGCCACAAACACGTTGCCTTGTAACAGCATTGCAACCTTAAAAGGGTTATTTGTTTTTAATGAGGCTGTTGAGGAGTAAGTTTCCTAAAAACTTCGTTAGGTGAAGGAACATGAAACATGGCTATGTTGAGGACCAACATCCCTATATTCTTAAGTTGTTAAATGAAGATACATGAATTGTTTTATATGTCTAAACAAGTATAGCAAATTAATGGTGCTTGCTATTTACTTTGTTCATGTGCTGCATGCTGTGCCTACTTACCTTTATTCTCCTTGCCTTTAGTGGCTGAATTGATGGTTACCTGGCGTGTTCCTCTTGGGTGAGAGAGCAAATGCCCACATGCGATGCAGATAAATTGTCCACCCATATGACATAGTGGCAGGAAAGTAGCAGACTAGAGATTCTAATTTCTATTTGAGTTGTAATTTTTTCACATCATTATTTTTACACATTTCCTTTAATTCATATAAAATGTCACATCTTCTAATAAAAAGAGAACGAAATTGAAAAAATCACACTTCTTTTATATGGATGTAAATAAGGGTCTCTTCACTCAGTCTACTATTATTATTTGCTCATTGCCCATTAATTAAAATCTATCTAATATTTAAGTCCCCGTTAATGTCCCAACACTGTCAGGCAGTAGATCTCCATATTCAACGTTAGTCATAGTAAAAACACAAATTAAGAAACCTGTTAGTTTTTGTACCATTGATCTGATACTTGATGAGAAAGAAACATGGGATACCTCCACCTGCATAGGGTGCTAATAACAATACTTCAATAACACTTGTTTGAAATTGAAATCCGGTCTTGCAGTTATAGATTGAGGGTGTAAAGGATTGTGGACAATATTTTGTTCTTGGTAATTGATCTCAGTCTCTGAAGCACTGTTACATTGGAGGATTCTTCTCTGTATCTCACTCTTCTCATTGAGATGAGAATATTCTCTTGACGCTGAAAGTAATGGTTGTTGACCTTCATTTGTACCCATCAACTTTCTGAACAAAACTTCATATTTTAGCAAGCCACCTGAAAAGTTGAGGTTATGAGAGACATAATTTTAGCAGCTGCCATGTTTCTGATCTCTCGTTTGATTTTGATGACCAAAATGAAGCTTCCTTTGAGTCAATTATGAAACTAGTATTAGTAGAGTTACTTTTGATGACAGCATTGTTGATAAACTAATGGCAAGGAGTTATCTTTCTGAAGTTTGTGAATATGTGGTTATTCAAAGTGTTTGCCTCAAAATTAGTTTGCATCCTCTCCAACTGAGATACGTCCTTGCCCTCGTTATTAGTAAAATTTAGGATAATATATTATATCATTCCCGACATTTAGTCCGTATAGCTGCAAACTCTTGTGCTAGAATTATTAGAACAAATTCACGAACAATTCAACTTTATTTCATTGAAGAAACTAATGCTTTGGCAGCCTAATTTATATGACTGATAACAATAATTCTGAATGGATGCATTAAGTATCAACCAATAAATTTATTTGAACTGACAAAGGAAACATACAAAGGAACATTGTTCTTCAATCCACTACGATCAGTGGCATCACGATTCACTCGTATAATCAATCCCTAGTGTCTGACCTTTCCTCTTTCCTTTAAGTAGAACTACTTTACAATGCATATGAAACTTTATGCTATATCATCTTTTTGGGCCCATATGAACAATAGCAAGTGTATTGATGTTTTATAAGATGCACATAAAAGAAAAGAAAAGAACATTACAACCAATCGGCACAAGAATAAGAACCTGAGAAAGTTACTTATTGTACCTCAACTTATCCAGAAAAGAACTAGATTTCCATTTTGCACACTCGAGCAAATTCTGTTACATTATCCTAAAAGAACAACTTTTTTTTCTCCCTTTTGAGGAAGTTCTAAATTGAAAATACATGACCAGATTCAAACCATTGTCTTAGCTGCCAAATGGACAATTCAACACCAGACAAAATTTAGATATGGTAAATTGGGTGTGTTATTTTTTCAATTAAAAACGGTATTTTATTTTATTAATCACAATTGATTTTAATTATCAAAATGAAAGAAACAGATTTTGAGATTAAATGTCAACTTTAATTAAAGAATAACATTAACAGTATCTTTTTAGAGACAAAATCCGCAATAATACCTAAGTTTTGTCCTAAGACCTCAAAATGCCATGTCGGCTTCGGCCCTCTCACTACAAAGCCTTATTACCTGAATTTCGTTTGGCCCAAAGTAGCCCAAATTTAAAATTCCAAATCGGAAACCAAAAACTGAAGAAAATCCAAATTGGAATTATTTTTTCTTGGAATTCTCGGAATAAGTTAAAGAACAGAAACAATCGACAAAAAGAAGGTCAAAAAGCAGAACTGGAGTTGGGAATAAGATGAACCAGAGGGCAAGGGTTTGAGCTCCCTCTCTCTCTCTGGTATGCTACTCAACACACTTTCATTAATTTTCCCGAAACCTCTGCATCCTTGTGTTCTGCCACGTTATTTATCTTGTAACCAAACTTTTCAAGCTTCTGTTTCTGGCAGCCGAAGACCCCTTTCTTGTAACAATTTCAATATCTGCTTAGGAACTTTCTGGGTATAAAAAAAAGTCTTTTTTATTATTTAGTTTGCCCATTTTCGTTTTGTTTATTTTTCTGTTAATGTTTAGGATTTTGGTTTCGTTTCTTAACATTACCTGTTTCTGGGTCACTTAAAGTTTGAAACTTTGAGTGATTTAAATACTCCATTCAAGTGGGAAAATGACATCCATACCTTCGAAAAACCTATGGATTCGGAGGCAACAATGCCCTTGTGGAGATTGGAAGTGTTATATTACATATGAGGGTGATGCTGAGGAGGGTTCTACACCACCAGAATTGGTGAAGGCAGAGAAAGCATCATCTGCAGCTATGATTACTCCCTATGTTGGGATGGTGTTTAAGAGTGATGATGATGCTTTTGAGTATTATGGCAATTTTGCTAGGAAGAATGGGTTCTCTATTAGGAAAGAAAGATCTAGAATTAGCCCTCAATTGGGTATTTACAAGCGTGATTTTGTTTGTTACCGATCTGGTTTTGCCCCGGTGAAGAAGAAGCCTAATGGTGAACACCATAGAGATAGGAAGTCCGTGAGGTGTGGATGTGATGCAAAAATGTATCTGTCCAAGGAGGTTGTAGAAGGGGTTTCTCAATGGTTTGTTGTGCAGTTTAGTAATGTGCACAATCATGAACTCTTGGAAGATGATCAAGTGCGCCTTCTGCCTGCGTACCGTAAAATTCATGAGGCCGATCAAGAGCGTATACTCCTGCTTTCCAAAGCCGGGTTTCCAATACATCGGATAGTGAAAATGCTTGAGTTGGAAAAGGGCATCCAAGGGGGGCAACTTCCTTTCTTGGAAAGGGACGTGAGGAACTTTGTTCAAAATCGCAAGAAGGTTGTTCAAGAGAATGAGGCATTGCTCAGTGAGAAAAGAGAAAATGATATATTGGAACTTCTTGAGGCATGCAAAGCCGTTAAAGAAGCAGACGATGACTTTGTCTATGATTTTACAGTGGATGGGAATGATAAGGTTGAAAATGTAGCTTGGTCATATGGTGACTCTGTTAATGCAAATGCTATGTTTGGTGAGGTAGTTTATTTTGACACTACTTATCGATCGATCACTTATGGATTGCTTTTCGGTGTATGGTTTGGTATTGATAGCTATGGTAGAACCATTTTTTTTGGTTGTGTTTTATTGCAGGATGAAACACCGCAATCCTTCTCATGGGCATTACAGGTTTACTACTAGCATCCTCTGTATAAGATTTTACTTGTGCCTTCATATTCTTCTTATGGTGATCATTGCTTGATACAGACTTTTGTCCGGTTCATGAGAGGAAGATGTCCACAAACTATACTAACTGATCTAGAGCCAGGGCTCAGAGATGCCATTAGAAGTGAATTTCCTGGAACTAAACATGTCATTCCTCAGTGGAATATTCTATACAAGTTACCCAGTTGGTTTTCTCTTCGTCTTGGGTCTCGCTATGCAGAATTTAAATCCGAGTTTGATGCCTTATTTCACATTGAGAGTACAGAGGATTTTGAACTTCAGTGGAGCCAAATGATTTCTGTTTTTGAACTTGGTTCAGATAAACATACTGATTTATTGTTTTCTGTTCGAGCATCCTGGGCACAATCCTATGTAAGAGGTTACTTTTTGGCTCAAATGGTGACAATAGCTTATTCAAAGTCCATAGATGCTTTTTTGAAAGGGATTTTCACTACACACACATGTTTGCGTAGCTTTTTTGAGCAGGTATGTTGGTAAGAACTATTTTGTCTTGCATGCTTGCGCTAGCATTGTTGCTCAGTTGTTGTTCTAATGATTTTCTTCCCTCATGTATATTGAAGGTTGGCATTTCTGCAAGTTTTCAGCGTCAAGCACATCAGGAGACTCAATATATTCATCTCAAAACTTGCATACCTATTGAAGAGCACGCACGGAGTATTCTCACACCTTTTGCTTTCAATGCTTTGCAGCAAGAGCTATTACTGGCAATGCAATATGCTACATCTGAAATGGCCAATGGATCATATATTGTGCGGCATTTCAAGAGGATGGATGGAGGACGACTTGTGATATGGTTGGCAGAAGACGAACAGATACACTGCTCTTGCAAGGAATTTGAATCCTCAGGAATACTATGCAGACACGCTCTTCGTGTATTCGTGATAAAGAACTACTTTCAGCTGCCTGACAAATACTTTTTAAGTAGGTGGAGACGCGAATGCTCCTTGCTTATTGATGATGATCATAATAATCAAGGTATTGGTGGGGATTGGTTTCAAGAATATCAGTCCCTAGCAGAAACTTTATTTTCAGAATCATCAATTACAAAAGAGCGATCTGACTACGCCCGTAAAGAACTGACAAAAGAACTAACTAGGATTCTTAATGAGGTTAGAAATATGCCTGAGACTGATGCAGTCTGCATGACCATGACTGTTTCACCAGCCAGCTAGTTTTTAAGTGCTGAGTTGTATATATGTGATAGCATGCAAGTTTGCAACCATCGGTTCATGATAATAAAATGTAAAGTGACTAAATAAAGAATGCTTCCACAGCAAGTGACATAGGGAAATTGTTCAAACCTTTTCAGTTTGTTTTGAAATGGAATATTTTACATGGACATTGTGATTTGTTACTTCATGCTTTGTTTGGGAGTTTGGAGGGAGAGAAAAGAAAGAATTTGAAAAATAAGAGAAGAGGAAAGGGATTAATACAAAACCTCTCCAAATATGGAAATAGGAGGATTTTCACCTCTTATTTAAAAACTCCTATTAAGTCTTTTCCTTCCCTTCTTTTTCTCCTGAAAATTAACTCTCAAATAAAGCTTTAATGTCATTGTCTCCTATATTAGTGATCAAGCTACAAAGAAAGTTCATAATGCCCAAGAATTTTCTTGACGAGCATAATCTCTAATTTTTTCATATAGTATTTATTTATTTACTTAACTTTGTTTATGGTCTCATAGGCAGCCCTAAACTTGGGTAACTCGGGTAAAGGAAGAGAATTATGCTAAGTCTTTGCCAACTAATGTAAATTTGTCGAAACTTTTTATATAAATTTTATGAATGAATTTATTTATTTACTTCATTGTCTTTTTTGGGCTCAGGTTAAAATTTAGTTCTTGAATTGTTTAATAAAAATGTTTTAATATAAATATGCAATTCATATTAATTTATGTGCACATTTTAATTATATTTAATGATATGGAATTAATTTTATTAAACTTACAAATAGAAAGACACTAAACGTGTGATGTTACTTTCAAATTGAAGTCAACATTTTTCAGGAATCTCTGAACACGATAAAGGCTTAGGCCTTTATTGCCCTGCTTAGAAGTTAGAGTGACTTTTATAAGAGAGCTTTGGGCCCAAACTCAATGAAAGACTATAAATTGTGCATGGTGTGCTTCTATATCGCACCGGTGTGTAGAGAGCCGTTAAAGTGAGTTAATTTAACTCATTTGAGTTGATCGAACAAAAAAAAAATTCATGAGTTTACTCACAATGGGTTAATTCAATAGTAAGTCAACTCAATTAAGTGAGTTTATAAAATGTCAATTTAGTTGAGCTTACTAATTTGCTAAATTGACTCACAAGTTGATTTATTAAACTTTAAAAAATAAAAACATTTTTAATAAAATTTAAGATTATTTTTAAAAAAAATTATAATTAGTAATACTACGAAGTAACTAAGTAGAATTTTTTTACTCACCAAAAAATACTAGTAAGTATAAATTATCAAACACTTTAACATTTATATTATTCATATATTTATTTTTTAGCATGCGTACTTTTTAGTAATTGTTAAACTTAAATTTTATTTTTCAAAATAAAATCTCAATTATATTTCACCAGTTATGCAAAAAAATATAGTGTAAAAAAATATTATATGCCTATAAATAAGGGAAAAAATTATTAAATTTCACACAAATAAACCGACAGTTAATTATTACTCAAGTCTAAATTAGGCTTCCAATCAAATCTATCTTATGAATTCAAATCCTAATTTGACTTATTTTAAATGTGTGACCATCTAAATTCACGATATATTGCCACTTGCCGATGATATTAAAATGCACATAATATAATGTATAAATTATACTGAAGTGACAAGAATGTTTGTGAGATTGACATAACATATTTGTGATCAATGTTACCGAATTTCTCTAGTCAATTGTATATGTGAGCTGAACCAGTGGCCACATTCTCTTCAATTATCTTTTAAGCTGAATATTTGGACCCACGTGAGTGAGTGATTGATGAACGAACGTAGGGCGGCGAGTTGTACACTTGTCTTTCTAAAATCAAATGTCATTTTTTTCAACAAAGTTGTTATTTTGTTAAAGATCATTGTTGTACTGATCCATGCTATTGGCAATTATGCAGCACGCTTCTGTTTGTCTGAACATGCAGACAAAATCTATTTTGTTCGTGCTCCTCCCTCATCAAGCTGGTGTCCTTGACCCTTCTAGATTTCGCCTTTTAAGCCTGAATAGATGAATGTTTGGGGTGAAATTTTGATGTGATTCTTCAATTTATCAAATCCTCATGTTCTCTTCGAAGAGGGTCCCTCCCTGATCTAGGGAGTATGGAGAACCTCACCATGATATTTGGTCACAGTTGAAAGGTTTGACAAAGAATACTGTTTACATTCTTGTTTGAAATCTTTTATTAGTTGATGAATATTTATTGTACTGTCTAATTTAGTGATGACAAAAAGGGAAAAGTAATGTAGTTATAATTATTTTTTAAAAAGTGTTGTAATAATTGATTAAGTCCTTCAATTATCAAATAAACATTTACCTTCAATACTAACAGTTATGTTTTTTGTGTGCCACGTTCTACTTGCTTGTTTTCCTTTTCTTTCTTCTTCTTCGTGGCTCCTTTTCTTTCTTCTTCTTCCTCTTGAAAATCTGTGTTTAGGGATGTTAGTTTAAGTACAATGAATTCATTAAATCAGATTTATTTTAAAGATGATTTACCTTAATGAGACATTAAGAGGGTGTAGGAATTATTTGATCTTGGCTTCCACGCATCCACAAACCATACAGATCTTGAAATATGTAAACCTTGAAGATGTTACTGTTTGTGCCAGCAATGCTGGATTTGACAATAAGAACAAAATACTCAAGTCTAAATTTTAATAATATTTTATTTTTAATTTAATATTTTTTCTTGTTTTTTATAACTTTGAATAAATTTTAATCAATAATTAAAAAAATTATCGAAAAACATTACTAACATTCCTCTTATAACAGTTAACAAAATTTACTCCCTGTATGGCTATTATAAATAACATAGATACCACATATTTTGTGCCGTATTCTGCTATAAAATCCTTCCATCCAACCAAACATTTTTGACGAAAACGACCAAACAAGATAACATGTCTATTCAGGAAATTTTGATTGTCATTTCGACAAATTTCATCATAGAATAAAAAAATACATTGATATTGTTGAATTACATGGATGTAGCTGACAAGAGTAGAAAATGCAGAAAAAGTAAAAATAACAAATATACTGTTCTGGCGGATTATAGTGTTATTAGTGTTATTTATTAATGGAATTTAAAGTTTTACGTCAATAAAATACTTAAGTTTTGTCATTATTTACTTCCTTAGTTCATAATAATATGTAAAGAGTGTTTAGGAGAACATGTGGATTATATAAAATAGATTTGCATAAAAACATAATTATTTGTGATTTTTAGTTATTAATTGTAAATCATAATATTTTTAACTTGCAACGAATAACTATTAGTTATAAAAAGAAAATTGCAGTGAGATACTGCTAATATTTATCAAGTATTTGTTTTATTTGCGCAACAATTATATACAGTTTTAACGGCTAAGAAGTCGTAATATACGTTAATATATATAAAGTTTTTTTATACCCTATATTTATGTCAATAAAAATAGTATGTAATAAATTTTTATTAAAAATTATAACATTTAGTGTATCAATGCATTCAGTGTAATTGACTTTTAATAGATTTTTTTTTTATATGTATAATGTTAAATAGGTTACAAAGTTTACACTAAGAACTCATTTTTGTAAAAAATTAAATTAAATTCCGTTGTAGTTGTGTTTGGAATATTATACAACTAAGGAGAGAAAATTTAATGACAAATCCTTGGTAAATTTGATTTTTTTTCTAGTGTGTCCTTCCCGGCATTTCCTGCTCATAGAAAGAAACTGTTAATGTTTTTCACTCATATTCAAATTCTTAAACAGTGGGATTGTTCTTGGAATATATCACTAGCGATTGAAACGATAATAGTAAAGGAGAGAAAGACAAAGACAAGAGTAACATACAAGTACAAGGCCAAGATGCAATATTACATAAACTTAACTAAAACGACATGACAGAATTTTGCAGACTGAAAAGGAAAGAAGGGTACAGAGGGTGGAATAGCTCTACATATCCAAACAAAAGGGACGAAATTGAAGTAAACAGAACCATATGACTCTACTCATTTGAAACAGACTAAAGCACTTTATTTCTTGTCATCTTTTGATTAATTAAGATGTACTAAACTGCAATAAGTTGTCTTTGAGCTTCAATTCTTATTTCCTCTTTCATTTTCCTTATGAACTCTTCAAACTTTTTGTTCAGTTCATCTGTATTTACTAACTCCTCGTTACTTGTTATTATTGATTCTTCTAGTTCATCATCTTGTGCCACCTCCACCTCACTTTCTATTTCTCCTTCTTCATCCTCTTCTTCTGCAATGTAAACTTCACTTTCTTTTCCTTCACTTTTGGTGCTTTCTTCTTGATCTTCAGCTTCTGAATATTCTTCACTGTATTCCTCTTGCCATTTAGCTTGTGCTTCGTCCATAAGAGGAACATTCTCTTGGGACTCAGAACTTCCCAGAGAGACAACAACCGTGTCAGAAACCGGTGCCTTTGTCTCCGACAGATTGGAAGCTTGAAGCTGATAAAAGTCAGAATCCGATACAGATTGGAGTGAGCTTTTGGCTAAAAATGCAAGGATTCCATTGCAAATGAGAAACATGTATTTTCTTTCAAGGGTGTGAGTGAACATGGAGAAAAGGCACGTGGAGAAGTAGGCATTGAAGGACTGAGGGTGTATGGAAAAGCCAGAAGAGTACCAAACTATGATAGAAAACACAGACACTGAGAAAAAAAGCTGTAATGTTCTTTTCAAAAAGTGTTTCTTGTTGAATTTCTTATGAATCTGATCCTCGCTTTGATTTTGATTTTGATCCATCTATGGAGGCTAGCTAACTCTTCTTCTATAAAAGCACTTATGAGCTAGTCTTAATTATTAATGGAAGGTAAGGCTCAAATGAGGATTTGTGAGAGATAGAAGAGGTGGCTTTGGAATAAAATAATGAGTTGTGTTGAAATGCTGTTGTTTGCGACTTAAGTGCACTTGTGGTGTTGAGTGAATACTGAACTCTAAGCCCCCTTCTATTTATACTAAGCCTAAATCTACAATAACTTATTGTGTTGTCAAATAATTTGATAAAATCAAAGCAAAAATAATTTAATAAAATGGACGTATTTTTATGGATTATACTGACACGAGGGAGATATGAACAATTACTAACCATAATTACGTGGGGGTGGCTAGATTAGTAGCAAACAACTATAGAGACCAAAATAAAAGTAAGTCAATTACTATATATTTATGAAGAAAGAATAGAATGTAAATAATGGAAGGTGATGCTGTTATTTGGAAAAGAAGTTCAGTGAAGTTTCTAGATGTCACCCTTCCTTGCCATAACCTGTTTAACAAGGTAAAAGAATGAATGAAAAGTGTTTTCCCTCAACAATACGTAGAGACTGTAGCTCAATAATTTGTGTGCATTCTAGTTTGTGGGTCCGATGATTCTTTATCATTTGAGGACTACCACAACTCCTGCCTCAGTTCTTCTGTTACCAGTGTTTTAATATTTTTGTCTTTATTTTTTTAACTTGACTACACTAAAGTGTTTTTTTCATATTTAAAAGTAATTTAAAGAAGTGAAAGTTTTTGAAAATGTATGAATTTTCTTGAGGAAATTAGAAGGGATGCCAACAAAATTGCATTGGCACATACATATACTAGCTTTAGGACTGTTTGGTATAGCAACTGAAATGGAAAGTGAACAAATATAGCTGAGGAAAAATTTTCCCTCACTGACTTCGTATATCTTTCTCTAAAGAAAATATTTTTTTGAAGTTTTCTGAAAAAAATAATAGAAATCTGATTCGTGTAAATACATGAATATGTATGTCTAAATACTTGGTGGGTTTTACAATTCTTTTTCTTTCAAACAAAATATTAAAAATAATAAGAGTCACAAAAATGTCATAACTTGTAATGTTAAGTGTGTAGACATGTTAAAGATATTTTGTGGTGCCAATTAATTATCCCAGCTAATCAGCCGAATAAATTAACAGACTGTAAACACACTTTTAATCAGGTAATTTTGTTGAAAAAAAATTCTCCAATTAAGTTTATAGACTACTTCAAAAATGCCTAGAGTGAAGATTAATTATGTTCTAAGTTTGCATTGAAGAAAAATAAAAGTAATAAAAAGCAGTGATAAGCAAAGCTCTAAATTGTTGGAAAGTAAAGGAATAAAAAATGAAAGGGAAATATAAATATTTATATTTGACTGTCATGTTCGAAGGGTGACTTCTATCATGGTTAATATACAATTGATATTTACATATCTACAAATAGTTAATTTCACTAAACATGTTTATCATATTCTACTTAAACTCATCAAACTCATATTTACAATAATATAGAATTATGATCGATGATAATAATAATAATAATAATAATAATATTGTGAGTAGCTATTACTTCATTTGATTTGTTATCAAAATTTTATCTGATGATTGAGATTCCAATTGTTTCTCTAATTAGACATACAATCACATATCTGCTTTTAAGGAAGTAATCCTTTCACACATGCGCTGGTTTCAATATTGTATATATATATATATATATATATATATATATATATATCTACTTTAAATCTTATCCCTAACTTTAGGGATTGGTTATCCAACAATTTCTTCTTCCGTGTCAAATGCTTTTTGTTGTATAACAATTGATATATTTGAATTTAAAATAGCAACCTTAAAAAAATCAATTTTTGTATTCTAAAAATACTCCTGTAAAGTCACCTTTCAAGCTCATGTGCATTTAGGTTAACATACTTCTCTAGCTGAGACTTTATGTTAGATTCATCTCATATATTTACCAATAACTCAACTAAGATGTTCCTCCTCTAATGAACTTAATATATTTGTTAACTATTTCTCTTAGTCTTTTTAATAAGATACTTTTAATTAAATTATATAAATTAATAAAAATAATTAAAATATTTTGTAAATATTATAACATGTATAATAATTTTGTTCTTATTTAATTTCATTGAACTTAACCTTACTATTAATATATTTACTCATTAATTAATTTTAATTTAAGTTTTCATCAACTCTATTTATTAATAAATAATAAACATTTCATAAAAATTATAGAATATTTTATATTTAGAAAGGATAGAAAAAACGTTAACCACCAAATTTATTAACTTTTTATGTCAAATGTCAGTTACCAAAAATATCAAATAGAGGCTTTATCGTCTAAAGAGCTAGTTCATGAATTGAACTCATATTCTAATAACAGCTTCTAGGTCCAAAGAACAAGCTTGCACAAATGTCACAACTTCTTAAAGAGAAGAGAAATTGAGAAATCATCTCCACCAATAGGCAAGTAGTACTTACTAGCTATTACGATGGACTGGTCGCTATGTTACAACCATGTACTCGTTTCATAATTATTGAGATATTTTGAGTATAATAATAGCCTACACAAACTTGTGGATGTAGACATTAATTGTTTTTATTATTTTTTAATCACCAATGAAGTTTTACCACGTGTCTATTTGTCCTTTAATTACGACGGTCGTCAATGAACACCTCCCATTGGAGGCCATCAAACCATAAAACCAATTATTTGAGTTGCACAATAATCGAGTCTATCCCAATCACACTTGTCTCAAGCACAAGCAAAATTATGAAAGCCTAGAAACATGTTTTTCTGGTACCAAGTTCATGAATGGAAACTGGAAAGACTGTTTACTGTTATATATGTAGGAGTAACTTTTTTTTTTCTTTATCTTCTTTTTGTTTTGATCACATGATTAATAACCAATCTGTGACCTTATTTTTATTTCCCCACTACCAAACCAAAATATTTAAAGGAACGCCATCGGAAGTTAATACAATTTTTAACTCTTATTTTCACAGCTTGTGAGCAATGTTTTTCTTCACAAGTTGAGCTGTGTTAATTACTCGTCAATGTTCTACAACTCCGGCCAAAGAATACTTGGAATAATGTTTTAAATGACATTCCTTTTAATTATTATTTCCTTCATGATGAGTTGTTATTTTTTAATTTGAGAGATAAAAGAAAAAAAATTGCTGGCAGTTTAGAATAATCATCCCCATACTCTTCATTTTGGGGGTATTAGAGGTGAAAAAGTAAGAGATAAAAAAAATAAACAACGTAAAAAAAAGGCAGGGAATAAATAAAATAAAAATATTACACGTGTATAAATATCAGTGTTAAAGCTTGTAATTACCAAAATTAACAAAACAAAAATATGGAGCAATTATATAGCTATTGCGACCGTCATGATTCAGGACAAGGTACATCTCCAAAACCTTAACATTGAAATCAGCATCAGTTATACGAATTTGTGTTTGAGTACGACACACTCACCCCTATTTCACCACATGTAAACTAGCCAAAAACCAATGATTGTGAACCAGATGCGTAAACAAACACAAACTAGCCACAGATAGTGCTTTCCGTGGAAACAAAACTGCCACATTGCCGACAGGTGTCACCATCAACCATCAACCCCGAAAAAGGAGAGCAAACAATTAATCAACGCAATGCAACTCTTCTTCACGTGAAAACACTAACTATATCTATTATACATAAATAGGTTTAAGAAAAATCACAAGTTAGCGCTCACACATAAAATTCATCATATGACCTTATCATAACATAAAGAGGCACATATATATGGTCTCTTACTTTACTATTCATGGTGCGAGTATACAAAACTTGAAACTAGTAAAATATTATTTATTAGCATTTAGCTTAAAGGCATTTCGAAAAACTCGTTCAATATTGATCGGGCCACAAGAATGTTCCCATTGCAAAAGCTCTCTTCTCATCAAGGGTACCCTTGAAACTTAGTCCATATTGCATAAGAAGCAAGTTCACCTTCCACTCCTCCATGCTCTCATAATCCGGTTTGGTGTAGCGTGGATAGTGAAGTGGCATTTGAAACCCAGAAGAAGGGTACTCATTTGCAACCTCATTTGAAGAAGACCCTTTCAAGCTCTTGGCCTCTCCATTTTGGTAACATGCAATCTGAATCTGCTTACACTGCTCTTCTGTGTTGTTCATTGGGTACCCAAAAACATGGCAAGCTGAGTGGAGAAGCCATCTAAGAGCCATTGTTCTCAGCCTCTTAGAGAAACTAATACTATACTAGTGTTTTGCTTAAAGCAAATGCTGGGTTGATAGAGCTAGTGCGTATATATATATATATATATATAGAAGCAATGCACATATAGTATCCCGTGAAAGACAAAAAAGTGCGTATTGCATGCGTTAATTAAGCAAATTAAGAGTCCCTTACGATATGTCTATGAATTTAGTATTTGTATATTCTATGTGAAGTTTTGGAATTTGGCTGCCTTACTTGCTCTGATTGTTATCTTATATTATTATGTGTAGTTTCTTGGAGTGCTTTGATAGGTCAAATTTTCTTGGAGTGATTGATCATTGATGGTCTAATATTTTTCTATGCTATATTATGTGTTACTGTCGACGGGTGTCTTCGATGCTTGTTAAAGAATTGAGTGCCTGTTTCCTTAGTTTATTCCCTAGAAATAATCATTTGTTCTAATTAAGTTTTTTAGGGAATTCTTAATGAAAAATGATAATTACTAAAAAAAATAAGGTGTTTCCAAAGAAACAAGCTTTAAGAAATAAAACGTAATATTTAATATATTAACAATTTTAAAAAACTAATTTTATTTTAAAGTTTTTGTAAATATTCATTGATACTCGCCTCACAAAAAAAATTATATTATTCATACAATTATCTTTTTTTATAATACTTTATAGATAACACATTTTTTAATATTTTTTATTACTATCAATTTTATAACAAGTTACAATAATATATATTTTTAAATTATTTACAAAATAAATATTTTAATTTAAAAATATATATTTTTAAGAAAGTGTATTCGTAGAACTTGTTTGTTTCTCTTTTTACATATACTTTTTTTCTTTTAAAAAAATAATAAAAACTTATTTGCCAATCTAAGTTTTTAAAAACTGTTTTTAAAAATAATTTTTCATTTTCAGTTTTTAAATATAAAAAATACACTCTAAAGTGTTTTGTTTTAAGTTTTTTTATTTATTTTTTTATCTTAAAAACAGTTTTGAAAATTAAAGAAACAAACAAATTTTATTTTTTATTTTTTATTAAAAACATTTTGTTAAAATTATTTTAAAATATGATTTTTAATATTTGTTCTCTTTTCTTTTCTCAATCATATTAATCATCTAGCTTTATATTTATATTTTTATCTTTCCTTTTTATATTGTACAAACACAATATTTTGTATAACAGCCAGGGTCTTACGTGTCTGAGCATCGAGTTGTGTATTTATATGATATTCATGGCCTTGACGTCACATATCAATAATGTTAAATGGCTTTCGCATTACGATAAGAATTTTTATATCTAATTTGAAAAGTTGTGCATGTAGGTATCAATCATCACTGGTTATTTCTTTTAACCCATCAGGGGGATTATAAACATAGTCATCAAGGGATTTAATTAAGCATCTCGAGGATGCCAACACAATAAAAATATATAAACAATTAATAAATAACAATCATTAAATATTGGAATATATTAATAAAATATTTATCTAACTAAAAAAATTATTAATATACATTTAGTATATTGATAGTATATATTAAGATTTGCATTAGTAAAGCTATTTATCGATATAGTGTATTATTTTGTGAGTATGAAATTTTAATATTTATAATGATACTTTAAACTTCATTAAAAAAATATATTATTAAAAACCAATCTGGTATTAAATTATTAATAGATAACCTTTTTTATAATGAAAATAACCCATTTTGGTGATTATTTGATAAGCAATGAAGCAGTTGTGTTTGTGTACATGATATCAAATCACATGCTTATTTAATAATTAACTAAGGTTGATAAAATATATAATAAGGTCAATTTGAATAATTTATGTTTACATTATTTAATATGGAGATACCTAAAAGCCAGAAAATGTAAAATAGAAAAGAGAGTATTAATTTATATTTTTAAGATAAATAAAATATAATTTCTAAATCGGCAAATATATAAAACTACTGAATGTAGTAAAATTTAGAAAAAAAATCATATTATTAAGATGAATTTCGAATAAAGAAAAAATTTTACTAGACAAGACTATCCTACAATAAAATTTTGTAGATGAAATCTAAAATAATTCTCAACATCTTAATAGTAAATGAGAGAGCCAATGGAAGTTAAGACCAAGAAATAAGACATTTTCTCCAAACGAGGCGCTCAATAGTTTATGAAAAAAATATTCTAAAATATTTTTAAAAACTAACATTGTCATTTGAATTTTGATATGGCAAAGGTTTATTACAAGTTGTAACTATATTTAATTTTTTATCTGCAAATTGTAATTATGATCAAGATTATTTTTTAACTGCTTAATATAATCGTGGGCTGCTCTGCATACAGTTCACTGACAAACCAAACATCTGGAATTCCGAGCCCATTGGGCTTCAGAGACTACCTTATAGTTATAGGGCCAGTCAGAGTATTTTACAAGCAATGAATTGAATCATATGATTGTTGTTTGATGACCCAAAAAAATCATAGCACTATTTAATTCAATAATTCAATTAAAATACATTGATAATATGAAGACTTTTTATAGTATTATTTAATTTTATACTGTTATATTGATGAAAAATGTTAATTTTTGTAATAATAAATTTTAAAATTATATTTATTAAATATTAATAGATTTTTTTGACGATACATCAAAATTAAATTCGTAGTTCAATTCTCGAAAAGAGGATCCTACCAACCAAAATAAGAATAAAGGACAGTATGTTGATAAATTCTAAAACTGGAAACTCGATGGATATTGTGGGCAACTTTGAGGATTGCTGTTTTCACTTATATTGATGTATTTTTTATAGTACTTATGGTGATATGTTAATACATAGATAATTTTTTTTAAATGAACTTAAACAGACTATATAACTAAGCATTCAATCAAATTTTAAACTTTATTAATATACATTTTAAGAATATTTAATAAAGAATAAAAAAACTGTATTTCATAAAAATCAACATTTTTTCTTATTAGTTATTATCTTTTAAATCATTAATAGGTGATTTAAAAGTACTCATTATTGTTTACCTAATTCAAAACAGTTTTTCAATTTTAAAAAATCAATCAGTTAACTTAACCACTCAATGTCAATGCCAACTAGGACGAAATCTTCTTGGTGTCCAACTCACCATTGACAGGATTGCAATGCTCTACACACAAACCTTAACATTCTCTAAGATCAAACACTTTCATCCTTCAATCTCTCATTTCTTTTTTATCATGATTTTAGGAAGAAAAACTTACCCCCAAAAAAGGTATAAAAAGCAATTTCCATTTAAGAATTAGGCCAATTTTAAGTCTTATAAAATTCAAATTGACTCAATATATTTTTATTCCTATTTGTCTCTAACTTTTAATAAAAAAATCTATTAATTAACTGTTTAACTATTATCCTTAACAAGATTGTATGCGTAAATTAATTTGACTCACTGAGTGAAATGCTTCAGAAAATAAAGTGGTTTAATAAATTTAAATTTTATTACACATTAATCTTATTTGTCAATTTAAAATCAATAATTGTAATAGTACTTTTATATTCTATCATCAAGGTTGTTATAAGGTAACTATTCCCCAATGTATGGAGGAGGCTGAGGAAACCCAGAAAATAAAAATGAAAAAATTCCCAGAGTATGGATGAAGAGCTATGAACATAACAAAACAACAAAGGACACATTTATTATTAATATTGCCTTAGAGATACCTGAAATGAGACGTGATCAATTGGCTGTAAATGTGCTATAGTGTAACTTGTATTCTGGATTTCATATTTTAATAAATATAATGGCATTAAATATTTATAGAAAATACCTGAGATTAAAAAAAAAATACTGCAGTATTGGAAAGACGGGCCTTGATGAGTGAGGGCCCAAAAGCAAGGCCCTAGAAAGACACAAACCTCGAGATTCCATTTTCCAGGAACTCATGATGAGATGTTGAAGGTGCATTTGAGGTTAGTGAGGGCTTCAATTCATGGGTTTTACAAATAATGGAGTAGAACAATGGATTGAAGGGCCTTAATTAGAATATGAGAAGCTCCTTGTCTTTCTTTCATCATGTTCTATTTAATTCATCTTCTCACACTCACATTAAAGCCATATTCATCTTGTGGATGGAAATGAGGGTGTTGTAATGACAGCAACTTTACTACCAACAATTACACCAAACCTTATCTTCTTCGTGCCTTATCTTTCATTGCCCTCTGTTGAGTAAAAGGAAACCATTTGTGTGGAACCCACCACCTTACATGCCCCCTCGTAAACATTGTTATTGTCGTTTCTTTATTGGGTTCTCATCAAATTTTTCAAAGCTCAACTTGCTTTAATACTTATAATAGATTTCAGTTTCCAACATTTTATTATATACCAATTTATTTATCATCTAAAATATTATTATAAAAAATTGTACATACAAAATGCTTCAAGTATCCTCCAACAACGTCGTATACACTATACAAATTCTTAAAAAACGAGATTCTGAGGACGATTCCGCATCACCCTAAATTCTACTGTTACGCTAAGAAATATATATTGTGACGCCACCCTTTATTATCCTATAATTGAATCTAAATAATTATAAATATTTTTTTTATCAATTTCCTAAATTCATAATTTTATAACTCCATTTTCACCTTATAAATATCGAATAAAAATGTAGTTTACATTAATATTTTTTATTATAATATTCACTTTAAATGAATATACCCCGATTCTCAGGCACGGTTGTGGAGGAACTCGGGTTCTCCACAGTTCAAACCATAAAAACTAGAATGTTCAGTTGTAAAATATAATTATGAAAGTTGAGAAAAAGAAACCAACTTTTGAATTTCAAAACTGTATCATATAGCAATTTTTCTTCATCGCATTCCATTATGAAGTTTTTTGTTCATTTCTTTTTTTCTCACACACGACCCATTTCTTTCTATCATACTCATACCTAATAATGATATATTAAACTTTTTAAAATAATATTAAAAAAGGTGTAAACTATAAACGTTTGAAGTGAAATTACAAAGAAGAGAGTAAGAATCATTGAGTTAAAATTATTCAAATGGGGTCAAAGGACATTATAATTAAAAGTTGTTAAGAACTAAGGAGTATAAATAAATAAATAAAAAATTGAAGTGTTGATATACTCGTCTATTAATACTCTCATTTAAAATTGAATAAAACTGATATTGAAGTGATAATGATGATGAAAATTAGAACCATAAAGTTGTTAATAATGAGAGTGGAGGCTAGGGTTTAATTTTAAAACACCCAAATAATAAATAAAAATTGACGCCGATAAAAAAATATAACAGATTTATTATGGTAAACGGAATAGAGTACACCCGCATAAGCATGATGGGGGAGCGAAGTCAAATAGAATCGTGCAGAAAGCCCTGAGAAGGCCACGTGTGATGAAGGTACAATGCATGCGCAACACCGGAATATCCCTCAAAGAGAAAGAATTAAAATTCCGGTTATACCCTTGAGGTTCTGCTCTTCCTTCTCCTCCTTTCTGGTGTGGAATGTTGAATCACCACATGGCAGAGAATAGAAGAGAAGGTAAAGAGTCAGCAGCTTCAACACCAACACCAACTCCTCTCTCTCTCTGCAACCCTTTCTCCATTACCCAATAAAAGGGACCTAACAAAAACTCTTAACCCTCCAAAAAAGTTTTTTTTTTTTTTTTCTCTGGGTCGCTTCACTCTCACCCTTTCATTTGAACCCACCTTGCCCCACTTCGCTAAGTCTCAGTTTCGTTTTGTGACACCAACCTCTTATCACTCCTCGTTACATAGTACGATGAATGCAGTTTAACATTTGTGTTTTTTGTTTTTTGTTTTTTTTTTTGCGGCTGAAACTTTCGTTTTTGTGGGGCATTGTTTGACTTCACTTCCGGTATTTGAACCCCGTTCTCTCTTCCCAATTCTGGGTTACGCTCTGTTTTCCCTCTCTTGACCTTGATCCCCTTTTACTTTCTGGGTTCTCTTTCTTTTTGTGGGGTTGTTGTTGGTTTCGTTCTTCTTCAATGGTTTGAGTTTGGGAGCGGTGTTTGGCTTTTCCTTAGGGTTTTTCCTTGTCCAATTTGAGTTGGTCGAGGAACGACCCATCATTGTTGTGTGTGGGGTGGTGAAGTGGGGTTAGTGAGAATGTCTGGTGGAGAAGTTGGTCCTGTTTTTGTAGCGTGGGAGGAGAAAGTGATATGCCAGGAGCGTGGGAACCGAGTGATTCATTTCTATTTGAAGGATGCATTGGGGAATTCAGTGCTTGCTGTTGTGGGGACTGAGAGGAGTGTGAGGCACATGATGTATGTTGTCCCTGATAATTTCTTGCAGGCTTATGGATCCACACAATCCATCAATGCTTGTAAATGGAGGGCAAGGAGAGAGGTTGTTGACTGGCTCACTTGTTTGGTCTCGCGAAATCGTCAACAACATCATGCAGGTAGTTTGGTTTTGAGTATTCAATTTCGTGTGTTTCATTTCTTGGATGATTTGTCTCTGAGAAATGTTAATTGTGGATGAGTATGTTGTGCTGAATCAAGTTACTCTGTGCATGGTTTTTGCCTCTTGGGATTTGTCATGTAGGTTTTTAACTTTTTATCCCCACATAGAGGGATGAATTTTGGTTGTTGCTAGTTGTTGATCATAAACTGTTTTCTTGTGCTCTTGTCTGACAGCTACACGACTTATTATGATTGCGTAGCTGCACTTCCTATGAGTTACCTTTTCATGTATTTTGGTCGAGCCTACGCTGTATGAATTGTACTGTTTATGTCATTCTTGCCTACGTGAACATTATATTTATACACGCCCTTTTTGTGGGATGCTGTCTTTGGACTTTCATATTGAGGACTTACATTGATGGGTGAAAAAAATTTCGAAATTAGAGCATTTTGATGATTTATTTGAATGTATTTGCTTCTCTATAGTGAGGAGATGAATAAAGTGAGAAAGTAGTGGTTTATTATTTAGTTAATGATATTTATAAAATACTTAAATTCAAATGAACCGTTGATAGGTTCTCACTTTCCGCACTTTTACACTTTAGAGGAGCTAAATCCAATTGGAATAGAGTATACTAGTTTATTTTAAAATAGCATTGCTACCGCACTAAATGCTTTATTTATGTTACTTAAGTGCCATCTTATGGAATTTATATGATATCTTTTACATTAAGGTAAAATATGCTATTACCGGATGATTAATAATCACCATGTTAGCATTTGTAGCTGTTGTATTCATGGTAAGTCAATAAATACGAGAGTAGCCATGATTGGTCTGTTATTCTGGATTCTGGGATGTCATTTTGCTAATATAATGTATAAAACCGCACATTATTTTAACCATCACATACTCATTCTTTTTCCTTTCTCGAGAACACGGCTTACGAGGTATTGTAATATAAATTATGATATTACATTATAGTTCTACAAGTGGTTGGAAACGGTGTGGGTTCAAGATGTAAGTAGGCCCTTATGACTTGAACAATTTTTATGAAGATTGAAAGGAAGAGCAAGTTATATCACATCCTTGCCAGCTACCCTTGTGAAGCAGAGCAGGCAGAAAAAGCATGAGCCTTGTGACCGAATTAAGATTAAGAATCAGGAAGTTGAGGTAGTAATAACAAAATTAGGATTCTAGGGTTGAGAAACCACTCAGATGTAAAATATATCATATGATTTTCTTAATGCAAGCCTTATGGATTACTTGTTCTATATTTACTTGCATAATACCAAGCCCTGCCCAAAGAATACTAGTCCCATCTAAAACTTTGAGCATTCGCCATTGAAAGACCACATGCTAGTTACACGACTACCTAATGCAATAGGAATTCACATTAAACTCGCCTCAGAAAGGACAAAAGCAATTCTTTTATATATTTTTTAGCCTTTGTAAGTCCATTCACATGTTACATGCAATAACGGGCATGTAGCTCAAGTGGCACTGGCCTCAATCTGCCTCTCTAACCATCCTGGCCCCCACAACCACTTAATGCAATAGAATTCACATTTAAATCACTATAGAAAGGAAAAAATTAATAAGTATATCTTTTAAGCCTTGACGCAACCGTATTCATGTGTTACTATGAAGCTGTTACATTGCACAAAATTACATGTAACGGACTTGTAGCCTAATTGGCACTGGCCCCACACTCCGTCAGTTACCGTCCTATGCCCCAGCCCTGCTTGAAAAAACAAAGAAGTTACAGGTGTCTCTAAATCGTTGGTTTAGCATATTTGTTTTTCCAGATTTTGTTTAATATTTATTTACATGCCTTTGCTTCTTTGATATTGCTGTCACACTTATAGAGAATGGAGATTGCTGAGAGAAAGATGATGTTTTTTTCGGCCAGATTTCTGGTGCTTGAAGAAATCGGTACTGGCAAATTGATTTCTTTATTTCTTTTTCTCTTAGTGCTAGGCTTTGCCATTTTTTGTGATCTGTTAAATGTTTTAGATCTGTAGATTTAGCATTTTTTATTTCATTCTTTTTGCTTAAGATTGACTCATTAAGGATGGTATGATCGTGTTTGGTGTTCTGCTGATTGATTAGCATTTCTGTTAAAATCTATCGATTTTCTTTTCGCTTGAGCCTTGATGCATTGATAAGGTTGCTGCCTTGTGATAATTGTAAAAAAAAGCCGCTCCCTTTATTGGGGTTAGGTTGCATACTTTTGACCCTTCACAAGCCCCATGTTGTTGGGGTCCTCATACACACAGCTGTCCTTGTATATTCCTCTTTTAAATTGGATGTGAGCCTGCATTAATTTGACATGGCAAGAATGTTTTATGCAGTATCCTTTGATCGATTAGTATGAAATTTGTTATTGTCTCGAGTTATGTGTTTCTATGAAGACAGTTAAGGTATTGAGTTGGGCAATTGATGTCCAATCTGATTCCTGAATTTATTTATTAACAATTTTGTTGTAACAAAATAAATTTGATGTTGATGAATTTGATATTTCATGCCAGTGTGGCATTTTTCCCATTGCATTATCTATTTGTTTAGAAACCTAATTTTTGGTTCAGAATGCATAGGGACTTTCTGTTCACCAAGATTGTGGTTTAATCCCACTAGATTCACTATTTTGGTTGTTCCTAGAACTTAAAATGAATGCCTTATATAGTATGAAGTGTATTTTACTCAGGTACAAACACTGAGAAGACCAATAGTTTGAAGTTGTTGTGAAAAGGGACCAAAGATTAACTAACATTACAACTGAATTGCAGTGAGCAGTCTTTCAGTCCAAATAAAATGCTGTTGATGCCAAACTGAACTACCAGTTTTTCTAGTTGAATCTTGTCTTTATCTAGTGGATATTTTTATTGTTTGTCATGTTCTTTTTGCTTTACTTGATCTATCAATCCCTTTTGAACAGCTTTTCCTGTAGACATGGAAAGAAAAGTTCTCAGCAATCCCAATTTTTGTGTGACAGGTGTGCCGCTGGATGATTCAGCACTAGCAATGGAATCTCTCAAGATTTCAACAGCTGGAATCAATGCCAATAAAGAAATTTTGCCTGATAAAATGGTATAGAAATGAGAACTAATTTAATCCATCTCTATACATTTCCCTTTTTATTTTTATATAATTATTTCACCATGACTTTGTTTTTTGTACTGCAGATTTCTAGGAAACTGAAGTTTCATAGTTCAGATATTGAATGGTCAGGGGTTGCTTGGTTTTGTGCTAAACAGCTGAAGCACTACCCAGGCTTTTGCAGGAATGGGACAACCATATATGTAAGAGAATTATTTCATTTGTCATTATGTCTCAATTATTTCCCCACATTTTTTTTTTGGGGGGGGGGGTGTTAATTTTTATGATTCTCAAGATATTTCTTCTAATTTTTAGGTTCATTCATTTGTATATATTATGGCTGAAGAAGAAAACCACTACCTTGGTTACCTGGAAGATATGTATGAAGATAAGAAGAAACAAAAAAAGGTGAAGGTACGGTGGTTTCATCATGGTCAGGAAGTTAAGCACGTGATTCCTCAACTGAATCTGCAAGAGGGAGAGGTTTTCATCACACCTCATGTTCAGGTGATCAGTGCTGAGTGTGTCAATGGTCCTGCAACAGTTTTGACTCCAAAGCATTATGAGAAGTATCTGGCTGCTGTGCCCCATACCTCTTTATCTGAGATCCATACATGCTTCAGGCAGTTTAAAAACAATAAGCTTAAGCCCTTCACACTTACTAAGTTGCGTGGATATGGTAACCAATCTATACTTTCTTGTTTGAATAGTCCTATTCTCTCAAAGAGAAAGGCGAAGTGTCAAAAGTTGCACACAGAAGATGATGAGAACTGCACTCAAGATGGTCCTTTGAGGTCCAGCAATAAGAGAAACAGAAGCTCTAAGGGGTGTCAAGTACTTGAAAAGGATGCTTCTGTTCAGCAAATCTCTGTTCCTATAAATGAAATGGCAAAATGTGAACCAAAATACCCAAGTTTAAAATTGAAACTATCAAGAAAAACAATGGGTATTACGGTTATTGGACCAAAAGCTCAACTGTCTTTTAGAGTCGATGAAAAGGTTGAGGTTCTCTGTCAAGATAGTGGAATTAGGGGATGCTGGTTTAGCTGTAAAATCTTAAGTACATCTCAGAAGCATCTGAAGGTCCAGTATGATGATTTGCTGGATGTAGATGGACCAGAGAAACTAGAGGTATGCAATTGCTTAGAATTTTTTTTCTCTCACTGTATCTTTTTATCTATCTCTTTTTTCTAACCTAATAGAAATACTGATTGTGGTGATTTTTGGGCTGAAAAGTCCAATCATCTCACTAATTGTCTATGGAACCCAATTGGCAAATCTAGGGAAAGAGTACGGTTCTCAGCCCTGTTGTTATTAACGTGTGTAGGAATGGGTCCCTGCATCTAGAGTGGCAGCTCCTGACAAACTGGGTATGCGATGTTCAGGCCGCTTGACAGTACGACCATGCCCTCCTAAATATACTACAGATCACACTCTTGAGATTGGCACACCAGTGGATGCCTGGTGGAGTGATGGATGGTGGGAAGGTGTCGTAACTGCAGTCAGTGTTTGTCGAGTTGAAATCCTGCAGGTTTATTCCCCTGGTAGGATATAATATTCATGCAATTGTTTACTTGTTGTGCTATATTTCACTGGCTCATGGATAAACAGTCCATGATTTTGTGAATCATGTCTGTTTGGCTTAGGCATCTCATGGTTGGTAACATGATTTTCAATTTAGGTGAAGATAAGTTCCTAATGGTTGAGAAGAAGAACATTCGGATTTCCCGAGATTGGATTGATAACAGGTGGGTTGATATACCAAGAAAGCCTAACATTTGCAGCTATTTATCTTCGAAGGTCAGCTCCAGCATCAGGCTGTCTGCTAATTCTGCAGTGGTAGATGGATCTGTGTCTGATTGCTCTGCAATATTAGAAAGTAAATCATCATCAATTGCCAAAGTGGAAGTTGCTCCAAAGATTGAGCTAGAATTATCTGGTTTGGAAGCACCTGAAGACCCGATGAAGAGAACATATTTGGGGAAGCCACTCCATGCCATTCATGAAGACAAGGATAACAACTCTGATGGTGGCCTTGATGGTGAAGCTGACAATATTAATGAAGATAGAAAGCCACTTAGTGTCGTTGAGGAATACAAAGATAATAACTCTGGCAGTGGCAGTGAGGGTGACACTACTAACAATGATGATGACGCTGACAATGTGGAAGAGGACCTTGAGGAAAATTTTGATTGTTCTGAACCAAAACTTGATGCAGCAGAAGCAATACAGGTTACATGAATATATGGTAGAGCTAAATGGGGAATTTTTTTCTCTCCTGATTATACCTGAAGGTGGAATCACCTTGTATATAAAACAAGATGAAGCCCTGGGGTGGTAGTATAAGCAGAGGATAATGATTTACAAGTTTCTGACTCATGGATAATCGTAGTGTATAGCTCCTATAGCTTGTGTTTTGGGTTGAGAGCCTTTAATTAGATAAACTTTCTATATATAATATACCAGGATCCATGTTTAGGTCATGTGGTTGGTGGATGCACAATTGCACATATCAGTTGGAACTGCTTATCGTAGAGTTAGTGATTAGACATGAGTAAAGTTTGTAATTTATGATTTTAAGTAGTTTTGACTTTTGACCATGAATCTTACAAGATCACAGAATTACAATCTGCCATGTCTAGATTCTTCTATTTCAAATTACTAGGGATTGAATTTTGAATCAAACACTTGCAAGTCCAAGTGATAAAAACCTTAGTTTTCCTTAAGGATTAGGTTTGAGATTTGTGGATGGAAAAGTTTTGGTGTGTGAAGAGTTTTAATTGATTAATTGGGTGTGCCTAGTTTAACTCAAAAGATAAAATTTAGGTGCAGTTTTTGAAGTATTTTATTTGTATTGTTTTGTAATTAAAATTAGAATTTTACATTAGTAAAAGCTTCACATTTAAGGCCGTCATAGATTATTAAAGTAAAAAATTTAATTTTGATAAAAATAAAAAATAAAACTACTAACATTACTTAAAAAATTCTACCTAAATTTTATCTTAACTGGTAAAGATTTAAAGTGCCTTTTGAATATTGAAGATTCAGAACAAAAAAATTACCTGGAATGAAATTGTAAGAATGATTGACTACATGATTCCTCTATTGTTGTTTATGATTAAGTTGACTTGGCAATAAGTCCAGGTGTTCTTCACGAAGATTTTCCTAAAAAAAAAAAAAAAAAAACAAGTGCATTAAGGTTACCATATTCTTTTAGAGCTTTGATCAAGGTATTCTTACGAACTTTTGTTATGAAATTAAGCTCCTAAAAGAAGTCACAACTAGGAGCCCTTTTTGAACAGTTACCTCTTTCCGGATTTAACCGGTGATAGTCTCTGAGCGTGCGGTTCATACTTGTTGGTTGCTATAGCATTTTATATACAATTAAAGGGCATTGGGTGGTTTTCATAATCGTGAATCCTTAACATTTCTTTTTATTGCTTTATTGATTTTTATTTTAGTTTTATTCATGCCTTGTCTTACTTAAGCATTCATTTAAGCAAGTTTTTTACTCTATTTATGCAAAGGAGAGAAAAAGAAAGAATTAACAAAAAAAATCAATTTAAAATTAAAAACGTGTAGAAGAGTACGAGGATTTATAGAAACTCATTTAAAAATTCAAAAATTTTATACGCCACTCTTAATAATACACGTGACAAAATCTAAACACCTTTAGTCACAGAAGCAATAAATTAAAGAATGTAGATAAAATCCTCTGGCACAAATATTTCGAATTCATGATTATAGTTTCTGCCGACAATTCATTTCCTGGTTAAAAAAATGTTGCACTTCAAGCTTGGCTTTCAAAGTTATTTAATCAAATATATGTGTGATCCATATGTTGTTCTAATATAATGTAACTTGGTAAGGGATGGCAAAAAAAGCCGCAGAAATGGCCTTTAGAACAAGAAAAGGAAGGTGTTTCTCAATAGACGTTCCAGTATGGTAGGGCATTTCTTGTGTCAAACATGAATAAGTTGCTGATTATACTTTGAAAAGTAACCAATAAACGTGCAAATCATCAAGGGTATTGTAACCTAAAACTAGCTGCTGTAGCAACTCCTACACAAATAGACAACTTTGAATAAACAAAATTTCAAGAATCTACCCAAGAAAAAGTTATCATTTTTTTGCATCAACACCCTGACTACATTATACATTAATATTAGCTTGCCACGACTATCGACTCCGTACATATGCCACATTCATGGATTTGGTCAGTTGGGTGGGTAGGTGAGGGGCATGATAGATGTCAAATAGAATCATGATTAACTTGGTGTGTATAGTCCATCCTTTATCTAACTCAGTCCATTACTAAAACTTGATACAGCACTTCAAAATTTTCTAGTAATGTTGATATACAAGATCAATTTATTTCGACTGTGGGTAGCTCGCAGAGAATAATAGATTATGAAGCGACACATCTGAAGTAAGAGAGGTCTCAGGGTAAAGCAATTCCCTTTTTGATGAGCATATCATACACCCTGTCAATTTTCATGGTATCTATCTTGAACAATTGATGAGCATCCGATTTAGCAGAGACATTTCCAGCAAGTATTTGTAGAGACAGTTGCTCTTGCATTTTTAGATACGTGGCTGGAGGCAACCTTAGCTCACAGCATAAACGTTTCTCCTGCCAATACAAAGAAAACGATTTCAGAAAATCAGTGAAGAAACAAAGGACTAATTTAGAAAGCAAACTTGTCATAGACAGTGTATAATATCTAAACACAGATGATATCAAACAGTACTATAGTAAAAAGAAAAAAGAATAGAAAAACATTACAAAGTTTCTGTATTCTCCCTCTCATCACAACATAAAAATAACAGCATTTTAACTATCAGAATCACTTCACCATCAAAAGGAATCCAATTTAAAAAGATTGGGAGGAAGAGAAGGGTTGGGCGGGGCAAAGAGAGTGACTACATGCTTACTGGTTCAGAAAGTAAATCGGCCCCATAATATCCTGTCACATCCATTTCATTGACAGAGCTCGAAGTAGCAGGCCCTGCAGGTCTTGCACTCAAATCCTTGCCAGCAGAGTCTGGAGACATTAATGCATTTGGAACCCCCTGATTGCTTGGACCAACCTGAGCACTTTCTTTTTTCCTGCGAGCACTTTCTTCAGCTTCCCTTCTTCTCTTTTGTACCATATATCTATCAGCTTCCATGACATTGCGGCAACCAGCTGCGCGTGCTTCCTGCAGTACCATGTAATACAAATGTGACAGCTAATGTCAATTGTTTGATTAGTGTGTGCAGTATTCACATCATACAGTCTATAATAGCAGTATCAGAATGAAGCATCCATTATATACAATATCGAAGATTTGATGTATTGAGACAACCAATTCTTGCAACATTATATAGTACTAGGATAGATTAACTGGAATTCTTCAATTCAGATTCTTGTAAACACTTCAAAAATGGTAAAACCAGACTGACTAGTATGAAAATTTTCCTAATCCCCATAAGCAGTAAAATGTCCATAGCAGATTCTGCCAACAATAAAAGTGAATGTCCACAATAATTTAATGCCATCAATGTCTCAAACCTTTAGCTCTCGAAGTCTTTTACGAGTTCTATGTTCAGAGATAACTGTTCTAAGCAATTCCTCATGCTCTTCCTTGGTATGAAAGCGCATGAAAAAGTCATATTTCTGACATATTGTCTTCTCCTCAGTTGTTAAATCCTTCTCAAATGAATTTGGGTATAACAAATTTCTTTCAAGTATGAAATCCTTCCTACGCTTTCTTTCATCGAGCCTGCAACATATTTCAATTTAAAGATGGAAGTGTGAGCAATAATACTCTGCCACAACCCTGATAACATCATTACTGTTAATGGTTGATTGTAAATTATTCCAAAAGATAAAAGTAAGAAAATAAAAATGTTTCTTACCTTTTTGAATAGAAACGCAATACACGTAGTTTCAGCTCTCGCTCTTCCTCAGTGTCAGTATCCTTAAATTCCATTTCAGCAAGTAGTTGTTCAGCGTCATTATCATATTCAGGATCAAATTCCTGTCTTTTTGAATTATAACCACTTGATTCTACTAATGAAGGACCTTCATTTCCTGAGGAAGTTGGCTTTTTTCCTCCAAAATCTCTGTCTACTTGAGAATCTGCCAGTGACAGAGAAACTAGGAAGTTCAATACATAGACTGTCAATAATATCATCAAAGAATATGCATGTTGATAGACATGCTAATCTCAGTGAGAAAAAGATAAATAAGTGTCAAGAATTTTCATGCAAGAAGCCACTCCCGCTTTACCCTACCTCAGTATACACAATCTGAGTCTTAATTGTACTAGTGACGGAAGAATTGCAACATTTCCTCAAATTTAACTTACTGCCATGGTTGAAAAATTGTGCAAAACAGACACAGATATCTTCCTTCATATTTTTTATAGGAATAAAAGTAAAAGGTATCATTCCAGTGAAGTTGTTGAATTTTTAAAATTTTCTATGGAAGTGAAAGTCCAAAGGATAGGATTTATAAAATTGGGATCCAGGACCAAATATATAGATGCACACCTTCCATTTTAATGACTCCTGGACCACCTTTTCCCCCGGTCGCATTAGATGCCTTTTGGTTTGCACCAGCTCCAGCATGTGTGTTACCAGAAGGACCAGAATCTGACTCTGCAATGTATTAAAAAGATAGAGATGCATTGAAGATGAACATGAGAAACTTTACTTATGGATGGTAGCTATGAACTTATGTTGCTTTACCTGAATTCAAACAGGAAGGCAAACGGTTAGCAGAACCAGCTTTATGGGAATCTTCAACTCTGAATCAATAAATAAAAGTCAAAGAATGTGGTATATAAGATGGCAAGAGATAATGCATATAAAAACATACAGACTTACTTGACTCTAGATGGAGAAAAGGGAGAATCTTCCTTTAAACTAAGATCCCCCATGGAAATTCCTGTGTCAATCACAAGTGACCAATGATTATAAAAATGTCACCAAGACACAAAACCAACCAATCATGCAAAACAATCAGAAGCCACATATGAATGTAAATTCGTTCTCCCTTCATCTAAAATATTTTAAGCTAACATCAGCAACAGGAAGTATATTAAAACAATCTGTAGCAGCAATGCCTCCTGGCACTATTATTTATTACTTGGAGATACAGTAACTTAAGTTAATGGCTACAAGTTCACGTCATCCAAAAGAAGTTATAAATGAGGCATTTCTGTGTATACCAACATACTAAAAAATAATAAAAATTAATGAATGCAATGTTACGCAATATGACAAACCTTTCTTGTCCTCGCCCTGCCCTTTGGCCATGGCAAGGAGTTCTTTTCTGTTTTTCCCAACAACATGAGTCATGTCCTACAAAATAAGAAAGGTCAGGATTTAAAACACCATTATGACAATGAATATAATAAGAAGCATTGACTGCAGCTTTCTTACCGGAAGAGGAAAGAATGGGGAGTTCAAGTATACATTCCTATAGTGCTCTATGCATGATTCTTTGTTTTTTGTTCCAACATGCTCAGCAACTTCTGTCCAGTTTCCCAAGCCATACATTTCAATTCCCTAAAACCAAAAAAAAAAAAAAAAAAAATATTGCAAGAAAAATCAGATATAAATACCAAATACTAAGCTTTAAAGTTTTGAACCACCAGTCTCCACTAATCCTCGGAAATAAATTTGAAGAATTTACCTCTAGAAGCAATATTTCATCATCTGCATTCCAGTCTGGGCAAATAAGGGGGAAAGACAAATTATCCTGTCAAAGTGGAATCATATTAAAGGAATAAAGCAATTATAACAACAATGTTGATAACAACTAGCAGTAACACAATATTCTTAACAGCAGTTTGGGATAGATTCCACATATGATAACAAAACAGTTTCAGAATAAACTTCTTCTACCTTAACTAATTAATCCTGTCATTGACCTGAGACAGATCAACTAGCAGTCTAGCAAGAAAAATAACAGATAATTTTCCCTAACAAAAATTTTAAAATAATTAAACATTAAATACAAACATTTAACATTAATGGTTACTTACCATAACCCTATAAGGGTGATTACTTTTATGAGGTGTCACCTCAGCACCAACAGAGAAGCACTCTATACATAAATCAAAATCTGGGCACATTGCACACTTAATACGGATTTTTCCTGTTATATCTTTATTACAATAATTGCAGTGATACAAAGCCCTTTTGCCTTCACTTGTTCCTTGGCCTGCTTAAATGAAAATCAAGTGAGATTATTTTCAAACATTGATACCCACGAAACAACAATAATTAAAAAGACAATTAAAGCTTTAAGTAACTATCACTGCTATAGTTTCATTTCTTTTTTCAAAATAATAGCTTTAGTTTCTCTAACCTAGCATACATTCCAAAAGCTTGATAGTAAAACTTCAATAAATCAATAAATTTTTTTCTCATTTCCTTCATTAAAAATGGAAAAAGAAATTCCAGGCAACACTTACATTATATCTTCAGCAAGAGATTGTTCTGTGTATGCATTGAAGATACGTTATATTTGTATTTGATGGATGTTGACAACATAATCAGAAGGTTACTTCTATATACAGTTGACTTAGAATTACAGACTTACGTGTACGAACACATCCTAATAATAATATATTCATTGTTGATTTGTTCTATGGAATTGTAGATGGTTAAGATTGTCTCAATTTAGTAAAGTAAAATTAGTGCAGACAACAAAATGTAATAATACACTATAATTTCATAGTGCATTATAAAATTGTACTCATTCAAATAATGCATAATAATGAGAAGAGAAAAAATAAAATAAACTACCTGCTGCTCCAGATTCTGAATTCTCTCCACTGACAGAATTCTTTTTTCTCCTTGACCTACACAACCAATAAAATTTTAAGCAGAGAAAACACGAAAACAAAGAACACAATCATTTAATTGAGCATCATAGAGCAAACTCAGCATAGCATTTTCACTGCATTCGTGATCAGTCATACACATTCAGGAAAACAACTTATGCAAAATTCAATTGCAATTGGCATCGTTGCACTTGCAACGAGACTTACATTTGGACAAAAGAGTAAATTGTTCGATATTAACAATAGCGATAATGAAAGTATAGTAAGATAAAGATCAAAACCTTTGGTTGGGATCCTCATCGGCGTGGTGAAAATTTCCACGAGAACGACCCATTGATTCTCAGCACGAACTCCTCAATGAATTTGAGTTCGTTGGAACAAACAATCACGATGAAAAAAAGGGGGCAAGTAGAATTTATTCTTCAAAAAATAAAAACCCTAGATTTTTAAGGGTACGATTAATGGATATCGCAATTGGGTCACTTGGGTTTTGACAAATACCGAATCTTTCACGTTGCCCCGAAAAGGTTTGGGTTTGGGTTCTGTATTGCGGTGTGAAAAATATGAAAGAAATAATTGTCGAAGAAAAGTGCGACAAAGGAGGATGCTTTAGCATAGCATGTGTCAAACGCCTCAAACCAAGTTTAGTTTTGTTGCTGTAAGTGGAACTGGGTTACGAGGAATCTAACATGTGGAACTGGTTTTTTTTTTTTTTTTTAATCTCTAATTTAAATTGAATTTGATTTTGGTTTGCACGTTTTTTCACTGTCTATCTGAACTACTAATTTATCTTAAAAATTTTAAAAAATAAGATAATAATTTTTAAATGTTATTTACCAAACTTATTGTAAATATGTGATGATTCAATTTGGTTTTTCGAAATAATTTATAATTAAAATATTGAAGAAGATTGATGTTTCAACAAATTCGAATAGTTACTAATTATTGACAGGTTTAACGTTGATGGAGTACACGTTTGAGTTCATAATATGTCAATATTCATCGTTAAAAAAATTGACCGTAAGGAAATTAGCTTAAAAGTTGTATGATACATGATCGAATAACATGTTGTATAATTTTCCCTAACAAATTGCTTAAATTTGTCTTTTATGAGAAAATAATTCAAAATCAGTTACATTATTATTATTATTTATCTTGCTGGTAACTATTTTATATTATAGCCAATATATAGCTGATGTGTATTTCAATAGTTTATTTGGATAAAATTATTTTGTTGCTAGCAAAAAAATAAAAAACAACAATTTCTGTTATAAAAATATTTTCAGAAAATAAGTTGAAACAAATATGAATCAAACGATGAAATAAAATTTATATATTAACAAGTTTTTTTTTTTCAAAACAGTTACTGCAAAAAAAAAAGGTACAAATATTTTTTTTTAAAGTAAACAATAAATAGCAGAGAATGAATTAGTGATTTCATTGCGTTTTATCCTTTTCTACATGATTAAAATATTTATCCAAAAAAAATATCATCACTTAAAATAATCTATCAACTAAAGCTTTTTTAATAAATTAAAAAAAAATCAGCAATGTTTAGTTAAAATAAAAGTAATTTGTGATTCAAGCAAACTTTATCTATAATATCAAGAGTTCAATTTTTTCAGCTATAAGTCTAAAAAGTAGTTTTTTATAACTATCTGACAAACCCTAACTTGAAAATTGATTGCATAATTATAATTGTGAAAATAGTTGGTCAAATAATATATATATATATATATATATATAATATTTTTAAATGTAATTTGACGAAGTTATATTTTGTTAAAAACATTGTGACTCAATTAATGATATCGATCGTGAATATATTAAAATGTAAATAATACTTTTAACTTCATACTTACCAATATATTGAATTATTAAAAAATTACAACAATGGTAATTATTTTTTTATGGGCATTAATTTCGAAGTGAAGAAAAAAAAGCGTAATAAACATTAATCTTTATGAAATGTATGACTTCATAATTTAAATTAACAACGAATAAATTTTTTTAGAATATAAAATATATTTTAGGATCTTGAATAACTATTGGCCTTTAAAATTACCTCGCTGGACCCTGCACACCCCTCTTGATTCACTGCTTCCAAGAGAATAGAATGTAGAATCAATGGAAATGAAATACCCATGAAGACAACAACCATTAACCTTCGTGCCAGAAAAATTCTATCATTCTTTTGTTGATCCAAGAGAATTCCTCGTATTAAGGGTATTTAATAAATTAGTTATTAGGTTTATTAATTATAAAATGGCATATGTATAATGACATAAACTATTGTATTTCTATTGCTTCAAATTTGACTCTGTTTATAAATTACAATAATTTGTTTAAAGTACAAATTATTATTATTTTTTAGCAAATATCTATGAATTTTTATGAATGTCACAGACACTCATAAAATTAATTTAAATTTCGTTTAACAAGCACTTGTATAAATACAAGGCTAAATTTTATTCGCATGTGGAGATTATGGGCACTTAGTATTCGTGTCTGCTCTACCCTTTGCCTTTCTTGGTCGCTTCTATGGTATTATTATGCATAGAGATTGAAACAACACTTGCCTAACCTTTTTTCGACTTAAAAGTTTTAATTAGAGTTAATAAAATATACTATTTATCTTAATTCGGTTTAAGTTTTTGGCTTTACCAGGTTGGGTCGAAAAAAATAACTTGTTATTTCAGCTTTAAATAAGATTAAATGCGACCTAAATTCATATTCTATATTTTAATGGTAAAAATTGAATTTTTCACTATTGTGAAATTAGGGTGTACTTGTATGGGTCCTCATAGATGATGATATATAAATAGAAAGCAAATTTTGGAAGTTGAAATTTGAGAAAATGATAACAATGACACAGGTTGGTTGCGCGTGTAGTGTGTAAATAGGAGAAAAGAAAAAACGTGAAGAAGAAGAGTATCTTCGAAGGGTATCTTCACAGTTCATCACTTACTGATTGGTATCTTTGTTTTCTTTGGTAATTTCCAAACATAGCAAACGCAATCAATTGAACAGAGCCCGCGCCCAGCACGTGAAAATTTGAATTGGCACAGCGCCAAACGGCACTTTCCTAATCACCCGCCACGTGTCCCCAACAAGACATCCTGGGACTAAAAAAACCTCACTCTCCTTGTTTCTCGCTTCAAACCCTCTCTCTTTCGCACACAATCTGAAGCTCTTCAGTTTCAATGGCGTCTTCTGTGAAGCCTTCTTCAAGGTACAGTTCCTACGATTCACGCTCCTCAACTTCCTCTCACTTCTCCGACCCTTCTTCTTCCCATGAATTCGTTCACCCCAAACCCTCTTCTCGTGCTCTCGTCAAAGCTAAACCCTCTCACACCGCCAAGGTGGACCCCACATTCACCACCATGGTGAAAAAACTCATGGATAAGAAACCCAAATCAGCGAACACCGCCACTAGGTTGATCATTCCCTCCGATTTCGTTGCCCAAGATCTGAAAAAGGACGCTAAGAGGGTCACGGGTTTCTCTGCTCTGCAGAAGAAGCTCTTTGGAAAGGGTTCTTCCGAGAAGAAAGAGAAAGTTAAGGCCTTGACGGAGGTGAAGGGTAACACCAGAACACTTGCCATGGTGCTTAGGAGCGAGAGGGAGCTTCTCAGCATGAACAAGGAGCACGAGGCGGAGATTTCTCAGCTCAAGCTTTTGCTTGAGGACAAGAACAAAGAGGTAATAAAAAAGTAATGTTATTTTGGATCTGATTTATGTGAAGAATGAGAAATGGTTTGCATTTCAATAATGGGTATTTGAATTTTGAGTTTGTTAACTCCCCCTTGTCATCAAAATTGAAACTTGATCGAATTTTAAATCCTTGTCAGGTCAGGTTCTGGTTCCATTTGTAAATGTGGTGATTGGGTTTTGAATTTTGCAGGTGGAGAAGTTGAAGGATTTGTGTTTGAAACAAAGGGAAGAGATCAAGTCGTTGAAGAGTGCAATACTGTTCCCGGATGTTATGAATTCTCAGCTTCAAGAGCTTCTAGAGAAGCAAGGTTCGGAGTTGAAGCAGGCAAAACAGGTTATTCCAGCTCTGCAACAGCAGGTTTCTTCTCTCACTGGTCAGCTTCAAAGCCTTGCGGAGGATCTTGCTGAGGTATATAATGTGTTACTTGTTTGACAACAAATCATTATCATTTGTTAGGCAAAGACTGGTTATGGAAAGTCTTTACTGATTAAGATAAACATAATCCAGCAATATTTTATTATGTTTTTTAATTGAAAATTTCGCAAATTGAATCTTCCTTTTAGCTTAAATAGAGAAGAAAAGAGAAGATATTATCACCTATTAGGATCTATGGTAGTAGGATAGTTATTGTTTTCTTTATTTGTTTATATTTCGTTTGCTCGACAGGTGAAGGCTGATAAGTATTCAGCAAAAGCAGGTCTCCTAGGTTATGGAAATTCTCCAAGAACACCAACGCATGCCCGGGAAGATGCTTCTAACTCTTGGGTAAGTTTGGAATTAGAATATAATTGAAATTTGTCATTATATGATTGCTTATGGATCAAAGAAACTGTATTACCACTTCTAATAAATCTCTCTTGTCACTTCTATTTAAGTGAATTTTCTTTGAAATACCTTTTCCCCCACTCTAATAGCTATATTAATATAGAGGTATTTTAAACCAAAAGTCACTTAAATAGGAGTGGTAATAAACACATGATAGTGGCAATAAACACTTCCTTTGATCTGAAATGCAATTTGGTTAATTTGCTCAACAATTCATGTAGGAATTCAGCTCTGATGACCAATCTGACGACCTATTGCTCAAAGATCTAAATCCCTGCTTAACACCCTGCAATGCCAAATCAAGATCCAGAGTAGCTAAACTTCTCGAGCACTTTGTACTAAAACTTCCCTCATCTTTCTTAAATGTGTTTCTCATCATATTAGAAACTCCTTTTCCTGCAGGAATTTGAAGGTAGGGGCTCTGGCTCTATGCATGATGAAAGCTTATCTGAGGATGATGCTAAAGTCTATCCTGAGGTGGATTTGAGCTCTTATGATCGGAAGTTCTCCAAAAGTTCTGACTGTTGCCATAACTCCCGCCAAAGAAGCATTACAACCAAAGCAGGTCGAAGGTCTGATGAGAGCAAATCAGCCTACGGAGGTAGAATGAACCATAAATTTGCATAAATAACCCTAATCCCATCCTACCCCTTGAGATTTCTTATCTCTTTTCCTTGTTGCCATCTTTCAGTTTTGTCAATTATACCATGTCTGTTTCAGAAATTGAACATCGTCTCTTAGGGCATGTAAGATTAAATTACTCCTCTTTGTATATCATGCACATGAGCAATGAATAAGTTCTCGAAATCAACCCCTAAACCTTAGATTTTAGTTTTGCACAGAATAATCGCCACCTCATATTTCACCTTTGGTCTTGCATTAATAAAAATCGAACATACTTCTACTTCCTTTAAATATCGAGCATTGGGTTCAATTAACAATTTTCTATGATACTAATAATAATGGCAACTGAAAAGTGTAAATTTCAATTGAACTACTAATTTTAAACAACAAAAAATATTTTTTTTAATAAAAAATTATTTATTACATTAAAATATCAAATATAATAAATTTATTTTTAATCAAGTTTTGTTATCTATAGAAATATGTACAGTTTGGTTGGAGGAAATAACGGGAATAAAATTTTATAATTTTTTCTTATTTGATTCAATATTTTATAATGGAGGAGGGGAGAAAAGGGAGCCTAAATTCTTCCTTGTTCAAACTTCAGTTTTGCTTCAAGAGCAGGAAAATATTTTACTCTAATTGGATACAATTATTCTTAATTTAATGTATGCATTTCGTTATTTTGAATAAATAATGATAAATTCTTTATTTTACATTTTGTTTCCTTTCCCTCTGCTTGTGAAGGAAAAAAATGAGTTCTAACTTGTGAGTCAGTTTAACTCTGAATTGGGTTCTAAAAAATTAGGCTCATGACTATGGTGAGTTTTTTCGATTTGATTTACAGTGGATCAACCTACCATAAGTTAGGGCAGATACTTCATAATAATAATAATAATAAATAAAACCATTGCCCCTAAAAGCCTTTACTCAAGTGTGTTGGGAAAAATTTGTTTTTAAAAAATAAATAATTGGTTGTGAACATTATAAAAAGGCACTGATAAATGATAGTAAAAGAAATTGATTTTTCAAATTTGTTAATTTTCAGATTCATGCATAGCCTTACGATTAATCATAGGTCAATTTTAATGAGTCTTGTCTCCACATCATCACGTATGGCTTTGACTATTTGGAATCGTTATCCTAAACGCATTTATTTTTAAAATGCACAAATAAAAGAAGCGCTCTGACTTGTTGAGAATTGAGCGTAGAATATACAGAACGAAATGAAATATTCATTTATTAGCAAAGCTAAGTTCTCCTTTGACACTGTCAACATACTGCAAATCTAAAGTAAATTACGACATTTACTAGATACCTATTTTTTATATATATTTATATATGAACATTCCTCCTGCTTTAGGCCATCCCACGACTTGTCGCAGTTCTTATGATCTGAAACAGAGCTGTCAAACAAAAATAATCACTCTCACATCTTTGCTAATCACATTTACAATATATATATATATATATATATATATATATATATATATATATATATATATATATAACTGGTGTGGAAAACTGAATACAAAGATGCTAAGGAAGCAAAAGAACGTACATGATCCAACCACAACGAAGATGAAGAAGCCAAGCAAAATTGGGCCAACAGGGTAGGCATATCCCTTCTTAGAGTTCTCAGATCCCCTCTTTGTAATGTTCCTCTGAAACCTTGCGATTTTCCTGTCTGCTAGGCGTTTTGAAGTAGTCTATGAAACCCAACATTACATGCCACAAATAATTTCATATGAGAATAAAATAGCAACATCAACAAGCCTAACAGACAACTCATTCTATCATGTTTTTAGGAAAAGTTTTCATTAAAAATAGGATGAGTTAAAAATGAAGGGGTGTATTAATAATATTTTTTAATTCTTTACCCAATACATTTATAAAATATTGAAGGGATGTATTAATGTTATTTTTATAATAAAAATTTTAATACCTCAAGGAGGATGTAGCATTTGGCAATACAAATAAGTAAAAAAAGTAAAAGTAAAAATTAAAAAGTGCTCGCTTCTGATAATCACTTTCATGGGCCATCACTGACTTGAACAGCCCCACTTCCCTCATAAAATCAGAAGGCTCCAAAACATAAAGATGAAATTTCTGTAACAGCAGAAAGATCACATTTAAAAAAAAAAAGTTACAAAAAAGGATGTAATTGGGAACAGGAAAAAGGTCGGGGAAGAGAAAGAAAAATTGCGGACGTGGTTGCAGCTTTATCAGTGACCTTTTTTTCACAATTTTTTTTTATATTTACAACACAACCTCAATTTAGAATTACAATTTTGCCCATTCGTTTTAAATTACAGAATGTATTTTTATATATAAATATAAAATTTAGATAAACTAAAACAGGCATCTTAAAAGCAAAACAACGCTATTTGCTACAGTAAACTTTTATGATCGCAAGCTAAGATAACCATGAACAAATAGAACTCAAGAAAACTGGGTTGCAAACGAGTCCTCGCTACATCGGCGAATCAAAACTCCAAAATCCAATTTTTTCCTATATAATATTTACCAAAGATTTTTGTACCCAGTCAAAAAAGCAAGATTATAAAGAGAAAAAATCAGAAACAAAAGAGGTTTCTAGAAATTAAAAAACTGGCTCCAAAAGAAAAATAAAATTGATGAGAAACAAAAAAAAGAAAAAAATGAAAAACCCACCAAAGTAAAAGAATAAGAGAGACGAAAGAGAAAAAGTTTACCATAGTTGTGAAAAAATCAGAAACGAAACAACCCTTCCTTGAGACGCACTTCTAAGAGGAACAGAGATTATTATTATTAATATTATTTAATTTGGGTGGAGAATAATAATGTGATGCAAGCTGAAAGCAGAGTCCACAGTTTATGTGACATTTAAAGGGAGAGGAGACTTGTATGTTGGGTTTTGGCATTATATGTGAGTGTGTCACCTCGTCACGTTGACTCGTGGAGTTTATGTATAAACTTTTAGGTACCCCTTTTCTCTTCTATTTTCGGACACTTAATTTTATTTTAGTTTGAAAAATATATGAAATCGGTGAGATAGCTCTTGCGTTACACAACTTATAATCTTATTCCAATCGATGCGTTGTGATCCGGAGTTGACTACAAACCATAAATGTACTCACCCCAAAATAACGTGCTTTTTGGTAATTCTATTTCTAAAGCATTATTTAAAGAATTATGGTAAATATATATTAGTAGTTTTATTTCTTAATTAGTATCATTCAAATATTGGTTAATATTTTCTACAATTTGTTATTTTTAATTTAAAAAATTATTCTTCACAACACACCGTAAAAACATATTTTTTTTATATTTTTATAACAATAATTTTGTAAATCTTAATTTTTAAGATTAATTTTAAGCAGGCGAATACAATAATTGTTTATTTTATAAAATATTTATTACTTAAATATATAAAATCATAATAAATATTTTTAAAAAATCATTATTATTAATTGCTTAAATTAAGTTTAAAGAGCCAAATTAATATTTATTACTAGTGTAACATTAAATGTTATAAAGTTTAAAATAAAAATATTACTATTTATTAATTTTGAATGAAGACATGTTAAAAATTAATTAAAAAATATAAATTCATAATATTTAATTAATATTTCATAATTTTATTTAATTATATTATTTATATTAACAAAATATTTATTCATTTTTTAAGTAAATAAATTATTTTATTTAAAATATTAAAATTTAATGTTATTAATAGTTAAATTTTAAGATATCTTATCGTTACTAATTAAAAATTTATTATACATATATTTTTATTACGCAGCTTTGAACGCGCGTTAAAAAAAACTGTTAATGTATAAGTTATCTATTCAACCATTAAAGATTATGAGTATTATTAAATAAAATATAAAATTTTAATATACAATTATTTTCATTATTTTTTATCAACCAAAAATCATTTATTGTAAAAATGAATAAAAACATATAAATAATGAAAAAAATACCGGTAAAAACAAAATAATTAATAATATATACAATTGACAATATTGTAGTATTAAATGAACATTTAATACTATAGTGTAATATATATAGTTGAATGAATTGTGTAACGTTTAATACTTATAAAATGTACAATAAATGAAAATAAACTACTACAAAGTTTAATAACTGAAAATATATATTAAATTTTTATAATTTATTAATACTTTTTATTATTCATAAATAATTTATTTTATAAAATATATTTTAATATTAAAAAATGAAACACGTAGTAATATAAGACATGTGAATTGACGAGGACGATAATAATAATAAAAATAAAAATAAAAATAATAACTATTATTGTTATTATTATTTTATTAACATTAAAATATTATAGTATTATTGATAAAAAATTATTTCATTAATATCACGTTAACTACTATTTTATTAAATATAGTATGTTGTCAACTTAAATTTTAATATTAAATACTATATTTATTTAATGTTATATTTTATTAAGCTTGTATTAAGTTTAATATATATGCATTAAAGGTATAACCTTTAATATTTATTGTTTTCAATGTCATGTTAAATATGCTTTTAATATTTTTTTTTGAATAAATATTTATAATAAAAAATAATAAAATTTTAATATCTATTAGTTATTGTAAGATATTTTTAAAATGGTCATAATAGGTCATAAAATAAAAGAAAGAAAAAGGAATATAAAAGAGGCAGAGCACATTTAAAAAAAAAAATCAAACTCATACAATCACAATTTATACATTGTGGTCGAATCAGTTGGACTATTTTATTTTATTTTTCAATTAACTGACCTGAAGCAAGAAATTTGAACTATTTATAATGTTTCAGTGCATTCTTAAACATATTGGAAAGATGGCAAGAAATAATCTAATTTTTATTTCCTATTATAAGAAGATTCAGACATTAAGCTACTGGCTTAAGATATTAATAAATTTAAATCAACTCCTATATTAAAACTTAAAAGTACTCTATTTTAGAAATAAAATATTTTATAAATTATTTTTTTGACAATTTATTATATATACTTTTTAAAATTAAAATTGTTTAAGAATAATATATATATATATATATATATATTTAATTTTTAAATTATATATATCTATATATATATATTTGCTTTAGAATAAACTACTTAGTGCATTCTTAAACATGTTGGAAAGATGACTAAAAACAATTTAATTTTTATTTCCTATTATAAGAAGATCCAGACATTAACTACTGATTTTATATACTAATAAATTTAAAATAATCCTTGTATTATAAATAAAAATATTTTAAAAAGAAGTAAAGTATTTTGTGAGTTATTCTCTTTCACATTTTCTCATATATACTTTTTAAAATTAAAATTGTTTGTGAATTATATATGAATTACATTTCTTGTCACTGTAGTAATTTTATCTCTTGTTAACTTTTATTTTTAAATTTTTGGTTCTAAAATGGGATAAAAGTTGTTACTTTATTTTTTCTTGTTAACTGTATAATCTTTTAGATGTTCATGAATTTTTATTTTATATTTATAAAATTTCTCTTATCATTTATATAAATTTTTAATTTGTAGTGAATACCTCTGTTTATATTTAAATTTTTTTATCACTTTGTATAAACTTTCAATTATTCTGAAAATTTCTTTATGTATAAAATTTATAATACTTAGTATACTTTTTATTATTTTTAAATAAATTATATTTAAATTTATTACATTTTTATCATTTTAATATATATTATTTATGATTATAGAGTTTAAATTAAACTAATTTTTTTAAAAATTTAATATTTTAAATAATTTTATTGTGTACATAATTATTTACAAAAATATATAATATTTATTTAATTATTAAATTGTATATATTTACATTAAAATTAAATACTTATACATTACACATTGATTAGTTAACCTATAAAAGTTGGTCTAAGTAGTAAAGTTCAGTATCGCTTAAGTAAGGTGTTAGATTCAAGTTTTTGTGTACGTAAAATTTTTTTAATGATAATTATTTTAAAATCTAATATAGTTATAATTTTTTTAAAAGATATATAAAGTGAATAAAGACAATAAATTAATTGTAATTAGCTTGAAATACATATAGATAATTATAGTATGAAAAATAATTTTAACTTTTGTTCAAAAGATAAATTTAAATAAAAAAAATTAAACCACACAACAAAAATTTAAATATTCAAAGATTATACTGAACATATTAAATATAGATGCTGACATTGTTAATAGATCTATTTGTATGCTCATCACATATGTTTCCCTTATATTCTATTATATATTTCTAAAATATATAAGTATTATCGATCCTTAATTTCACCATACAATATTTTACACCCATTAAAAGAAAAAAAAAAGTAATGTAGGACAATTTTTTTAGAATTTGATTACTATACATTAATAATATAAATTAATATATTATCATACATTATTAACTTTATAAAAATCTATTTGAATGTTATCTTTATCATACATTATAATTGATTGATAGTATATAAATTTTTATATGAATTTTACATTAAAATTAAATTATTAATAAATAAATATTATACATCGATATATCAGTAATACAATGCTTCATGTTAATAGAGAATTTTATTAGAATAAAAAATTAGTATAGATTACCAGCACACTATACCGATGATACAATATATTGTACTATTAATTTAAAATTAGAACATATATCATGTTACCATACCATGAGAAGCCCCAAGTTAAAAATCAATGATATTCAATGTCACGTAGTATTTTAATTTTTAGTTGTTCAAATATATCTCTGCTTTTATATTTACAATCATTCAAATGTAAAAAAAATTTGCCTCTCGTTTTCAACTTCAGCACAATGGAATTGTGTTAATGTATTGGCAAACATAGCCTTAGCCATTCGGGATATTGGGATTGAACATATAGCATTACCGAAGTAGCTAACTTCAACTATACTGCCATTAATTATTAACTGATCAGTACAATAGTTGGTATTCCATTCCCATAATACCATCATCATTTACTGCTACATGTATAGACGAAGAGCCTTGTAAATTACTGAACAATTATGTTGAGGGGGTGAGTGGTGGGTTATTTAACTAGAACCTGTGGTAGTTTTCTAACCTACCAATTTGCATTTTTAGTTTTGTTACTGCCATACAAACGGAAAAGACTGAAAGCAGAAATACAAGACAGGACCACTGTACTAAGGCTAACCACAAAAGCACTAGCTAACCCTTCTCCCACTTGGTTGCAGAATTTCCCATACATGTTGCATACTTTCATCCATTGAAGTTCTGGCTGGCCCATCTTTGCAAACACAGCAGATTGCACTGCAGCCGCCACCGAAGCCACTGTTATGTATGCCATTACCTGCATACATAGGAAAGTTATGTTTTTCAGTATCATGATCTATTTCTATAGCATTGATCTATTAAAAAACATAAATGAATATAAAAATATTTCTTTAAGTAAAGATGTATTCAATTTATAGGATAAGACCATATCTACCGTACTCATTGTCTTGTAATTGTAATTGCTTTGGTCATTACTCATTCCCAACCACTACTAAAAATCCCAACAACCAGCACACATTTGTGATACCTCCCAATCATGGAATTAAGTATGTCTTATGGTGAACGATTCTCTACTCCTAACATCAATTAGATACGGTTCCCTATAAGGTCCCACAGTACTGGTTACCCTTGCTTGACAAGACAAACTTGAGATCATTATGATTTGTTGTCTAAATTTGAGCCTTAGATTAAACCATATCCAAACCGACCCTCTGACACAGGATATGTATGCAAAGACCATATATTCCAAACAAATCGAATTTATGAATTGAAACTCGATCAGATGAGTCAACCAAATACACTCTCCCTTATGATTTTTTTCTCTAATTAGAATTTGATATGGCTTCATATTCCATTCCATTAATCAATTAAAGTCTTCAACAGAACTAATTGGATGCAATTAACAAATTGTTGATGTGAACTCCACTCCTTAGAAACTGAAAGCAGCCTCCTGAGCTAGACTTCAACTTTGGGCAATTGACATATGGAAAGCTATAAGGAATTCAATAAAAAGCAGTGAAATGAGCGCGCTGCGAGAATTCAGATGGTGATGCAAGCATCTTGATACTTGAGTTTTGGTCACTCTACAAAAGTAAAACATGTAAATAGTCTTTTTATGTAAATAAAATGAACCTGATCACCGGAAAAAACAGCCCAAGCTAAGGGCTTGCTGAAGAGTACTCTTCCCCTGATCATACTCACAATACAATGCAGCCCTTGGATTAACGAGTAGCCAGCAGCTAACCCATTTGCAACTACCAGGAACCTGCAAAATTAATGGCCATCAAAATAAGAACACTACAACTTGCAATGCTTTGGCAATCAAAAGAGAAGATTAGAGAACAGAGAGCTAACACTAAAGCCTTCATGTCAGTAAATTTAGCTTTCTTCTGAATTGAGAAAATCTCTTTGACTTGGGAATCAGTCCCCACAAGAACAGCTGCAAGAACTCCTAAACCAAGGATCACAGACCTTAACACCAGTTCTGTTATCCTAATCCTTCTATCAAACACTTTTAAGTTTGTGCTGTGGTAAACTGGGACAGTCCCGGGACTAACACCAACGCCCAAGTAACTCATTTCCCCTCCAAAATCAACACTCAAAACAACAAACACGAGCAATATAAAGGAATGCCTCAAATCCACCTAGAAAGAAGACTAGTGAGAACTATGGATGAACACCAACCGTAAGCTCTCCAATACTTATATAGACAATTTTCATTTTCTTTTCCAAATTAGTTATGATAAAGCTTAGCTACAATGCAGCACAGCTTGCCAAGTGGTCAAAATTTGAGGCTGCTAGGACAGAGAAAAATGTGTAGACAAAAAAGGGCACTTCAATCTATACATACATGGTCATTAAATAGGTGTGCTCTGACCTCTGGTTCTGCATTTAAGGACTTGTAAATGAAAAGAAAAAAATGTGGTTTTTAGCGCTCCTTTATTGTTTCTAGGAAGAAGTAGCATTTTCTCGTCCCTAGAAAGGATCTGATAACATAAAGGGTGTCTTAATTCTGATCATATAAGGAGAGTGTGATTCAATTTATGATGCCCCATTTCTTTTGCCTAGGCCATACCAATTACCGATCAGATAGTGAAAGAAAACAGGGTAATGGTATGGTGCCTAGTTTTTTTACCATTTCTTGTTCAGTAAAAATAGAAATTTGCATGAAAAGGTAGAATAACGGTATGTTACTCTTGTCTGGCCTAGTGGAGAAATTTGGTTGTTGAAAGCTTACGCAAGAGAAAAAAAAGGCTGAAATGGGCCATTAAGGGTATTAATTATTTGGTAGGCCAAGAGTGTTTATGGCTATTCACAAAATATCTGTAAGTCATTATTCATTAGTCTCATAAATAAAGAACACAAGAATGGATTGCAAAGCAAACCATGCCAAGTATAGATGAAAATAATGCCGTCCCACTACATATCAACAACTTCGTTCCACTAAACGAAGATCCTGATCCTCACCACTAGCTAAATTTACCTTCAAAAATTGTAAGATTGCCTTCATGTCATTCCAAGAAGATGCACGTCGCTTTTTCCTTTGCTTTTTCAGTGATGAAGATATTTGACTATGTTTTTTTCTATCACATTGTTTATGTTACAGTCAGAGCCCACAAGATCATAGTCCCTTTGAACCCATTTGACAAAATCTTAGGTTTGTAGTTTAAATTTTAAGATCAAATTAAATTTAAAACCTTTTAATCTGATCTAAATAAACTTTAACGTAGGTATAGCTAGCAAAAATTTGTAAAAAAACTTTAAAAAATTGAGCTTTTGTTAAGTTTAAATATTATTTTAAGAGTCTAATTTGAATTTGAATTTGAATTTTTTAGCCCATCTTATTAAAGTTGATGACTATCATGGGTTGAATAGTTTTTTTTTTTAACCTTAATCACTTATATTTTGGTTTAAGTCACAAATATCTTTTACCAAAAGTAATTTTATTTAAATTAAGTATAACTATTATGAATGATAAAACTCCTTTTTTAATATTTAAAATAATTATATTTATTAAAATTTAAACTTGAAATCACACATTATTTGCTATTGAGTAAGGTTATTTTCATAATATTTTTAATATATTATTTATTTTATCTCACATTTATTTTTTTAGTTATAAAAAGTACGGTAAAATTATAATTAGTTTATACTATTTCCCACCATGCATGTCCATTCGAAGTAAAATTTACTCTGACCTTTGCTTATGGTGGACCAAGTGCACTGGGCCTATGCTTACGGTCTGTCTCTCGCTCCCGTGTTTAATGTTGTGCATAAAAAAAAAAACTATGTTGTGCGTTAATTTAATTTAATTTATTTTTTATACAAAAGCTGTCAGTTTTAATTTGTATTTGCATGAAGTAAAAAAAAAAAAAAACTTAATATACCCTTTAAATAATTGAACGTATTTGTTTCTATTTTTTTAAAATACACATGATATTTAAATAAAGGAAATTTTAGAAGCAAAGTACTCTAGTGCAATAATTTAATATTGACTGGATGTTTTGAATTAGTAAATAAGGACAATAAATTAATTATAATTAATTTGAAATATGTATAGGTAATTATAATATACAAAATAATTTTAAATTTTGTTTAAAAGGTAAATTTAAATAAAAATAAATTTAAATCACACAATAAAAATTTTAAAAGTTAAGAAATATAAATAAATATCAAATAAAAAAATTAGACAGCATCATTAAAATTGAGAAAAAAAATAATGAAAAAGTACATTAAAAGGCCATATGTATATTGTATAAAAAAAGTAAAAGAACTATTCTTATTTGATATGTAGTCAAGGACACACACAATTCAATTGACACTGATTATTAAAGCTCGTAAAGTAATATTATTAATAATGTTTTATGAAAAGTAAATTTTATTGATTGAACTTTTGAGCAGTAAGATATTATCTTAAATGATTAAACTATATCTTTCGTTTTCATTTCTTATTATAACAAGCGAGAGAATAGAACAAGAAATTGTAAGTAATCATATTAATTCTACATAAATGATTAAAATTAAGATTAAATAAAATTAGTATAAAAAATATTTATGCATTGTTATAAAATAAAGATTTATTGTTTACATAACAATAAGTAAAAGCAATTCTGAATTCAAATATGTGTGTATAAAAGTAAAAGCAATGATGATTGTTGAAAACCTACTTGATGGAGATGTTGGGGAGGTGGGGTTAAGAGTGAGCAATTAACATTGAAGCATGAATGTCACAGTTCATGGCTTTTGGGTGTATCCTTCACAATTGATGAAAATGGAGTCCCAATTGCAGTAGTGGAACCCATTAAAATGGAAATTATGTTTCAGAAGGAATGAATCTTTCTTCAATTGTCACACTCTAACATTAACTATAGAGAAATGACTTGGAAGCAGTATATTACTAAACTAGCCCCACCTTATCTACCAAAGTCTAGGCTAAAAGATGAACCTGTATATGGATAAAGTTAGGTCTACACACATATCAAATTCCCATTATATTTTCTCACAATCAAGAACTTGTATGGTAATTTTTTTACATGTACAAATATTGCTTGCAAGCATTTTTAGTTGTATTATTATTATTTCAATCAAAATTACTATTCCAAATTACACAAATTTATTTCTAATATGTGAAACATATTTTTTGTAGATGTTTGTAAAATTTTAAAACTTGTTAATTTTTTTAAAAACTAACATCCTAAATATAAAATTATCCTATATATTACCCTACATATAAAATACTTATTAAAATTCTGAATAAATAAATTAATTATGTCTATTTTATAAAATTTTATTACAACAAAAAATAAAATAAGAATTTAATTTAAACATACTAATTATATATAACATTTTATATTCTTTTCCAATTTTGAATTGATATTAATATTTATAAAAATTATTATAAAAATATATATTTAACATATTTTAATTAATTAATAGTATAAAATTTATACTAACAATAGACTAATGTTAAACTCATAAAATAACTTCCCTCTTCAACTATAATTTCTAACCCCCAATGTAAATCATCAATTGGAACAACATAAACAATAATAATACAACCCTATATTTTCTTATACTAATAAATCTCTATTTTTACTACAAAGTACAAACTGCTTTATTTTATGTAAACAACATGGGTTTTAAGGAATGAGTTCATTTTTAAAAATAAGATTCTTCATAATGATATTTCAAAGAATTATATGTCTGACAATTTATTATACCCATATTTGATAATTTTTTTTATAACTTATAAAAGTTATTCTTAATAATATTTGATTGTAAGGTAAAAGTATCTTTAAAAGTTAATAGAATTTCTTGTTTCTTTCTCACAATTGATTAGTCACTGTTACACTAAGAACCTACTATTTATTTTTCTAAATAAAAAATCATTTGCATGAGAAATAGACTGTAAAGTGGTATCCTCAATCCCATAGCACTTTTCACATCAACATATGGATTGTTAAGAGTTTTAACAGAGATAGACAACATATGGTTTATTACTGCCTTCGGATGCAACATATGGTCCTTGCAACCTATACAATAAAAAGATATTTCAAAAGTTCAACTTTTATATACAGAAATTCACGTTATTCGTTACCTGTCATTAAACAAAAGAAATATCATTTGCAGTGATATACTAAAAATTTAACCATTTTGTTAATATTAATTTTAATTTATTTTTAAATGATTAAAGTTGGTATAATTTTATTAAAAAATATTACATTAAAAATTATAAAGTTATAATTTTTTTTAATTAAAAAAAATCTCTCTAAATATTTTAAGATAAATTCGAGGATATTTTTAAAATAGGAAATATTTTATGCTTTCTCATATAATTAGGTTAGTGATTTATTTAAAAAATATATAAATACTTTTGAATTTTTAATATATTAAAAAAACCACACCTTATAATTCAAAATAAAAATAAAAATGCAATGCTCCTCAATTTTAGAAGTACAGCAACAAGTATCCTTTTTGAATTAAGCTCTGAAAACCATCATTAATATTTTTAAAAATTTAAATAAAATAAAATATAATGTGATTTTCCTTTATTATAAATTAACTCACTTATGCTACTTAAACAATTTTGTAATCACAGGACTCAATTATTCTTTCAAGGACCAGCTGAATTCAGATAGGGCAATTCGCTATTTACTGCAAATTAGTTGCACAAATGTCAAATTAGTTTCACTTATTAGCTTTTAATATCCTTTAACTCAAGTAGCTATTAACTGAAAATTAGATGTAAATTTTGTAGATGCATTACACTTTACCGCAGACAAATTTTGGGATAAATGTGATTTGTGACTGCTATTTTAACTGCAAAGTTTTATCAATTGCTTTCAGTAGATTTGTGCTCCTGCTGGTATTCACTGTCTTTTTTTCTAAGCATGAAACAAATAAAACATAAAACTTTGAAAAACTTTAAGATTAGTTGATATATGATATGATTAAGACTAACATGATATTGTAGAGATCTCACTTGGGTGAATATAAGTGGTGGTTGCAGCAGGTTTGGAATTTTGAAATAGCAAAGCAAGAGGCTCCGTTGCTTTGTAAACAATGTGATATTTGTTAATGAAGGCACGAGAGGTTTGGTTCCCATGGAATTTGGTAGGTAAAAAGGTTGGCTCACAGTTCAGTTCTAATTTTGCTGCAATTATTCCACAGCCCAATTCCTGGCCCTACCCTTCAGCTATCCGACACTCAAAACATTGACCTAATTATTTTTCCTCAAAACTATGTGGCCCAGGCCCTATGAGATATGAACACCGTCCTATTGAAATTTCAATGATATGGACACCATATACCACTCCCATATTTCATACAAGGAAATATATAAATTTTAATAATTATAGTATCGTGATGTAAATCGCATGTGTAATACTTGACATTTTGGGGATCATTCTCTCACAAAACATGAAACATCAAATCTATATTAATATTTTAAAGAAATTTTCTAGACTTATTACAGTAAAATTAACCATATACAAATGCCAAAAAAGCTAATGAATCATTGATATTTTGGATCACTGATTCTGGGGGGTGGATGAAATTCTCGTGTCATAATATAAAAATTGCTAACAAAGCCATGTTTCTCTAATCACATAAGAGAATGCTAGATCTTGAAATGGGTTTGGGTGTAAAATGTAAGTCATGTTCGGATAAAAATAAATTATTTAAAGATTTACTTACTAATAAATTCATAATTATAGTTATAAAGTTTCTTGAAATATATAAGTTTTATAAAATTGTAAAAAAACTCGTAAGTTATCCTGTTAATAGCACACCATACAAACCTAAACTTTGCAAAGCATGCCACAGTCAAGCTTTGCATGGTTTCCAAGAAAGTGCTTCCTCGTGTACAACCTACTCTCCATTAGGTTCTGATAAAGAATTTTATGATGAAATCCTCATGCTTTTTACCCTTCAAGTGCTGACATCCTTAACTGTTCCTCCCTATCTTCTTATTTATTCACATACATCCCAACCTTCACCTATCAATTTTGCAAAAATTCTCTTCTCTTTTCTCTAAATGGGCATGCGATGTTTGTTTATGCTTCTTTTTCTGCTTGGATTTGCAGAATCACAGTCTTCTATACATTCCTTTAACCATACAGACTTAGAAGCAGCGATAGGTGACATGAGAAGCAAATCTTACTATGGATTTGCAATGCTTTTGCAGATGCTGAATGGAACATCACAACCAAGTAGGGAGCTAACTTTCTTAATGCCAGATGATAGAGAACTATCTGCAACCTCTATTTCTGTTGATCAAATAGAAGAGTTCTTACTACGCCATGCTATCTTAATGCCTCTCTACTTCAATGATTTATCTCCTTTTCCAACTGGGACCCTTGTTCCCTCAGGGATTAGCTCCAAAATGATTAGGATCCATAACCGTGGTAGGGGGGATTTCTTTGTTAATAATGCACAAATAGTTTCAGCTAATGTTTGCTTGAGCTCAGTGATTAAATGCCATGGAATTGATGCATTAATTGAATATGATTGAGAATTGAGATTACGTCACATTATGTGGAGGTGTATTAGCAACCTTCAGGTGCAAGCAACCTTGGCGAGGAATACCTTTCCTATGGACCTCCAATATCAGAAAGGATTCCAATGTCCTCATACTTGTTCCAAACTCTATCTGACAGAAATAAAAACTTTACATGATTTAATTTGTTTGCTTGCACTTTTTTATATTTATATTATTTATTTGGTGCCATTCTTTGAAGTTTGAAAAACAGGAGTTGATGTGATGAGAAAAAATCGTGGATGCATAGCATGAAGCATAATATATGTTGCATGGATATGGGTATACTATTGATACTCCATATGAATACAGGAACAATAATGTTTGGAAGTTACGTTAATATAATTTTTCAAATTTATTAAAATAAGATATAATAAAATATTTGTAATTAATTGTTATGAGAATATTTATATAAAAAAAAATTAATAAACTCGTATCTCACAGTTTATAAAGATAAATGAATTTGATCGAGAAGGAAAATAAACAAGTAAAGAAAAAAAAATGAAAAATTACAATTTTCTGAAAAAAAAAATGCACAAGGAAAATTTAGTCATATCTCAAGCCACACTTACTTTAATTGGAGTCATATACAAGTCATCTAGTCATATCGCAAGCCTCACTTACTTTAATTGGAGTCATATTCCAGTTACGTACTTACTTTAAAAAAAAAGTAATGTTGATAAATATTCTGACGTACGTGTAGGTATGACACAAATGAAGCAGAAAATTGCCATATTTCAGAACATACAACTCTTGTTCTCTTAATAGGAAAAGATGAACTCATTTTATCAAATTAGATATAATTGTTTTTTAAATAAATTGATATTAAAAGCAATTTGTGCTCCTCATTTTGGAACAGTTAAAGAAGATCCATAGCTTTTGCAGTAAATTCCCGGCACAAAGCTCCACAGTGTTTATTTCAATATCCCCCCTCCCCCTTTCTTATCTAGATAGATAGATAGAGTATTTGTATTTAATTAGTATTGAAACGATAATATATGATAATATACATTTCAAGTGAAGTGCTTGGACTTTGTGAGGTTTCTCATATCCAAACATACAGAAAAAACAATTTGGATTCATTGAACTTTGAAGTCATCTTCATTGTTGTATTTTTTTGTAAATCTTTTTGCATGAAAACCGTTTACTTGTTCAGAGGGATTTGTTCCTTTATATATATATAATTATTATTTTATCTCATACATTAGCTTGACCAGTACTATATTTTCTCCTTCCTTCATTATTTTCTGAGACATCTCATTACTTATAAAAATTTCTTATAGTGGCCATGTCAATGATCATTTTAATCAAGTGCAAAGACTGCCATATTCCAAATTGCATTAGGGTACATTACCATTAAATTACAAATGTACAGATCCTATTGCATGTTCCTTTTTTTTAAAAGTAAAAAAAAAAGTTGATTACTAAGCAGATTGTTTGCAAGCTGTAAAGGACTGATGCTAACTAAAACTACACTACAACAAATTTATAAACCAAAACCAGAAAGACAGAAACCTAAAACCAACCAAGAAGAAAAAAACAGATGGTTCATTGATATTCCGTGACTCACCAAAATATCCAAACAGCCCCCATGTTCATGCTATTTCAAGCGTTATCATTGAATCTTTCCGTAGTACTAGCTAGCTAATAATCACAGGTAGTGATTTCAAATAGCTAAAAATATGATCAATACATGATGATACACTCGTGCCAATTAAGCCACCATAGAAAAGCCGTTTGTGTCACAATCACTAGGTGTTACATGACCCATCTGAAGGAACATCATTAGACAAATATAGATTCTTTCAAAGGTGAAGAGAAGTGTCAACACCAGAATCAGAGCCAGAGTCACAATCATAGACGTTCTTCCATGAAACCTGAAGGGACTGTGAATGTGCATAATTATTATAATCTGTGGGGCATAGGTTCAATGAAACCGGGGTTTGAACACTTGTATAGTCTTCTTGCTTGACCTGTGATGTTGGCCAAAGAGAAAGAGAAACATGGGGTGGCGACCTTGATGGCTTGGTCAATTCAGGGTTTGAAAGAAGCCTTGTTGGTTCATAACTCATTGTAGTATTGGAATTGAATTGCTTAGGTTCATTGAGCATTTTCTGAAGCTCCCTTTCCTCTCTCATTTCTTTTACTCTCTGAAGCTGTCGAAACCTCTCTTGTAGAAGAGCAATGGAGGAGTGAAAGACAGTAGGGTCGTGGTCATGGTCATGATCATGATCATGGCTTTGCCTACCCATTATGATGAGTAATAACAATCTGTTGTTGTAGGTAGCTAGGAATGAGAGAGAGGTCTAAGGAAGCATGAAATGATGAACATGTGTATATATAGTGTGATGGGCATGGTTAAGAAATCATAGTAGATAATAAAATAATTTACTTTAAGTCTAAAGATAAAAATGGTAAATGATTAAAAAAAGGGGAATGAGAATCGGCAGAGAGGCTGGAAAGTCCAAAAAGAAGATGTTGATTGGGCAATCTAACCGAGTTTTAAGGGTGTGTATGTGGGGGAAGGAGGCACAAGCATATCTTTCCTTTTTTTCGGTACGAAGAGGCAAAAGCATTACTAAAGCAGAAAAGGACTAAGAGAAAAGGCCAAGGGAATGTCGGAAGTAGCACATGGAATGGTGTGTTTGGAGGAATAATAAGTCGAGTGATGCCCTGCCAACATGTCCCAAAAGCCTTCTTAAGCTTTGGGGATGGTGGAGTCTTTTTGGTAGGCTTTGTTTGGATATCACATTATTTATTTATTTTTTCCTTTTCCTTTTAGATTTACTTCTTTCTTTCTAATAGGCTCCTAACCTTTTCCTTTTGTTGGGAGAAGGGGAAGTTGAGGAATTGGGGGCAGTGTAATAGCAAAATGACAAGGCTTAGAAGGGGGAATAATCTTGGGAGGTCATCATGCTTTGATTGAACAATTATGTATGACAAGGACAAACATACCAACATTCTTCTCTCTCTCTTTACCTCTATGCAACTTCTTTGTCCCTAAGTGTTTGGATGTGAATGGCATGCACAAACCAAAGCTGCAGATACCACTAATGGTTGGATTGGATGCTTCTCTTATGCGGCAGAAGCGCCCCCCTCCTCTATTATTTTCCTTAGATCTTTGGACTTTGAAACATACATTGACTGATTGAGATTAAATTAGACTCAAGATAGACATGGCGTGCATTATAATTCCTATTATATATTCAGTTTCATTGGCTGTTTAGTTAAATAAAAGCTTATGTTGGTGGAAGGATGTGAGCAATCTTGGCCAAATTAGCAACATACAAGCATAAGAAGTTGATGAGGCATTACAGGTTAAGTGACTACATTTCACAGATCCAATTATCTGAAACAGTAACACTGAGTACTGAGTAGTTAGTGCTATAACTTGTGCTGCGCTATGTCCAATAAAGAAAAAGGCATTTGGAGCTGAGTTTGAATGGACGTAGCAGCCTGAGAAAAGAGGTTAGGTGACTTCAAACAAAATAGAAAAGTAATATCTCATATCAACAAAATGCCTAATGAACACATTTGATCCCATTGTTGGGGATGGCTACAATATGGTAGGAATGTATGCATTAAGTACATGATTATACATCACTGATATGTCTTCCTAAAATCCTAACCACAGTGTTCATTTTCAAATATGAGATCTAAAACTACTGTCAAATCAAGTTTTAGAAGCATACATAAGTGGGATCTTGAGATCATCAGTGCCACACTTTCAATCTTACCCCCTCCATTTCAAGTTATCTGTTGCTTTGAGAATGTTTTTTTAGAAAAATCTGTTACTTTAAAATATCAATATAATATTACTTATTTTTTTCTAAAAATACTTTTATTTATTATCATTTCATCTAAATATTTAGCTAATCATAATTATTTTAATTCTTGTAATAAGGGTATTTTAGTATAAAATTTTTTTAAATCTTAAACCCTAAAATTATTTTATCTTGGTATATGTTTCTTTCTTAAGATATATAAATTATCTTAAATGGCAAATCCCTTGACATGGAGGGAATAATTGTCTTCAGCTTGGCTGAGTACATTATATATTTGATTATTACCTTGAGTGTGGGCTCAAGTTTCTGTCCAAGTCATTATTAAAGATTTTTTTGTTTAAATATATTTTAAATTTTTTATTAAAAAATTAAATTCATGTACAAACACATTTAACAATTGAATCTGATTTGATGGTCCAAGATGCCCTCAGTGAGATGGACACAAAATGCGGTTGACTGGTTGCATGGATGATGCAAGAAGGGATATGACCCCTTACTTATTTGGATACTATAGAAGAAGTGAAGAAACCACCAGACTCGCGGTTTCCTTCATGACTTGTAGGCTCAGTTGATATTAAATAAGTATTTAATTTCTAAAAGTGCTTCTTAAAAAGTTAGATAAAATAATTTATAAAAAAATTAAGCTATATAAATTAATTTTAACTTATGAGAAAATTAAGATATCTTTATTTGAATTAGGAGCTTCTAGAGGGCCTTGAAATCAAGGATTCTCTAAGGACTAAGATGATAACTTACGTAATTAAACCAAATGATTTTGATGAACAATAAATTTGCAATCCAGAGTAATTAAAAATTCTAATCGGGCAATTAAATTGATTTGCATAGTTTACCAAAAGATGAATGTTGGCAAAGAGACAGAACGGAAATCATTGCTATTTGAGTCAGTGACCACGTTAACTGGCAACGGGGAACGTGGCATTGAGCCACGAGAACAGTTGAAGAAATTGCAGAGTAAGGACCACCAATGACTAGACAGTGGAGTTTTGCACTCTCAAGCATAACTGATGTTTTCCGACATCTGGTTCGTACTTTATGCTGCAACGGTAAAAACACACAAGGATTTAAACAAATGTCACCACTAACAAAAGGACTTCCATCTATTAGCTCATAACGACACTCCAATATCGCTCTATGCCACTAGTTTCTTGTCGTGAAACATGAAAGAATCACCGTTTACCATGAAGTCAGGGAAAATATATTCGCCACTGGAAACGGTGAAACTGAAAATGAAAGATATTTATAAGTACAGAATGATACTATGCAGATTTCTTTTTATTTTTTGGAAAATGACTGTTTCACATTCTACCTTGGAGTTTTAAATCAGTGAAGAAAAGAGTAAAATAAATAAACAAATGAATAATGTGATAAAAAGAGAGTCCATGTTCATTTTAGCAGCTAGATGGTGTAGTACATATAAATTACTTAGTTTTACATTTATAATGATAATTCTTTCTCCTATTTTAACTAATCTTAAGCATTTAGGGTCATGGTTTTGCTATAGAGAGGCTGCACAAAATTTGGCAGGAGAGGATTTCTTTTGAATTGGGAGATGAAAAATAGAAATAATAAAAATAAAAGTGAAAATATAAAAGTTAGAGGATGTTTGTTTAATTTGTATTATATTATATTTTTAAAATAGAAAATTGTTTTTGAAAGGAAAAACAAACATCCCCTTCTTTTCTTTTTCTTTTTCAAAACGAGCTTTCATTCTCCTGGACTAATTATCATTTTTGTATTCTATGTGTACAAATAATTTTCTTCTAGACCCCAGATATTTATGCCAAAAAAATGGTAACATATTATTCAATTGTGTGCTAACACTTCATCTAAAATGTTTGATTATTCTTTTGACCAAGTACCTAAGTTGAGGTTCACTTGGTTTTTAGATAGATAAAGGTGGTAGTTTAGAACTGCCAGTGCAAGAGCAAGCAACAGTGGTATCTAAGATGACATTTCAACACTAGGACATAGCATATTAAGAGAGAACGTTTGGGATTATGTTCTTACCAGTATCATCTTCCTGCATAAATTGGTACAATTATGAATTGATTCTTGTCTATATTCATGATAGAGTCCCTCTCCCATAAATATGAGATTATCAAAGTAACTAGTTATAACATCATAATACTAGTACACTTATGTTGCATATTATTTCTTCGTCATGATCAAGATTTTTATTTGTCAATTACTTGGGGTCACTTAATAGTGATTAACCTTGTAAAAGTATATTTACTTTGAAAATTATTTTATATTTAATTACAGTGATATTAATAAAAATGCCAACAAAAGTTAAAACAATTTTAGTCTGTAATGGTGTTGAATTAAGAAGGCCAAGTGATTGGGCCAAGCGAAGTGAAAATGAAAGGCCCAACAGAGCCCAAAGACGAGGCATAGTAACAGGGTTGTGGAGGATGTAGTGTGGGGGGTGGAAGCAGAGAGAGGAACGATCGATAGAGTGAGAGTAGAAGGAGGAAAGATGAATACAGACATCACAGCGTCGACGAAGCCAGAGTACCCTGTCATTGATCGAAACCCTCCTTTCACCAAAGTGGTTGGCAACTTCAACACCCTCGATTATCTCCGATTCGTCACTATAACCGGCGTTTCCGTCACCGTCGGCTATCTTTCCGGTGAGTGTCCTCTTCTCTTTCCTTGACACGTGTTATGCTGAATCGAATTGAATTAGGAAATTTGGAATTTTGTTTGTTAGGGATTAAGCCTGGAATTAGGGGTCCATCGATGGTGACTGGGGGTTTGATTGGAGTGATGGGTGGCTTCATGTATGCGTACCAGAACTCGGCTGGTAGACTTATGGGTTTCTTCCCCAACGACGATGAGGTAGCTCGCTTCAACAAAAAATAACCCTTTTTCGGATCTCATTCAAAAACCCTCTTTTGTACCCGTTTGATTGCAATAATCACTTTTTCTTAAGCTATTTATTACCAGTTGAATTTTAAGCTTTTATTTGTAATGAATTTACTTCGTTCTCTTTATAGAGGAATGATAAACCTTGCTACTTTGGGGCTCTGGGGCTTTCATATTTTGGTTTATGTTGAAGTAAGGGGGGCAATGTAGCATTTCGTGGGTCAATTTGGTATGCAAGTTTGTGGATTTTGGTGTTTTGTTTTATAAGCTTCATTGTCAAGATAGAACAAGATAAACTTTAGGGCTACAATGTAGTGTTGAATTGAATTTTTCATTCTCTGCAATGCAAGTCTAGGAATTCTGTGTTGCGTGCCCTTTGTCAGCAATGGAACAAATATTGTGTTTCACCTTGCTTTTGAATGTACATTGGCAAGCCCTCACAATCTTGTTTGATGATCAAAACCTGATTTTACTGAAAATTTATGTTTTCATGTGTGCTTGAAAACACATTGAAAATTTTGTAAATATGGATCTAATGCAGAAACTACAATTTATAGTCTGTTTGGTTCCATGTTCAAATCCATACGAATTCATGTTTACTTCAATGCTACTTGTTGTTAGTTTTACGTCGGATTCATGTTTACAATTTTTTTAATGTGTTTCCAAATACATATTATTAGTGTTGAAGTGAACATGGATATGTGACCAATTAAACATTGATCCATTGCTGATCAAACATGATTTTGCACCCAAAGCATGCAAGACTAGAAATGAAAATGTAGCTTTTGTATTGGATTGAAAATTTCATATTGAGTTTTGCTGCTTACTTACTTTTGAGACAAAAGTTGAACATAAATCATTTTATTTAAAAACTTATTTTTAACCAAAAGTCAAATTTTACAAAATCAAGTTTGTAAATGCTCACCAAAATACACACTTATAGACATCCCTACTAGTGGTCATGCGTTTGTCACCGCTGTAGGCTTGAAACTTAACATCATTGTCCTCTCAATAATCTTTAACTTGCCACGTATATTTCTTTAATCAGAGTGTACTTATCAAAAGTTCATTTTTAGAGCAGGAGGAGGGTATAGATTCTCATATGTTGAGGATTATTAACAGGCAAAAGAATTATTCTATGGTGTGCTATTTGCATTCTGTTTAACTTCTTTATTGTATCTATATGAATAATAAATATATTATAGGCTCTATATATTATCAAATTGGAATCTAAAAGCACTTTTTTTCTTGCGGTGTTCTAATTTTAGTGCAAAATGGAACTCCATTCCCTGTATAATTGAAAACCATGTATAGATATACTAAAAATATAATAATTGTAGTACTAATAATACATTTTTCTTGCAGTGCTGAATTCTTAAGTTTTGCTTGTCCTTGCTGTAATTATGTAACTATTTAAAATTATAAGATATTCGTGTCATTCTAGTCTTTTCCTCCTTCAGTTAATGTATAAAAGTTAGTTGCCGTGTTTGAAATGCCCATTATGGCTCCTTTTTTTATCTTTTTATTTTTTTTTTCGTTATACTTCTTGCTTTAATGCAGTCTCTCTATCTATTTGACCAAACTGAAGATAATAATATATTATCATTGTTTTCCTGTCTTCCTACAACATCTTCGTACATATCTCAGTAAGCCAATAATCACCCAAATTGCTAAGTTGAATAAATCGATCATTCCCACAGTATAGTTTGAACCTCTGATTTAAGGCTTGTATTTTACTAGACCAAAAAAAAAGTCTTGGATTTTGGATTTTGCAATATTTGAATAAAGTGTTTCGCGAGAAGAATGTGTCATAATACTGAAGACAAAGCTGACGATTATTTCAATATGGAAACACGAAAAAGAAAACGGATTTCGGTGTTTTGCTGAAAGATTTTAGCAGCTTAGTGTCTGGCCTTGTTTACACTTAAAAACTGACAAATGTTTGGGTTTATGCCTGATGGAAAACAAGCTAGAATGACAATTGGAGTAGCGTTTCGCATTTTCTTCAACGTTGAGACTGAACTTTCACCACAAAATGCTGGACAAAACGGAAGCATAAATATTGTTTTTGTTTATTGTGAAGCTTATCTTATTTTTTTGTTAATCGAGATGTTGGTATTTCACATTCCTTGCCAATGATACTTTTAAAGTAGCTTTGTCAGACCGATTACGAAAACAGTTTGCTAACAAATTATTTGGAAGATGGTTTTATTTTGGGATCAAATTCTACCCCAAGCCTTTCCGTCTACGATCTTACATTTTAGGCAAATGATGATTTATAATTATATATTGGTGTCTGCAATCGAGGATGAGGGATAGTGTGGAGTAAGATAATGATAACTACAGTCACTTTGCTTTATCAAGACTTGTTGGCTTATAAGAGAAAGAGTTCACATTTATTTGTTGAAAGACAAAATGAGACAACAGGAGAATTGGACTATTTGAAGGAGGAAAAGGGGCACTTTCAAAATCGTGTATGAATTGTCTTTATTAATCGTTGATGATGGGTAAGTATCCATCATTCATTAGCCGCATACAGATTTATATTGCTAATGATAATACAAGCAAAAGTTTTTCTCTGTCCCCTTTTTCCCTTCCTTTTTCTGTTGGGCCCCTGCGCGCGTGTGTATGATTAGTGGGAACTAAACTGGGGCCCTGTAGTGTTGGTAACATAAGCCATTGAGTTGGCTTCAGAAAGCAGTTCACACCTGATTTGCTGAACTGGGCAAGACTAGCAAGTATATTTCAGTTGACAAGGATTTCAAAAGGTGAGGCTAGCATTGCCAGCAAAGGATGAGGGAACTTCAACAATAGAAAAAAGAGAGGGAAAAGACAGAAATTGTTTCACACCCATTTGTGATGTCTACACCTTGAAGAGGAAAGAGACGTGATGTGAAAAATTATATACTGAAAGGAAAATAGAATTTTTAAAAAAAATGAAAAAGAGGGAAGTGTGATAGTATTAAAATTGAAGGGAAAAAAAATATCATCCCTACATCTTTCGTATGCCTCACTACCTAGCTACCCAATTCCGATACCCCAGATGGTTCAAACAAGTCAAGAGAAAACTCTCAATTTTATCTGTTGCCATTGCATTAGTTTTTCAATATTTTTTACTATTAAATTATTTTTTCAAATCTTATTTATGAAATAAATATTTATTTCAGTCCCTTAAAATCGTAAGGGTGGATCTCCTTAGTTCTTAAATTTACAAAAATTCTAATTTAATCTTTATTTGAAAAATCACTCATTTAAAAAAAATATATCATATTGTAAAGTTAGTGATTGAAGTATATTTTTTATTATGTCAAAAATTAAGGTGATAAACACACATAATTTGAAAGATGGTGTTCAAAATCTATTATAATGGTGTTAATTTTTGCTAGGGTATCATGATAAATAATACCTATGATTGTTTAGGTGGTCAAAATGACGTTGCTTCATACTTGTTCTCTCTCTCCTCTATCAACTGGAGATTTACTATGGTAACCCTCTTCACTCAAATCATAACAAGCCACATTATCTGCACATAAAAAATGTCGTCCTCCTTGATGCAAAATTCTAAATAAAAAATGAGACATGGATCGATTAGCTTTGGAGAGTTTTTAACATGAGCGTGACAAGCCGCCAAAGCTAACTACACGAAAATAGTGATGTGTGGGTCACATTGGTGATAATCTTTTAGTGATTGTGCATTTAAATTACATTGTTGTCATTAGTTGTGTTAGAGGAGTAGAATTTGATATTATCCCAAGTGGTTAAGTATGCTTGAAGATGCTTGGAAAAGAAAATAATTATGCTTTCTCATTTCTCTTTCACTTAAATGCACTTGCACGAAATTTTCTCTCTCCCATGCCTTACAATCCTTTCGTTTATTGTCTCAGTAACTTTGTTATTGTTTCTCACTTCTCTTTATGATAGTGACAATAGGAAAAAAAAAAAGAAGAATAAAACCACGTATTAGTCCTTAAAATTGTAACTTGTATAAAATGATAGTTTAAGATGACAGAAAGAGAAGGAGAATAAGTGTTAAATAACGTTGTTTTAAGCATATAAATTGTAAAAATTATTAAAATTTTAAAAAAAATGTTATTGACAAATTAATTTTTTATTAGTAAAAAGAGAGAAAAATATAATGATTTTTGTCACTTAAACAATTTCATATGTTATTTACCATAATATCTTAATAAAAATTAATATTATTGTGATTAAAAATATTAATTAAACTATGCGTTTGAAGTTGAATAAATCAAAATTTACATACTCCTTTATAAGGTTCAAATTAAATTATTTGACAGTTAGCATCCCATAAACTACTAGGAAGATTAACTGAAAAGAAACCTCTACACAAATCGATTTCTATCAATCGTAAAGGCTGATGACGAAAATATTGTCTTTTTGAACGATCTAGAAAATCAAAAGTAGCAAACGATGGAGTTGTGGAAAAGGAAGTTATCATGCTTTGTTGGTACACATATTACATAAGCACCATCACTTTAATTAATCATGTCAATCTTAGCTTTTAGAATGAGCGAGTGGAATTTTAAACTTGATGCACTCCTGTCTTTGTCATACGACACTTAGAGTGGGAATATGCATATAATGATTATTAATTAATGCTTAGATAAATAAAACATCCCTTTCTCTATTATCTCTTCTTTTTCCCAAATTAAAATGATTACCATTAACTAATTTAGACATCTATTCTAAATACGAATTGAGATTTGATAAAGAACTTTAGAATTTCAACTTTTTTAAACATTCCCATCTTTGTCTTATTGTTAGATTATTTAATATTTGATTAAATATATTCCCACATGACATGACGTTCTACCTGACACGTCTGCACCCATTTTTGTGACCTGCGATAGTTACTATATATGTTTTGCTTTCTCTCTCCTAATTTTTTTTAGAGTTCATTTTGGTTGTTGCAACAGTAACTATTACCCAAAACACTCACATACTTTTAGTTTGGTTCAGTTTAAATGTAATATAAAAATTGAATTAAATTAAATTAATATTCTGTGAGTCAATTTATATTTTTTTATTTTTTAAATTTATTTGAATTTCACTCGCGTTCTTACCTCATCAAGATTCTAGGTATTATTACCTTGAGACTTGGTCATAACGAGTCACGTCGAGAACTCTATTAACAAATTTGAACAAGTTTTCAAATTAAAATTTATAATCGTGAGTATTCTTCATGGCAATGTTTGAAAGGTAGAGAAGTATCCTTATTATATAATAAATTACTTTTCACATTAAAATTTATATAGTATTTTCTTTTAATATCAGTATTTATAAAAAAATTCATCTAAATAGAGCCATTGTCGAGTTTTTTTTTTCTTTTACTTTTATTGTAATATGTTTATTCTAATCTTTTTAGGATAAGGCTGTAAAGCATTTTTAAACTCTTTAAGTGTAGAAACTAAGCCTTATTTATTGTAAGTTAATTACACAGTACTTCAAGTTGATTTTCTGATCTTTCATATTATGTAAAATTTTATAAGATAATTAACAGTTCCATTATTTAAATATAAAAACATTAATATGGTATAAGTATTATTTGTTTATACATATGTACAAATTAAAGAAAAAAATTTCTTGATATCGCACTTTAACGTTTATGAAACGTTTTCCCAACACTTGTAATTTTTTGAATTTGCTGGCATTATCTGTTTCTTATAAGTTTTCTTTTTAATCAGTGGCTTTGATTCTAGGTATGTGACGACTATTGACTATTATATTTTCTTCCGAAGCTAAAAGGAAAGAATGAGAATCTCTTTAGTCTTCTTTTGATGAGATCCTTATCAAGTTATCATATTTCCACTATCTTGATATCTATGTAGTAAAGTGGGTCATTTTTAATTCTCAGCAAGTTGAAATTAATTCTAACACTCCTATTCACTTTTTTACAACACTTGTAATTTGTGGGTATTGTATTGTTTGAAAGCAGTCAAACAAATATACAGATTTTCTAAGGCAGAAGAGTATGCCAAATGTGAAATTAAAGCATCGCATATCATGACAACTTATTATGTCTCTATAACTAATTATAAGCATAATTGATTTATATTTTTCCTGTTCATTGAGCCATTTGAAAATAATGATATAGAATCTTTAATCTGTCACTTCAAAATGTTTTTTACTGTATAATTAGGTTTGAAGTAGTTATATGGTTTATCTAAAATATTTATATTTATATAGTTCTTAGTTATATTTCTTTACTTTTATTATTTCCAAAACCCTTTTTTTTTCCGACAGCCTTTATTATGCATAATAGTAAGTTGATGAGTCTTCAAAGACATTTTTATTCTTTTTAAATTTATTAAATTAGTATACATTTTAAATTTTATCATTATAATGAATAAAAATAACTGTACCTTTATTTCTTGTGGGTAAATAAATGTGATATTTTAATTTTACAGAAATATTTGTGACAGTCAATAACTATCAGCACTACTATGAAACTCATCACAAATAATTTAAGGACAAAACGTTTTTTAAAAATTAATAAATAAAAATTTATATACAATATTTTTTATAAAAATTATTAATATGTAATATATTAATATATTAAAATGTAATATATTAAAAAGTATTGATAATATAATTTTTATTACGTGTTATTTAATACATTAAAAAAACTCAACTCATAAAATACATTTATATTATTTTATAATTTTTAAAGAAAAATATTAAGCTTAATTTTAGAGTTGAAAATACATTAATACATGTCTAAAAACTGATATTAAAAAATTCCAATAATTAAATGTTACATTAATTTAGTAAATTTTAACAGTGAAAAAACCATCTTGAAATTAACGTGGAACATGGCAATACGTAGTGGGTATGGCTTTATTGGTCGCAGAGAGAGGTTAGCTGTTACTGTTAGCCACTTTAAAAAAAATGAATTATGTAATGAATAATACGAAACTTGAAAAGCACGTGACATTGACGCTACCGAGTAAGCGATTGAAGGAAAGGGCGAAGGGGTTTCCTCAACCTCACTCTCTTTCTTGCTCTGTCTTTCGTACCATAGCATCCACAGTATGAAGCCACTTTCCCGTGTCATTATCATTTTTATATATTTAAAATAACTACAAACTAATTAATTTGTCTCTTGTTAATAATAATATTCTAGCTAAGCCGTTGACACACATGTCTTACTTTAAAAATTTGGTTTCAAGAGTAAAGAAATTAACTAGAAATCAAAATTAAAACGTGATGTTTATTTTTCATTTTTAATACTTATATTAATAAAAAACATTAATTTGTTAAGAAAAATTGTAAAAATCTTTGAGTGGTGTTTGCTTTATGTTTTTCATTTTCAATCTTTTAAATTTTCAATAAATTTTATTCAGCAATAAATACAGTGTTAGGGAGGAAGTTGTTAGTATTTTTCATGTATTTTATTATAATTGCAAAAATGCAATTTTATTGTTCACGCATTAAATTATAGTCAAAATTTTAAAAAACTTTAAATTTAGTAAAAATGATCTACTAAATATTTTAATTTTAAATATTTAAAAATAATTCCATCAAATATTTGGACAGAATAATAGTTTGAGAATTTTAAGAAGAATGCAATCAATGGATGAACCATATTTACACAATTTTAAAATGCTTAATTATCTTTAAGGGAGAAGAGGAAAAAACAATTAATAAAATCTAAAGAATTTTGTATTTCGAGGAAGGAGAAATTTTTTTAAAAGTAAAAATATGATATTTATTTGCTTAATTCTGAGTAAAAGAAAATATAAAATAGTTAAATTTGCTTAAATGATGTTTTATCGTTCTTTTTCTTTGCTTTTCTCTTTGAGAAAGTTTTGAGGTTCTGTTAAAATGCATTCGAATAAGTTTTACAAAAAATAATGGTGTAAGGTTTCTTGGAACTTAATTTGTAGCTTACTTTTTAGTTTATGATATAAACATTAGAGCTATTTTTTTAGTTTTGACATTTTTTTAATAATTTATATAAATATTTAAAAAATTTTAAGCACGCTTATAACTAAAATATTTTTTTATTTGAAAATAGAAACACAAATCAATGAGGCTTCATCATCAAAGCTTTCATTTTCTATTGATGAATGATCAACATCAAACTTAATATTTATATAATTATATATCTGCTGGACGCTAGATAACTGTTATTAAAATGCAACATTAACATTTAATAATTTATTTTTAGATATTATTAAATGGATAAATTATATAGATAACAGTACCGTTCTTTGAACAAAAAGGGTAAAATTTTCTCGCTAAAGCTTATGGTATTTTTGTAACTTTTAATATTTTCATTCATAAATAAACAATTAAAAAATGTTTTTTTTTTTTTACATAATGTCTGTTTTGAACTGTTTATACTTTTTGCACAACGTATAAAATTTAATTGGGTGAAAAATAAAATTTCTTAAAGGAATCTTATTTAAGGTAATTTTGAAGTCCATTTAAATTAAATTATATTTGGATAACCAATATGTTAAAATGAAAACTTAAACTTTAGTTGATTCTTAATGTGCGTTTTGCATAGAAAACTTAATTTTAAAAAAATAATTTTGATCTCTTGCAATTTAAAAATGAAATAAATTTATATTAATGAGTTGTTAAGTAAAAATAATAATGGTTTAAAAATTAAAAGAAGGGTTGGTAAAAAAGTGAGCAAATATATGAGCATGTGTTTAATTGTTTTTGGGTAGTTAGTGCGATTCACATTTTTTGTGTTGTTTAGGATGTGGTTGTAAGATTACTCGGATTCGGAGAAGAAGCTTCTAATGAATTCGGTAATCGTATTTTCGTTACATAGATCGTTTTTCTGACGGCTGTTGCTGACCCCGAAACCGAGTGGAACTGTGACATGCGGGTCCCACATAAGGTTCACAATGTAATTATCATTCATTTATAGGGCAATTCTAATCTTACTTTTATATTATTTGTTTATAAATATATGATATATGATGTGATATGATATGATGTAATATTAAAATCACAACAACGCTCACTGATTGCTAACCAATACATCGTTTTGGACTCTGGAAACGGCTAACACCTCTCTCTCTCTCTTCAAAACTACTCTCTTCCTTCCCAGGAATCTCTGCCACATAACACATAACTGACCCAAGAGCTGCCTCTGAATCTGAGCTTCAGTCTCATTAAAAGGTATGTTATGTCCTTTCACTTTGTTTTTCTAAGGTTTCAGGTTCATGGGATATTGGGTTTGTGTTGTGGTGTGAGCAACTAGTGGCACGTGGTTTTTCTTTCTATTTCTGTTGGACTTGTCTCATGGTTTTGTTGGAGGTCCATGCTTGACTGGAATTATTAACCTGGCTCGAGTTAGAATTTGCTATAACTTTTATTTCTGTTGTCAAATTTCAGAATTTTTGGGTCTGATTTTTTGTCTGAAGATATGTTACCCGTTTCTCAAGCCTTTTGGTTCCGTTTCTTTGACATGGGACTTTTAGGTTGCACTTGGACCGTGTTTGGGCTGCCTTTTCTCTAACAACTTGTTTTCAGAACATTGTTGTGTGTTTGACTGTTTTGGTCTTTTACTGTTGTTTTCTTTCCCACCCTGTTGATGGTCTGATATTAACAATTAAAAAAAAAACTAATAGAAAAAATGAAATAAAAATAGTTTCTTTCTCTTTAGTTTGAGTTTTTGACAGTTGCTTAAAATTCTCCTATCATAAAAGTTGAAGAATTTACATTTTTTTGGAGGTTTATATGTGTGGTTTTGGTTTTTATCTCTACCAACAATTATGCTAGTCGCACATTTCCTTTGTTTCTTTTTATTAGTTATTTTTACTTGATGAGCTAATGACTCAATTTTTCTAGTCCTTCTGCTCTGTATGTGTATAGTATGAGCCTTTGAAATTACGTGCTAGCTTTTGTTGTTGCTGTAAAGTGAATTACGTGCTAGCCAACTTGCTCCAAAGTTATTTCCTAGAAATAAGGAATAAAGACTTGTTTTTGCTCCGTACTTTATGATCTTTGTTTTGTGGCTATTGGCTCTTTTCTGATCTCTGATTGCATAAACTATTACAAGTTTTACTTGTGGATGGTTTTTTAAAAGGTGTAGCTTACTTAATTGATGTTAGAGTTCTGACAGAACAACCTCAGTGTTCCGTGAAAGAAATCCAAATTGATTGGAGTGCGCATCTGTTTGCCCTTCTCTTTCCCTTTCTTTTTCCCTTTTCTAAATGTGATTCACACTGAGTTTTTTATCCCGTGATTCCTGCAGCAACTGAATAGGATTCTTCATATGCTTTGTGGTAGAAAACTTCTAAAACAGAACCAAAATGAATTGAGCATGTTTGTTTGCATTTTATAAAAAGAAAACTCTTTTTAAAAATGTAAACAAACATGAGTCTTTTTATTTTTCTTTTGCACCTCTAGAAATTGTGCTACACTTTCAGATCATCATCACCAGGCATACTATATTACTCCCTTGTGGTGTATTGTATAACCTGGTTCATAGGAAACGTAACATATCCTTGTCTTGTTATTTGAGCATGAAAAGACCAGAGCATTTGAAACTATTTTCTGCCACAGTAATGAAGTCCTTACTCCTTTCATTTTACAGTGCTAATTCTGCCTTAAGGGTTGGCCTGATGGATTCCCGCATGATTTCAATTTTTTTGGCCACGTGCAACCTCCTCACTGACCTGAAATTTTTGTATAGATTGCATCATGATTGCAAGTTTGAATTTTCTTTTCTTAAGCACATCTCCGTTTTATCAGATCTTGCTTAACATTTATTCTTACTTTATTTAATCACTTATTTAATCAATATTGAAGCTCCATTAACAATTTATTATCTTATTATGCAGGTTGTGGCTCTTTGCTCATATTTAAAGAATCTAGCTTCTTACCCAAATGGAGACCGACCGTCCAACAGAACGGTACAATTGAGCTTTATGCATTTAATAAAAGGGTGACCTCCAACAGTTGGGAAGCTTTTTTACAATTACAAAGTTTGACTGCTCATTATTCTGATCACTTTCTCTCAACTGAGTATATACATTTCTTTTAGATGCAAACGTCTCAGAAACACCCAACTTCAGCTGGTATCCATTTATACCACCAGCCAGTGCAAGGCATTGATCCCTACACTCATTACCAAATATTACAAAGCAATTCATGCCATGATATCCATGAGAGTGGCAGTCAGGGAACCAATATTTCTTTTGAAGCATGCAAGGAGCAATACTTTACCCTGGAATCATCTCCACCAAACACAGGTTTCATAGGTTGTGATTCTCCTTCTTGTGCAAGCGTATCATCCAATAGGAGTACTTTTTCTCCACAAGCTTCTCAGTCTTACCATTCAGATCAACATCATTCATCTGACAACACCTATGGATCACCAACAAGTGTACACTCCAGTGCGGATGATAGCTATGAATTGAAGCACAAACTTAGAGAACTAGAGATTTCATTGTTGGGGCCTGAATCAGATATTGTTGACAGTTGTCACTGCCGCTTTGAAGGTGGTCTTAAAGGAGCATCTCCATCAGCTAAATACAATTGGGATCATATTGCAGAAATGATTCCAAAGTTAGACTTGAACGAAGTCCTCATTCGATGTGCACAAGCTGTGTCTGATGATGATATTGAAACTGCTGTAGGCTTGATGAATAATGTATTGGCAAAGATGGTATCCGTTGGGGGTGATCCAATTCAAAGGTTAGGTGCTTACATGTTGGAGGGTCTAAGAGCAAGGTTAGAATCATCAGGGAGTCTAATCTACAAAGCCTTGAGATGTGAACAACCAGCAAGCAAAGATCTAATGAGTTACATGCACATCCTGTATCAAATTTGCCCATATTGGAAGTTTGCTTACATATCTGCAAATGTTATCATTGGAGAAGCAATGCAAAATGAATCAAGAATTAACATAATTGACTTCCAAATTGCACAGGGAACACAATGGTTGTTACTTATCCAGGCTCTAGCAAGTCGTCCTGGTGGGCCTCCATTCATTCGAATAACTGGTGTTGATGATTCACAATCATATCATGCCAGGGGTGGAGGACTTCACATAGTAGGAAAGCGCCTCTCAGATTATGCCAAGTCCTGTAAAGTGCCATTTGAGTTTCACAGTGTTGCCATGTCTGGCTCTGAGGTTGAACTAGAAAACCTAATGGTTCAACCCGGTGAAGCTCTTGCTGTAAATTTCCCTTTTGTTTTGCATCACATGCCAGATGAGAGTGTGAGCACAGAGAACCATAGAGACAGGCTATTGAGATTGGTGAAGAGCTTGTCGCCCAAAGTCGTGACCCTTGTTGAGCAAGAATCCAACACCAACACTTCTCCATTTTTCCAAAGGTTTGTTGAGACCTTGAACTATTACACTGCTATGTTTGAGTCAATAGATGTGGCCCTCCCAAGAGATGATAAACAAAGGATTAGTGCAGAACAACATTGTGTGGCTCGTGACATTGTTAACATGATAGCTTGTGAGGGACCAGAGAGGGTGGAAAGGCATGAACTCTTGGGAAAGTGGAGGTCAAGATTTTCAATGGCTGGTTTTTTACCATGCCCTTTGAGTTCCTCAGTGACTGCTGCAGTTAGAAATATGTTGAATGAATTCAATGAAAATTTTAGGCTTGAGCAAAGAGATGGTGCTCTGTATCTAGCTTGGAAGAAGAGATTTATGTGCACCTCTTCTGCTTGGAGATGTTACTGAGTGTATGTATATTTCTTTTTGGACCTTCAGAAATAATTCAGTCATTTCCGCAGTATCTTAACAGGACTAGAGCCTAGAGACTTAGCTCTGTTCCATGCTGAATCTTTAAACTTGTTGTAATGTACATGTCAATACTAGAATGAAAGAAAAAGAATCCTCATAGTTACGTGCCACTTTTGCAGTCTTTATATAATATAGTAATTACTTGGTGATGATCTGACTACACATTTTACTATTTTAATTCTTTTTTCTTTATTCGTTTATTTCTTTTTACCTTGACCTTAGAAGCGATAGCTTTTAATTTATACTTCATGGGTCACAAAATTTTGGCCTACTGTTTCCCTTTCTGGAATCACAAAACAGTGTATATAATATGAATGGACACGTGTAGGAGACCTTGTATGTAGACTTGGTGAAAAAAAAAAACGATTACACGTTGGTTCCTATATGCAAAACTCATGAACAATTGGTAAATCATAAGTCGTGTGTGATGTACTATTATCTGAAGTCGTGAAAAAAGTATCCATAACTTTCCATAGTTTTAACAATTTCCATTTTATTGTGTAAGATAATAATATTTTTTTAAAAATAAACATTAAATAAAAAGCTGTGTGCAGAAACGTAAAAAGGATGTTGCGATTCGTTTCTTGCAATGTAAAACGTATTTAAATAATCTATCTTGTTTTTCGGATATGCTACTAAATTTAAACAAATAACAGTCTTATTAATTACAACTTAAGATCAGGCATGTTGGACCTTGTACATAGTTTCAGATTCAGATTTAGAAACGACCACATTGTCAATCACTAATTTAACAAACTCTCTATAGAACGGTTATTATGGGGTGAAGAATCGAGGGAAGTCCACGAACCTTGTCATGCAAATCTCAACCCAAAAACAAAATTAATCAATTAATTATTAAAAATATTTCTTATCATTTACCTCCCATATAGCCCTTTTACATAACTCACGCAAATTGCTTCGTTCTGGCTCCCAAGTATTCAAATCCGCAGTAACAGGTAAAATTGTCTTCCATCCCAATCTGCATTGTCAAATCCACAAATATTTACCCTTTTTCTCAAATTTGAATTATATTATCATCCTTAAAAAAATGATCCTCGAAACTTAAAAATGTTCAATTTTTATCAACGATCCTTCTGTTATTTCATGTGATACTACGGATTTTAGTTTGATCATCATGAATACCACCATTTGAGACTTTACCAGATTTTCATGAATTTTATTTTTATTGTATGAGGCTTTTTATATTTTAGGATTTCATCCATATGAAATTGAATGCATGATATAAGTTTTATCTTAATATTCAATTTTTTTTCTTTTTTTTTTATCAGGAAGTAACATCATATCAGTGTGGTATACTCATAGGAACTATCGAAATCAGTTAAGGATCAATAATTATATTTGTCATTTTTGAAAAAATAAAAGTTTTGGGGTGGTTATAAAAGCAGTGATAAGGGTGAGTGAGGATGGAAGAGATTGAAGAGAGAGCAGAGTTACAGAGAATGCAGAGGGAGCAAGAGAGGGAGAGAAGGCGCATACGTGATAGGCAAAGGAGACAATCAATGACTCAAGAACAAAGAGAAAGACATCTTGCAAGACGCCGCAGAAACTACCAACTCCGAAGACAGAGAGCTGCAAATTCTCATGCTCCATTCATTCCTCAACTTCAAGCTCTAGAATCAAGTGTAGGTGAAGCCAGTACCAGTGATGAGTTTCATGGTGTTACTGCTTCTACCTCTCTAGTCCTCTCTCATGCCTTCGCTTTCCCTGCCCTCAACCAAGCACAACAAACACACAACTTTCAAACCAATGTTGTTGAAGGTGCGTTCTTGTTATGTTCATAAATCGTAATCAAAAGACAGAATGTTTATTTAATTTTTAATTTTCTTAACTTTAGTTAGACCTCGGAGCTGAGTTTAAGCATCTTTAGCTGCATTGAAAATACAAAAGTATAATAAATATTTTTTTTTAATAAAAGATGATCAACTGAATACGAAAGATTGAGGTTAACAGATTTTTTTTTTTTCTATTTCATTTTCTGTTCATTAAACTAAATTGTGGGTTCTTATTTTTTAATGTCAGATGCTGCAGTGCAATCAATAGGAGCATCAGTTGAATTGGAAACTCTAGCTTATAAACCAGCCAATTCACCAAGAAAGTTACGTCTAAGTCGTATTAGAGGTCTTGCACGAAACCTTACACGTTCAATGGTTGATCCTGATGGTCCTCACCATGTTGCAGCAGAGTTGATAACTAAGGAAGATGCATCAGTGACTAATTTTGGTGAGTAATTAATTGGTTAAAGAGAAATGTCAGAGATCTTTTTAGCGGAGGAATATTAGTTTGCACCTTTAATTATTATTATTATTATTAGTTTGAATAATCTTAAACAAAAAATTCAGGTAGCATGCAAAAATCCTTGCGTTTGAATTGTGTGAAGCGCCTTGCACGATCAAAAATTTGCTAGAAGAAGTGATTCAGTCACTTGGCAACAAGAGCTTTATAGGCTTTAGCTAACTTTATTAGATGAAAGGTACATTGCAAAAAGTTACTTATCTGTGAACATAATTGATACATAGCTAAATTAATTGTGTCTGTGAATTTATCAATCTTTACTTGTATCACTTTGTTTTTTCTAAAATGATTACATCATGATTTTCAGGGAAATGCCTGTCATGGCTTATGACAGAGAGAGGGAGATAGCAATTCCCAGTTGACACTAACAACATATTTTATTGGGCTAGCTGGTAGATGATGATGGATAGTACTAGACTGATTTTTTATTTTTCCTTATTGACATGGATAAAATAATTTCATTTTTTTTATTTGTATAAAATTAATTATATTATAATTTATTTATTTATTTTGGTAATTATTGAATAAAATTTTTAAATAAATGACTTAATTTGAATAATTAAAAAATTATAAATATTTGCTATGAGTAATTGAAATAAAAATAAAATAAAATCACGCATAAACAAAAAGTGTAAAGACTAAAAAGGAATTAAACCAATAAAAAAAACCTTCTAGAACTTCCAATTTGAAGAAAAAATTAACACTTTAAAATTGACTTCAGCAAATGTAAACTTGTTTCTTGCTTGTTTTAAATTGGGTCATGCTATAAGAACTAAATAAAATTTTACCAAAGAGATTAAAATAAAAAATAATTATTAAAATTTTTTAAAAATTAAAAATAAATATTGAAAACATATTTAAATCTTAAATATATTTTAACTTCACAAAATACAAAATAGAACAAAGGATTCTATTTCATCAGAGCAATAATACCTTTTTTTATTATATTATATTTTATCTGCATGTCAAATTTCACATGAATTAAAGTTTAAAGGAATAAGTTAGTAATTAGTTTTAAAAAGTTGACTAATGTAATAAATTAATAAAATCTAATTTGTAAAACATATTTGTCTGTGTATCATTCTTTCATATTATAGTTACATATAAAAAAGGGATATCAAATGGCGTCAATTATCAAATTTAATATAATGATATATTCAATAATTTATTATCACAAATAATTAATTAATTTATTTATTAAAATGAATGTTCTCGCAAAATAGATTTAAATCTATAAATTTCACATTATTTAAAAATAAATAAATACTTTATTACTACTACTATATTTAAAACTTTGTTAGAATTAATTTTGAATATCTAAAAATAATATATTTATTAAAAAATATTTAGGACATTCTTATCACCATTATATTATTCCAATAAATTATCACCATTTTAATATTTCAAATTCAATCATAAGAACTTAAGTTAATTCTTTTATTTTTAATGTACAATGTATCATTTAAAATAAAAGTGAGTAACTATTATTTGATTATATATTTACAAATGTTTAAATTTGTAGAATTTCATAAGCGTAATAATCATGACAATAGCACACGATTAATGAATCACAAATTATTAAGATACTAATAGACTGTTAATTAAAATAAAGTGCATCATATATTCCTTAAAGATTTGAAATATTTGGGTGAAATATTTAATATCTTATATATTTGTAATACACATCAAAAAGCTTTCATAGCTCAGTTGGTTAGAGCACCCGTTTAGTAAGCGGGAGGTCTTGAGTTCGACTCTCAATGAAAGCATCCTATTGTTTTACTGGCGTCGCCTCCATTGTTTTACTTAAGCTATTGAAGGCAAAGTAACCAAGTTTTGAAGTCAAGTTTGCAATATCACTCATCGCTTTTGAAATCGTCAATGCCAATTGTCACCGACCAGTATCCTTATGGTTCTTATTCATTTAGTTTTATTGAAAAAAGAAAAAAACAAGCGCATAATTAGTCTAAATATATAACATTTTAAACTTTCTTTTACTTAAAACACAACATCATTCGCAATATCAAATTTTACTAAATATGAAAAAAAAATTAGTCTAATTTTTTTTCTCTTCAACTTTTCACTTGTCTTTATAAAAAATCATCCACTCGATGATGATATCATATGCGAAAACTATCTTTTGGGACTGAATGGCTTTGCTATGCCTTGCGATTGTTCTTTAATTCTGAGACTGTCCGTGTCTACCTGAGTTTAATTTTATTTTCGCAAAATAGTCTTTTTTATTTTTCTTACTCTTATATTAAGCTGCTCCAATTGTCTAAATAATCTTAAGGCTTGCAGATTTCTTGTGACTTGCTATTAGTTTTATTTTTGCTTTCCTTAGTTATGGTTATAATAGTTTGACATGCCCCAAGATAATATTAAATTACTTTAATAAAATGTTCATAAGTGGGAACTTATACTTATCATTATATTTTAAAATTTCAAAAGATTATTAAATTAATTTTTTTATTAAAAATGATAAATTATTATACTCTTTCTTTTCCCTTTAAAGCCTCATTCCTAAACACATCTTAAGTCTCTTAACACTGCTACCAAACAGCAAGCTTTGAGATCTGAAATAGCCGGGTAGAAGACACTGAAACTGAAAGGACTAAGAATTATGCTGTAACAGTGCTGAGCCTAATGTGCTATATTCCCTGAAGAAGAAAACAAACTATTTTTGACGAAGTACAACACTTTACTTTAATATGATTAAATTCTTGCTTGTCTTAATGTTGCTTTTACTGAGATTTGTGGTTGTTTCTGAATGTCTAAAGAAGCAACATATCTTTGCCTTCATCCATGCAAGGACTGATTCAGAGGACTTGGAACTGCATCATTGAAGTTTGTACTCATGCAAATCTCTGATGCTACACACTCCGAAAAAGTACCATCGTGTTTCCAAAAAAGCCATATAGTAGTCCAGGCAAATACTGAGGGCTTGGAATTTGGAGTACCATGATATGCTGAACCCTGCAAAATCCATAGGAACAACAAATGCTGCAACATTGTCATAGATGGCAAGGTTGGACACATTAAGATTGGAGACTTTAGGTTGGCAATGGCAATAGAGTGGCAGAGCATGCTGTATCACTGATGACTAATGAATTAACGGGCCGTTTTTAACAGTGGTACCTCATGAATTAATTTGAACAGGATTAATATTGCAAAGGTCATTGATAAACATTACTAAACTGTTTTGAAAATTATCATATTGTTACATAAACCTACAGTACGTAAATTAGTATATTCAGATTGATTAATCCCGTATATATAGTTCGGAGCTGCACCAACCTCAAATCTAAACACAATTTACATCAATTGTTTTGGCTTCAAATTATAATGGTAAAGAAGGACGGTATATAGTCCCCGGTCCACCTCTCTTATCTGTTTGAAGTCCACGTCCATAAGATGAAGCAAGTTCAATACTAGATTTTCATTTAGAATTAAGCATTGAAACTATATTGACAAGCTTAATTGAAAAAAGATCCCACTTGACAGTTCTTTGTAATATGTAGATATGGCACAACCATGATTGAACACTAAGCAGGCATGCAACCGCTAAGAATGTGGACCTATTCATGTATGGGAGCCACATTCAACCTTTTGAGATTCAAGGACAAGTCTTGCTGCTTCGATGGCTACCTGTCCATTGACATAGTGCTGTCGACACACTGGCATGTAAACATCCTCTCCACCAATTAACTCAATCTTTATCTCTTGTGTCTTCCTCAGGGTAAAGAGAGCATGCTTCCCACAGATTTCACATCTAGCAGTTAACTTGGTTACAGAATCAGCAAGGGGAATTATATCAAGGACAGAACCAAAGCTCCTCCTGCCAGTAAATGTAGAAACACCATCAGCATGAACTTGATGGTGTAAAATTCAACCATAACCGATTGATAAAACCCCAAGCAAGACAAGATTTGTTCAATAAGCACGTGTACAAACAAATAGAGCTTTATTAAACTCAAGTTTGGGCTTGAATATGCTAGACTGAAATGTTGGACTTGGCTCTAATCAAGTCTAAACTTTGGTGCTCACATGTTAACAGTAATCCTTTTTCCAGAATAAATAAGTACCAGGAAATAAAAAGTGAACTTGCCCCAGGAAGTCCCATTTGTTAGTCTGTCCTACTCCAGAGATTCCAAGAGCCATAAATATAGGCATAGCAACAAAAATTTAGCTTAGTCACTATCATTCCGCTGAGTACTTAGTTTTGTGGCTCAACAGCTCAAGATGATTTTCTTTTCAATACTCAGTTTTAGAAATGGTTCTATATCTTATTGAAATCTATAAAGTATTCAGCTAATGAATGGATTCTGGTTGTTACAGTGTGTATTTTCTCCCAACAGAACTTGTAACCATGACCATTATTAAATAGACAATTCGTATGGCCTGGAGAGAATTAATATTTACTTACTGGGTTTCTTGATATTTGGAATTTAGCAAACCGATTTGCAAGGCGTGTCATCTGTCAATTACAAGTAATGATGAAAAACAACTTGAAATTTTAAAAGAACAAAACTTTTATGTTGTTCTTTAGGTGTTGTTAGTGCGGTTTACTAATTAAAACTGAAGTTTTATTTTAATAAAAATTGTATTTGATGTTATTTCAAATTACTGAAGTAAAACTTCATTCTCGATTGAAGAACAGCACCAAAAAGGGTACTGCATTTAAATTTTGTCTATTTTAAAACTAAGTATATATAACTCAAAAAACAAAGTCAAACTGATATTAACTTGTCACATTACGAAATAATCGAAAGTTTGGCTTCTTTTGAAGCTCCACCAAAACAAAAGGAAATTTTAAAACTTAATATTACAAGTAATATTACCTCAAATAGTTACCATCTAGTCCTGCAACTATTACTGTTTTTCCATCGTGATCAGCAGCTTCACGACAGAATTCATAAAGGTCTTCAAAGAATTGAGCTTCATCAATACCAATCACATCCAGCTGTCATCATCTATCACTTGTGAGAGTCAAACAAAATGCAGGTGGCAAACTACAAAGCCTTGGAGGGGGAGAGGGGGCAAGGAAAATTATAAACAGATTAATCATATTATTACAAATTACAATCCATGTACACAACTACACATTAAATTTTCTGCAGCATAAATATAATTAATTAAATACTTATGGAACTTCAAAATATGATACCTGCTCATAAGCATCAACTCCAAACTTCTGCTTGAATGATGACAAATTTGTCAGTGCCCAACATGGTAATTTTGCACCATCATGTGTAACAATTGAATCTAGTCCATATCTTGTATCCTTGCTTGATTTAATTATTGCCACATTTCTGCATCAAAGAAACACAAAACTTAAATATGTACATCATGAATCAGGCTATTGCCAAACCATTCAGCAAATTTCCTGAAAGATAAACTATAATCGGGGAATTTGCCATACATCCACATACTAATCACAGCAACACAAGCTTCACATGTACATAAAACACATCCACATAGAATGTTGAAACCAAGGTAGTCAAAATCGCGTTTCAAATCGTAGAATCATACGATTCTACGATCTCCAGGCAAGCTTCCGTGTTGAATCGGTGGGATCGTGCTTGTCGGAGCGTAAAATCGTTGAAACGCACGATCCCGACGACGCGAAGAAGACGACCCTTTTGAGCCCTTGACCCGCGACACAACGCGCGAAGAAGATGACTTTTTGGCCCCTTGACCCGCGACCCGACCCGACTACATTAAAGGGGTTGGAACCCTAAAATCAGAAAACTTCTACGCAGGTTTCTACCTTTCTTCTTCCCTCTATTCTTCGATATTTCTTCCTCCTACTCTGCTGTTCGACTTGTCTGCGTCTTTCCGGCACTGCGACTTGGCTCAGGCGACTGGGATTTGGCTCCAGCAACTCAAATTTTTGTGCAATTGGGTCTGAGATTTTGTAATTTTTGTGCTCTGTTTTTTTCTTCTTCATCTAGGCTATTGTGTGTGACTGGGAATTCTGTTTTTGATTTCGTTTTTGTGCTCTGGTTTCTGTTTTTTGTGCTACAGTTTGTCTGTTACCATTAGATAAAATGACTTCAACCAGTAGTCATGCTCCTCCCTCCAAGTCATTACCAAAAAATGCACCGAGAAACAAAAGTGACGTAGCATGACAACATGGGATTGCAATTGAAGGTACAAAAAAAATTCAATGCAAATATTGTCAAAAAGTTGTAAGTGGAGGTGCTTATAGATTGAAGCATCACTTGGCTCAAACAGCCAAAGATGTTGGAGCATGCAAATCTGTCCCAGATGATGTCAAAAAGCAAATGTGGAATTTACTTGTAAGCATGCAAGAAAATTTGAATAAAAAATCAAATTCCTTTGCTGACTGTTCTGCTGAGAAAGAGACTTTAGATACAAGTAGTGAAAGCAAAAGAAAAACAAGTGAAAATGAGATGACTGGAGGAGGAAATATTTTTCGGAAAAAGAACACCCAAGCAACAATCAACAACATATTTAACAAAACTAAAAGAGACGAGGCTTGTCAAGCTCAAGCTATTGGAAGGTTTTTTTATAATAATGCCATATCATTCAATGTGGCAAGAAGTGATGAATTTTCTGTTATGTGTAATTTAATTGCTAGCCATGGTCCTGGATTTAAACCACCAAGCTATCATGAAATTAAAGTAAAGTATTTGAAGAAGGAAATAGAGTTAACAAAGGAAAGATTAGAAGAATATAAAGCTGAATGGAATACTGTTGGATGCACATGAATGACTAATGGGTGGACTGATAAGAGGAAGAAAATAATATTGAACTTCTTGGTGAATAGTCCTAAAAATACTATTTTTTTGAAGTCTATTGATGCATTTCATAGAAAAAACAGCTGATAAAATATTTAAAATTATTGATGATATTGTTGAAGAAATTGGTGAGAAAAATGCAGTTCAAGTTGTGACTGATAATGCAACAAATTATAAAGCTGCAAGGGAGATGTTGATGCAAAAAAGAAAACACTTATATTAGACCCCTTGTGCAGCACATTGCATTGATTTGATGTTAGAAGACTTTGAGAAGAAGATACAGATTCATGAAGAGACAATTCCAAAAGGTAGAAAAATTACAACCTACATCTATTTAAGAACGGGTCTTATTTCTCTATTGCAATATTTCACCAAAGGCAAAAATTTGGTAAGGCCAGGAATTACTCATTTTGCTACATCTTATTTGACTCTAGGGTGCCTTCAAGAAAATATAGAGTTGCTTTGATAAAAATGTTCACATCTAATGAATGGAAGTCCTCTAAGTTTGTTAAGACAAAGGATGTGAGAGTTATAGAAGAATTGATTTTGGATAGAGTTTTGGAAGGATATAATCACTTGTTTGAAGGCTGCATTTCCTCTTATCAAAGTTCTTCGAATGGTTGATTCAGATGAAGAAACTGTGAGCTTTATTTATGAGGCAATGGATCAAGCTAAAGAGAATATTCAAATTACTTTCAATGGTGTTAAGAAAAGGTAACTAACTATAATTTATCAAATTAAATTAGTCTCTATTTTGTGATCTATGTTGTATTATGTATTAAATCTTTGTAATTTGCTCTTTATCAGTTATGTACCTATATGGAATATCATAGAAATACTATTGATATGCGTCTACCAACTGATTGGTGGATGTCTCATGGAGATGAGTATCCTGAGCTTTAAAAATTTGTTATTCGAATACTAAACTTGACATGTAGTTTTTCTGAATGTGAACGTAACTGGAGTGCCTTTGAGATGGTAAGTAGAAATTCTTTTTTCTAAAACTATGTACCAGGCTAGCCAACTATTTTTTTTATCTTAAATTATAATTTAATATATTATTATTTGTTTAGGTGCATACTAAAAGAAGAAGCCGTTTGAAGCAAAATACAATGAATGATGTGGTATTTGTTATGAAAAATTCAAAATTGGCCAAGAAGAAGACAGCTAGGAGAGTGAAGGATCTTCACATAAATGTAGATGATATTTCATCTGACAATGAGTGGATAGTGAAAAATAATGATAGAAGAAATCATGAAGATTTAGGCCTAAAAGACAATTTGAAAGATGAGGACATTCAGGTTGATGCTCTTGAAAAAGATGGGGACTTGGATTTAGACCAAGGATCAAATCAAGATGTTGGTGTTGGTGATGTTCCTAATATAGACAATTTAGATGATGAAGGAGATGATGGACCAAATGAAGATGATGAAGGAGATGACGACTTTTTTTATTATCAAAATATTTTAGATATGATAAAATAGATATTTAAAGTTTAGATGTTGATTTTGTATTTCGTTTGGAACTTTATGTTGGACATGTTCTTAATATTCATCTTTTAAAGTATTGTGGTTTGAATTAATGTTTTTATTTTCTTTCTATTTATACTATTTTATATGTATATATATAATTTTGTGGGATTTTACGTTCCATGTTACGATCCTACGAGTTACGATCCTGAACCCCCTCTCCGATCCTACGTAAAATCTCAATTTTGACTACCATGGTTGAAACCATTCTATCAGCATTAACATCCAGAATTACCTTTCCTTGCTCTCTTAAAAGATGAATCCACTTGTTTCCAACCATTAGGTTTGACTCAATTGGAAAACAGAATTCAATGTGGATAGGCTTTATATTGAGCATAGGGCTTAAAAACCACTGGAAGCACTGTATGCTCAGAGCCTCTCCAATGTATTAGAACTTTTCTTTTAGGGAGGGTGATAGAGATAATAGACTAGAAAAGTTTATGTGAGAAGGATATGAAGCAAACTGAGACTCAGTAGGCCTGAATAATTAGTGTTTGTGTAGTATGTGTCTTTACTCTCTAAACAGTTATTTAGGTAGCTAAGGATCTGAACTATTACTTTTGTGTATTATTTCTATCTTTACACAGTTATTTAGGCAGTTACAGCACGGTTTAATGGTTGGTACATGATGCTTCATAGGTATGGGGCTTGGGTGTGATTATTCATTGGGAAGTTCCATTGTTTTCTGAATGTAGGAGGAGAAACTCTTTGTTAGGGGGAAACTCCATTGTCTATGTTCTGTACAACCAGATTAACAAATACATGATTCAGTGCACTTACTCCCAAGTTTAACAGAGGGGGAAGCAGCAAAAGCAACCATGGCAATATAATTCTAAAATTTCCAGCTTAAAAAATTGTGGGGGTTTAAGTCAAAATCTGAACTTTGTGTCAGATTGGAAAATTTAAGAAAACAAATGGAATTTTGGCTAGACAGCATATGATATAAACTGCCCTTCATGTGAACTTGCAAACTTCATTACAATGCTCATGAATTATAAATTGTCTCATACATTTATAGTCATTTGTATACACGTTTAATTTTATTTTTCTGTTTCAAGCAGGGGAGATAGCATAGAAGCATGAATGTGAATCTATGAAATTGAATTTGTTATTAAATGGAATATACCTAGTCAGAAACTTATCATGTTAAACTTGATACAAATTTTTTTCAGAATAAACGTTATTAATGATCGTCCAAGAGGATAAAGGATTTAATCTGGGAATTTTCACCATTGGTGATAATTAAAAACATGCAGGAATCCCAGGAAATCACTTCAAACATGTTTCTAAACTAAAAATATAACATCTCAGCCATGTATGTTTCTAAGAGAGTATAAAATGATTGTGATCCAATAAATATCAAGGAAAACAATGAGCATAAAGAACTGCATCATACTAACTGTGATGTATACTCAGTCTCTTCATAAATTCTGTATACCGATTCCTAGGAGGAAAAAAATAACAATTTGGCTATCACCCATCATCTTGCCAAATGCTACTATTGGAGACGCATTATTCCTATGTCACTGAACAAGGTACATGCTAGTACAACTCAAAGCCCTATATGTTCCTCTTCAAATCTACGTGTAATTCAGCAGCTTTCCTTACAAATCAGAACATTGTTTAAATTCCTAAAGCAGCATGTCTAGTTCATCCAGAACAATGCAAATTGCATATATCAAATTTTAAGCAGCAGAACGTTTGTATCCCATGTTTTCACTGCTTAAGCTGTGTTCATCATTTGAGGTAATCTCTCGAATTCCCGGATAAACTGCATCAACCTCATTTTGCACCTCAATCCTGCTATAACCTGGCTTCTTAGCCATCCCTGATTCCGTCAATGTAGCCCTAATCTCCTCACCATTGACCCACAGCCCAGAAGAAGCATAAGCATTTGCCAAGACAACATACTTTTCAGCATTAATATTAATACTTTCACACTCAAAGTACTTCTTAGATGCAATTTTTAACAGGTCTAAGTCACCATGAATCTTACAAACCCCAAGCAAAGCACTCCATATCAATGAGTTCTCCTTATAGGGTGAATTCAGAACAAATTCATAAGCCTCTTCTAACTTCCCAGCACGTCCTAAAAGGTCAACCATCGCTGCATAATGTTTTGCCTGTGGCATAATTTCATATTCCCTTATCATTAACTGAAAATATTTATGCCCTTCATCAATCAAACCCCCATGGCTACAAGCAACCAAAACTGCAAGAAAAGTAACATAGTTTGGTCTAAAACCTTCAGATACCATTCTATAAAAAGACTCTAAAACCTCCATTACTCTTCCATGTTGACCATATCCAGATATTAGAGTAGTCCAAGTAATGGTATTTCTACTCAAACATTTATCAAACAACAACTGCCCATCACAAATACAACTGCATTTAAAATACATGTCTATTAGGGCACTGCTGACTACAACATTATCCCTAATCTGACACTTGATCATTAAACCATGGGCTTGTTTCCCAGGTTCTAATGCTGCCAAAGTTGCGCAGGCTCTGAACACTGATGCAAAGGTATACGGATCCGGTCTCAAACCAGCCTGTCTCATCCCATAATAAAAGTCCAATCCAACTTCTTCAAGGCCATTTTGAACATAACCAGCTATGATTGCATTCCACGAAATCAATCCCTTCTCCATCAAGCTGTTGAACAGGAAGTGAACAGTTTCTAGACATCCCAACTTTGCATATAATATTAACAATTTGGTTTTCAAATATTCATTGGGAACATATCCAACAACAATCATGTGTGCGTGGATTCTTTTGCCCCTCTTATACTTTTTCCAGAATATGCATTCCTGCAGCATCAGAGAATATGTTCTTGGGTGCACCGGCAATCTTGTTCGGCACAAGAGCCCAATTGCCTCCACCAACCTTCCAGATATACACAGACCTCTCAAGACCTTATCCAAGTTGGGGTCTTCTTTGCAAGGCTTGACCTGAAAGCTGAGAATACCTGACTAGTGATGATTGCAACCATGGCATTCCAAAGCAAAAGCCTTTCCCATTCAGAATCAAAGTACAAAACGGATAATGACTTCAGACATCAATGCTTTTTCATAACTAGTTGCAAGCATGATGCACCTATAACAGTAAATGCATATAACCACGACAAACTACACTCAACAATCAATTATTCAAGCAGAGAAATTAAGATAAACACTAAATAAATAAACAAAAATCCATTTTAGGTAAAATGGTTGTTTTTTTAACAATGAAATTGAAGATAAAAACAGGAGAGGAGTTGACCTGCCGTTGGCGGTTTCCGATTGAATCCGACGAAGGAGTGAGGTGGTTTTGCCGGCGAACATGGGACCCACTATGACATGAATCTCGCCGGAAGGAGGTGGAGAGGGATCCGTTTGCAAGCTTTGATTTTGAGCTGTGCAAATTAAATTATTGAACAAAAAGGACGTTGGGTTGAGGCGCAGATGATTGGGGATTCGAAGTGGATTGTTGAGGAAAGAGAATGAAGTTGAGGATTGAGAAGGGACCGAAAACAGATCAAATTTGGGAGTTAAAACTGAAAACCTTGGGTTGAGGATGGACTTCATCCTACAAATGGCGGGTAGGAAGAAGATGGGTTTAAGGGTTTTGGAAATGGGAACACAAATTTCTCATCTTATGCAAGGGTTTCACTTTGAGTTGGAGGGAAATTTTGGGGACCGTGCTAAACTGAATTGTCAAGCATTTCCATTATTGAATAAAAGCGACTTTAAGAAATACTTTAATCAATTTGTAACCGTTACAAATGTTGTGATGTATAACCATAACGCTCAAAGACTTCGAGGTTTTGGATTCATCGCATGATGGATTATGAGTTAAAATATATATTGTTCTTGAAACAACTATTTTTCTCTCTTAAAATAAAATTTTCTCCTTTTTCTATATTCTCATTCCTTTACTCACTAAAAAAAATACTTATTCCTTTCTTTATTAATTAAAAACAATATGAAACTCCTACAGAAAGTCATTTACAACAAATAACACTATTTTAAAAGTATATTATATGTTAAAATTATATAATTAAATAATTTTTGAGAAAAATTATGAAAACGTATAATTTAATTATTTAATGAAAATTTCAATTTAGAAGGTCAACAAACGGGATAAGTATGTGAATCGTATTATGTAACTTAAGGAAAGCAATTAACATCTGTCAAGATGGCCGAGTTGGTCTAAGGCGCCAGTTTCAGGTACTGGTCCGAAAGGGCATGGGTTCGAATCCCATTCTTGACATCTATTTTGTCCTTTCTCATGTTTCTCGTTTATTGTTTTGGTTAAACTCGTAATACAAGGCAAAAGCAAGCAGCACACAATAAATGGGGATTTATTTTAGGCCCAAACTTTTTCATTTGCTGAAATTTTTCTACGCTAAAGTTCAAAACTTCTTGTTCATAAAAAAAGAATTTCAAATTTCTGGACATTACAATTTAGGCTAATATTTTTTACAAACATAAACTAATTTATCTTTTCGGGTTGGCCATTGTAGCCTTGCCCAATGGGCCTAGATTTGAGCTTTTATTATGTCATGGACTAAATAATGTTTCACTTGTAATAATTTTAAGGAATGGACTAATCTTCTCTCATAGATGATAGACTGAGTATTGTATAATGTTTCATTTCACATCAATATTGGTGAGACTCCTTTCAAAGTGGTGTATGGTCACGATCTTTGTACCATTGTTAATTATACACTTGGTTGTTATAATCCTCCTGCTTCACCAAAAATATATCATGTGTTTTACATTTCTCAATTAAAATTGTATAAAGGGAAGCATCAAGTACTATATGTTCCATTACTTTTGACTTTTAATGAATGGTGTCCTATTTTACAACCCATGCAGGTTCTGCAATTATGGGCCATTGTGAAAGGCAATAAGTTGGTTCTCATATGTTAATTAAATGGAAAAGCTTAAACATATTTGGTGTCTCTTAAGAAGACATTCACTCATTCCAACAAGACCATCCTAATTTCAATCTTTTGAGGAGGTTGATTTAAAAGGGAAAGGTAATGTCACGAGTATGAGGACAAATTTCAAAGACAAATTGAAAGAAAAAGGAAAATGACAGGTAACTATAAATCCAAAGGCAAAGACAATCAAGAAAAGTGTAAGGTTTAGAATAACTAACTCTCAATTACATAACTATAAATGGAGCCTCAAATGAGTATATAAAAAAAGGATGAAGCAATAGAAGGGTGTGTATGAATTGAGAGTTATGTTTTCTTCTTTCTTGAAATCTTTTTATATTATGAATTCTTCTATTCGGCTCTTAGTATTTTTATACTGATTCATTAATATTACCATCACATCCTTTCATTTTCCATTCTTCATTCTTTATTTTGATAGCAGTTTATTTAATACTTACATCTTAAGCATGTCAAAAACTTTGGGCAAATTTTGGTACATTCCTTCTCTTTGTCGGCTTCTCCTTCATTGGGCTTGTGGGCATCTAAGCGTGAGTGCTTGAAACTTCAGGCCTTCGATTCGAGTAGGTCGAGAAATTGCTTCACAAAGGCTCCAAACCTTTCCCATTTGACAAAAATGGAGGACAACAAAGGGAAAAAGTTAGACTAGGCTTGATGCTACTTTGTTGCAAAATCATGACTTGTTTTTACTTTGTTGCAAATTCTGTGTAGCATTAAAGTTCTTCCGCTAAAATTACCATATGACATTATAATATTAAAGTTTTGTTACTAAAATTGTAGGATGACGTTTTTGCCCTTTTTTAAATTTTTTCAATTTATTTATTCATTTACATTTTATTAATTTGTATTAAATTTATTTGTATGTTTCTTGATCTTTTATATTTTGATATTTATTTCTTAAAATAAAAAGAAATAAAAGTTTAATATTCTTTTACAAAATAGGAACTTCTTATTTTATACATATATATAGATCTTAAATAGAGAAAAATTAAAATTAAAATAATCATTTAATATTTTTTATTTTAATAAAAATTTATCTTTACAAGTGTTAATATATCTAACATTTGAATAAAATTTATTTGATATAATATTTGTATACTTCATTAAGATTGCTTAAAATTTATTATATGCATAATATTATCATAAGGCGAATCTAAATTCTTAAATTATCTCTTTCTTTGGACAAAATTTGGGGGAAAAGTTTACTAAATAAGTTTATGATGGATAGTCACCGATTATAATGGATTTCAAACAATAATATTAAAGATATTGTAATATTAAAAAAAACAGCGAAAAGAAAATTGTAGTTCGAGAAAATTAATTATTTTGAAACATCTCAGTATATAGGCAGAAATAGTGGAAACTGGAAAACTTAGTCAACATATATTATCAACACATGGAAATAATTTAAGTGTAAAACTTCTATGGGCAACCCCCCTCTCAACCAAAAACAAAAACTGATAGTTAGGGATTAAATTATTAAAGGTGTCCAATACTATGTCTAAATACAGAGCAGAATTCTCTTCTATCTACTACTAGTTTTATTTTACCTTTGAGATGACGTAGAAGTGAAAAATGACGAGTTTGAAAGCAACTTTGAGTAAAAGTTTTGCAAAATACTTGAGACTTGAAAGACAGCAACTTAATGATAGAAAACGTGAGAATTCATCTATCTTTGTGAAATCTTATATGTTCCAAGATGCTTCAAACTTTTGCTTAAGATAAACCACTGCCATCTCACCAAATCGATTCACCTTTTGATGATGCAAGCAATCAACCTAATAATATATATAAAACCCATACTTTTAAATGAATGAAAGAAGAGAACACCGACACCCGGTTCTTCAAAACTTGAAGATTTAAAAGTGCAACCATCCAAACAAGCGGCAGGACAAAACATACCTGCTCTGCCAGCTAGTTGGTGATTATTATAAGCGACAAGAAGATTTGAAACGGGAAAAGAAAATAAAAATCGCGAGGTAAGATGCTAGAAGAGGAAAAATTGTACTACAAAAAATGATGCAATCTGTGGTAGAACTAAACTGCAAGGTGGGGCTCTGATTTGCCATACAGATGTAACTTGGAACCTCATATGGTAGCACCCAGCGGGTGAGACGCTTTACAACAAGCATAAGCAGCCCCAGAGGGACCTACAGCATCACCATCCCATTTATTCACATAAACACCCGCCTAAACAGGTCCCAACCTTACCCAATACACAATTTCTTCCCTACCAAACATTTCTATCGATATAGATTAAATTAAGATCTTCCACTAGGAAAGCGCGCAAGATCTAAACGGTCCTTAAACAGCCAAGGATTAACCAAACTCCATCTTACAAGGCTTATCTTAACTGAATTTACCAGGTCGTGCTCTACTATTTTCAGAACGCTGATAAAATAGATTTTCTAAAGACTCCTCCGTCCTTTTTAATAATTCTTACGATTTTCAGTTATAAGCTGAGAAAATGTTTGCAAATCACACAAACTTGGGTCCTTACAGAGAATTCTCAATGCCATACAAGTTGCTGGTTTCGCTGTCAACTTTAGTAAGAACATATTCCATATTTTCTTTGTCAAGATTCCGGCCACTCAAACTCCAAAATTTCATGGCAAAGAAGCACGAAATAAGGAATTAAGTACTGGGTATGAAAACTACGTATATTTTTCAGAGTAATAGTTGAATCGTCAAAAACAGCGGATTTCAGTTTAGTGTATCATCCCGGGTGGTAATAAGCCAGAGGGAAATTCAATGGAAACAGCCTATGCAACTCATTCATTCAGCAGTATCAAATAAGCGAAACTTATGCTCGGTTTTGAACAAAAAAATAATTATGGACACAAACATTCCTGCTAGTATAGTACAAGCTTCGTATTTTCATTACGAGCGGGCAAATTAATTAACGGTACAGCAATACAATCAGAAACCCTTTTCACAAAACTAGGGTCATCTAAAGTAAACAAAAGAAATTTAGAAACCTAATCAACCCGAAACTCAGAAAATCATGTAATCCACCAGGAAACACAACAAATTGAAACAAGGGAAAGCAAAATCCCAAACCTAGCTATATCCATCCATACATCTAAGGGTCAGTCTATAGCTGGCTAGCTTCTTCTAACTTCAATAAACATCGTTCCAACTATCTCAGCCACACTGTACAAACCAGCAAAAACACTATATATACAATAACCAATTACATTGTATAATTATTACCTTCCTAAGTAGTAGTAATGTAATTACGAGCTTGAAGACGATGCTTCTTGTCTTGATTCTCTCAAATATCGAAGCAGCGTTTCAGCCTGCAAATCAAACCACCCAAAAGCTTCAATAAAAGGAGAGGTTGAAAAAATTACATAAATCGCCAAATACAAAAATTTACTTACATGGAATGCATAATGATACTCAAGATAAGAATTAATAATAACTTCAGCTTCCCAATGAAGATTTTTGTTTGTTAACATGATCCAATTGGTAGGGATTCACTAACCTTGTGCTTAGCTCGAACACTCCCAGTCTGAGAAAGAGCAACAAGAGGGGGTATCCCACCCTCTCTTACTAGAAACCCTCTATTTCTGACACTGTCAACACAGAGCTGAAGAAGGGTCAAAACGGCAAACTCCTTTCCCTTCACCGACCCATCTTCAATGGCTTCAACAAGCGCAGCGATTCCACCTTCTTCCACAATCGCATCCTTCCCTTCCTGAATGCCCGCCAAGCTGTTGAGCACCACCATTGCCTTCTCTGCCATGCCGGTCCCTTGCTCCGCCACCAGCTCCACCAGCGGCTTCACCGCGCCGGCGCTCACTGCCCTTTCCTTGTTCTGCTTCACCGAACACAGCTTATACAGCGTCGTCAGCGCGTCCTTCTTCCCTCTGTTGGAACCGTTCAGAAGCAGCGAAACCAGCGGCGGTATTGCCCCCGACGCGCCGATCGAGCTCTTGTTCTCTTCCACCAACGCCAGGCTCAACAGCGCGCACGCCGCGTTCTGCTTCGAAGTCTCCGTTCCCGTCTTCAGCACATATATCAGCGACTTAACCGCTCCAGCATTAGTTATCAGCATCTTGTTGTCCTCGTGTAGAGACAGGTTCAGCAGCGCCGTCACGGCGTGTTCCTGTGTCCATGGATCGCTACACCGAAGCAGAGGAACCAGCACGGGAACCGCGCCGGACTCCGCGATCAGAAAGCGGTTATCGGCGCGGTTCTTCGCCAGAAGCCTCAGCTTCGCCGCCGCTGATCGCTTAACCGCCACCGACGGCGACTGGAGACCGTCGATGCAAATCTTCACCGTCGGCTGAAGATCCTCCGGCGAAATGCTCTCGATAATCTCCGTGGAGAAGTTCTCCCTCTGCAGGAACCCCATGCAGGGTTCCGCCTCCGGCTCCTGCTCGGCGTCCCCGCCGGCGTCGCTCTTCTGCACGTATTCCGGCGACGGGAGGCACGCCAGCCTCTGCAGCTCGCCGGAGATGTCGCTGCTGCAGGCGGAGAAATCGCTGAAGGCCTGGGAGAGATCGAGTAGGTCCTCATCGGCGCTGGAGGACTTGACGGATTTGTTGTTCCGGGAAGCGAGCTCGCCGAGTCGGAGGTCGACGACAGAATCGGTGAGGTTTTCCGATAGACAAGCGGATTTCTCGGTGAAGGAGCAGCTACTGTTGTCGTCTTGGAAGAAATTGGAGCGTATGGTGCGCATGGACCTTCCGATATGTCGCTGCGTTTTGGAGGAAATGGAAGAGTGATACTGATAACTCCTCGTTAAGGGAAAACGGCTCGAATTCGAGCCTGATTCCTCCAGCGAAACCATTCTCCAAGCTTCCACGCACACTAATTGGCGATTAGGGTTTGAAGTTTTTCAGTTTCTCAAGTCTTAGGAGAGTTTCATAGTTAAAAAGTGAGTGAAGGCTGCGTCAGGGTGAAGACGACGAGTAATAAGGAGAAGAACAATAACTGTTTCCCTTTTTGTTTTTTTAATGTTTATTGTTACTATTATTTATTTATTTGAAGTGAAATAAAATGGCTGGTTTTTGCTGTGAGTGGTGGAGGCTTTGGTATCGGGGGCGGGCTACGATCACAGGGCGTTTAGATTTGTAGTGGTGACAGTCGGTGGTGATAAGGTGGGACCCGTGTGTTTGTACGCAGAATCGACGGTCAGAGAGGTGTCGGAAGGTGAACGAACTGAGGGGTTGGATTGGGAAAATTTTGTGTAGGGTCGTCGGCGTCGGCCAGAACCGTCGTCGTTTTGTGCGACCTTTCTTGACTTCACTTCATGTCTGCCCCAAATTACCGAAATATCCTCGTTCGAATTTTCGAGCTCGCTTTACCTTTACCTTTACCTTTCTATGGTTTGGTGACATGGAAAGATTCTGGTGCAGAGAGCTATACGAAAAGACTCAATTACAGTTGTCAAATCAGAGGAATGTGTGCCACGTGTTGGCGTCACCAGGCCCTGAGTTTTGTGCTTTGGTGTTAACTTATATCAGCGCCGTCTGATTTACTGATCTGTATTTTCTGACTTATTTATTGCAAGTCAAAATGATTTTATGGGACGAAAACGAAAAATGTTTTGGGTTTACCTCATTTAGTTAAGACAGCCACTGGCAGTGGTATGTCTTATTGCACGCGCCTGGGTGTCCGAAAATTCATCACATTCTTTTAAAAATATGAAGAATTAAATTTTTTTTATATTGAAAATACACTATGGTCTTGATTTATTGATATTTATAAATCAATATATTTTTTTTTCTATAAATAACCACTCAGATTTTTTAATAATTTCGAGTTTCTGATAAAACATTGGCATCTTCTTCGGCAGTTTCTGCATAAAGCCGTAAAATGAATGAATCGTAGTGAACAATAAACTTGGGGAAATAACAGTGGTGATTTTGTGGGAGTACCAACCAATCAAGAATCAACCATAGTGCATTGCAATTGCCAAACAAATAGTATTAGATTGGTGATATTTAGTATTAAGTCGATGTCAAAATTCAAAATGCACTCAACAAATGCATGCACCGATGTTCAGTCGCAAATCGCTGTTGTTACCCAAAAAAATAAGGAATTCCCTGTGCCCATGCGTGCTAATGTAGCAATTGCGGTCTCCTTGTCCAAATTTGGTGGGCGCTTCTAGATATTATGTTATTAATCTTTTTCAATATATTTTTAACTTGTGACTAAGGATTAAACTTTAATATTTAAGAAATATGATTTTCTATGTGCTAAGCTTTATTAGTATTACAACGATCACTTTGAAGGTAACAATAAACATGTACTATTAAAGAAAAGTTCTATTAAAAAAAAATTAAGGGAAGATGCTTCAATAGTATTATAATATATAGTTTGCTGGGTTCATATAATTTGATTGCCGCGTAAACGATTTTGAAAGTACAATTAATGTACACCATCACTAGAAAAAGCACACTAAACATTATTGTTGACTCTATCTTCCATGGGTACAGATTTTTTCATCAATATAAATACTTGCAGTGCATACTTTGCATCATTCATGATTAAATAAGATGTGATAATTTAATTTTATTGTTAAGCATTCTGAGCTGTCAACAAGCCTAATTGTAGCCTGATGTCGACCGAGAATATTGTTTTCATTCATTTTTGAAGGTTTCTGCAAAGTTTGAGACGTGTAATATAATACAAAATTAAATAATTAATAGTATTAAATAAGATAATATTTAATAATAAACCATTATTTATTAAATTTTCATTGTCTACCGTTAGATATATTTAAGTTAAAAGCATTAGAATAATTATATTATACTAAGAATAACTAATGAAGAAAGCAATTTGATTCCCGCTGAACGACAACTTGTCGAAAATGAAATAATAGTTTGAAGGCATTTTATCGATGTTAAAGGGTGATTTGTTTTTCAATTAATTATATTATATCAACTACAAAGATGTTAAATTTAACATTTAAGCTTGAATATTATCCACTAATAGTAATAAAATTTTATAAAAAAATATGTATTATATTTTATAATATTAATATAATAAATATGTATTTTTATAAATTTTTTTATTTATTGGTATTTAAATTCATCCCAAATTTAACAAAATTCTATCAACAAAATCACTACAATTTTACATTTTATATTATTAATTAATATGCATAAATATTTTTTATTGATCATTTATATATATTTTTTATTACATATACGTATATGCTGATGTGTAACAAATGGACTGTACTGCAGCATGCCAGTGTATTTTTGTTTATAGGGTGTTGTTAACAAATAAAGCCGCATTCAAAAATATTAATACATTATATTGAATATTTTTAATTGAATAAATTTTTTAGCAATTAAAAATTGAAAATTTGCATAATAAAAAAAAAGTAACTACATTATTTGTTATAACGTCATGATCTTAAGATGGAAGAGGAAGCATGTCCTCAACTAATACATACTGGCCGATAAACTTTTGATTTATTCTTATTTATCAATAGCATTAGACATAATGAATTTCTTCTTTAAGCAGATAATTTAAAATGTGAGTTAAACTAGTTGAACTAACGAATGTCGTCCATGATAACGCGTATTTGACCCAAAAATATGAGTTAGCCACCAACTGATGCAACCAGATAAAGAACCGCAAAGTGTTTCGTACGGAATTGGGAACTCAAGACACGCAAAGAAGTGAGATCACGAAGAGTGGGAATAACAGGAAGATCATTAAGAAGGGAAGATTATCTTGTATCGACTATTTATCCCACTAATCATGGTATCGCATGCTTACTTAATTATTTGTGGTCGCACTTTTGTTAATTAATATCGTGCATGGCAAACCCGTGCCGATATAAGAAAAGGAAGCTACCAATAGGATTCTTATTGGTGCTATTCATCACTACCTTTGTGCACTTGGATCCAGATGCAGTTAAAATTGGTGTAATAGAAATAGTGTCTGACCTTACATTATTACGCGTTTATCACAAAATTAATGACCCTACAATGTCATTGAGAACCTCACATTGATAACCCACGTGGGGGCAGCGTATCCAAGACCTACAGCTTCGTTTTCTATGGATCCCTGCCAACCGTTCAAAAAGTTACCGGCACTGTGCATACGGTTGTTTTCATTTTCATACGAACAACGATATTTTCAAGTCATCAAGTGGCGTGAAATTAATTTAAGAGAGAAATAAAATGATAAAAAATAGAAAATAAACAAAAATGTAAGAATACTGTTGTCTTTTCCTTCATCCTTCGTTTTCTGCTAATCTTTTCGAGGGACCCCTTCTTCAAATAAATAAAGCTGAATATTATTTCACTCCTTCTTAACAAATTGCCCTCAATTAACTTTACAATCTTATAATAAAACAACACATCGCTTCACCCAATCCATAAATGGGAGGTCACCTTTAAACATACACGATTAAACCTAAAATAAATAAAATTGTAACACGTGAGTTACTTCGACCCATGATAAATTTCGGATAAACTGAGCAGCACAAAAGTTGACTCATAAAATATTCAACTTTTTTTTTCACTTACCTCGCTTAACTTACTAATTATTGACTTTGTCCCCAACTTGTGGTGAGTCGAATTTACCAATAAATTTTAATTTTAATTATTATTGATTGTTTTGGTTTATAATTTTTTATTAATTTAATAATTATAAAATATTATGTAAATTAAATTATTTTATTTTTAAATTTTATATTTCTATAATATATTTTATTTTTTATAGGGTTTTTAAATAAATTTTTATTATTTTTAAATTTGCCAAGTCAACGAGTAAAGTAATCCATCAAATTTGTAGATCGAGTTGGATTAATATTTTTCTGAATTATTCTAAAAACAACTTATTATTAAATTCAATGCTGAAAGTTAACTCGAGTGAGTTAGTTTGCTCGTTTTAAAATAGTGAGACTGGAATAGGTCAATAATCTGTCTATAAGAATATACCTTACTTGAGTTTTAAAAAAATCTATACTTTTTTCACTTTGTATAATTATATATATACAATGTTATAATAAAAGAATGATGAAAATTAAAAAAAAATTACATTCATTTTTATAGAATTAGAAATAAACGAAATTTCTTTTAAAATATTTATTCATATAATCTGAAATATTAAATTGAGGATTTTATTTTAACTATTTCCGTACAACATTGGACCTACGAACTGAGTTCAAAACAACAATATTGCTATTTTGTCCTTCACTTAATTTTCAATCTCACTGAGTCACCGACACTGCAATAAGTAAATTCATCAATAAAATATTTTTTTTATAAAAATTTTTTTGGAAAATGATATGTCGAAAAAGTATTACATAAATATATTATATAATTATAATATTTCAAATTCATTCTAGTACACACTACAGCAATTTGACGTTACCGAGTCTTTTAGGAAAAAGGATGAGGGGTGATATAAACAAGATGTAGTTAGCTTTTATGCTGATGATGAGTGAAATAAGGAGGAACGAAAAAAAAAAATCAATATAAATATATATATATATATATATATGTTATTTAGATAAATTAAAATAAGAAAGAAAGAAGTATAATATTTTATTTCTTTTTTAGATAAGTAAAAAATAATATATTTTATGTAAAGATATTTTTATTCTTATATCTAATGAGGTATTTTGATTTTTCCATTCATTTTTATTTAACTAATTAATATTTAAAAATATTTTTATTATGATTTTTTATATTTTATATAAAATTATAAAATTTTCTATTATTTTTACGAAAAAAAGCTATAAATACATATTTGATTTTTTTTAATACCATAACTTTTGTAATAATCACTTAAAAATTATATTTACCATGATTTTTAATTAGTAGACGACATGAATATTTTTATATTGAAAGTATCAAAATCAAATATTTTATCTTATTATTCTTCTTAACTACTGCGATGATATAATTGAATTTCATACGCAAATGTAATTTAAATTTGCCTTT